TGAGGTGAAATTGGGTTTAACGTCGTGCTTGAGAATATTTCGCTCATATGACGACGTGCATGCGTGTGTGTGTGTGTGTGTGGCTTCTTGTACTAGCCCAGACTGAAGCTGGTTTTATAGTGCCAGCTCACTGAGATACCATGCCGCAGTGAAGCATGAATACCCCACTCAGACACATTATACTGACTCCGAGCCGACCAGTCCTTGTTGTACCCATTAATGCCGAGCGCCAGGCAAGGACCAACAAGTACCATATTTTAACGTCTTTTGGTATGACGCGGTCGGGGATCGAACCCGCGACCTTCCACTCTCCGGGCGGACGCTCTAACCACTACACCAATCAAGACTCAACTTTTACACTCAACAATTATAAGTTAATGGTTGATATACTTGCAGGTTTAAGGGGTCCAGCTAACCTAAAATCAGTATTTAATTATGTGATGCATTGTCAGTTTGTGCTCCAAATTAACTCCGTTAGTAAAACTTGAAGAATGTTTCTAAGTAACGATATACATGGCGATATTTATGAAAATGGTGACCCTAACAGCAGCACTTGTTCATCGCTTATTACCAGTTCTTTCTAATCCAATTCCAAAAATCAGAATTCTCAAGCACGACGTAAAACCCAATTTCACCTCACCTCGCCTCACCTCACCTCACCTCACCTCCAAAAATCAGAAAATGATCACGAAATGTGCCGGTGGTGTAACTGATATTGTACGTACGCTTCACACAAGTAATATTGTCCCTCACCTCTGGAAAACAGGCTCTTTGGATTCCGTGGCGTGGTGTCCAAACAATGTACAATGTAACAACTCTGAAACAGTTCATTGACCAAATACCCGAACTTTTAATGTTCTTTTATAAAGTTTTCTCCATGTTTTTCTCCCTCGTATTGAACATTCACAAAGTATAAAATCAACCTGCACAAGCGACCATAAAATAATAATATCTTGCTTGCAACCTCGTGATTAAATAGTTGTACTTCTATGTTGTTTGCGTCGCGCCATATATGACGGCGGTGTGTACATGATCGCGTCTGGATCAGACAAGTTACGCAAATGAGATTACATGACATTCACCAACCCTGTCAGCGAGCATGACCAACCGATCCCGTTAGTAGCTTCTTGGGACACACGTGGGTTGTCAAGGCAAAGTCTAACCCTGATCCTCATGAGAGCAATACTTACAATCAAGAACATCAACAGAATCTCGACTCCCGTATATGCGAGATGGTGTTTTAATCTTGTATAGGACCCGTGAAGATCCGGGGTTGAAAAGGTCTTCAGCAACCCATGCTTGCCACAAAGGCGACTATGCTTGTCGTAAGAGGCGACTAACGGGATCGGGTGGTCAGGCTCGCGGACTTGGTTGACACACGTCATCGGTTCCCAATTGCGCAGATCGATGCTCATGCTGTTGATCACTGTATTGTCTGGTCCAGACTCGATTATTTACAGACCGCCGCCATATAGCTGGAATATTGCTTAGTGCGGCGTAAAACTAAACTCCCTCACTCACTCATTTATTCTTGTATAAACAGTTCTTCATCCTCTACGGATTATTTTTCTTCATCTACATGAGTGTGAAATAAAATAAGATATAATTATCAAAGCATTTTTAGTGAACGTGGGGACAATCCAGACTGCCTTGCTCCTCGGCGTTTGGGCGAAATGCGTTCTAATGAATGCCGTTTATCCAACAATATGTAAATCAATATGGTTACAAAATTTAATCAATTAATTTCATCAATTTTTTCAAAAGCGGCACTGGAGCACAATACTTTATTTTATTATTTTAATTATACGGATAGGTTTGTATTCTTTACGAATGATAAAAAAATCAAAATCATTCAGCTTTCTAAAGATGTTTAGAGACAGTCTAAGTAAACTTAGGCTCAGTATTATTCAGTAGCAGTGTAACGAATAATACTGATCCTAAGTTTACTTAGACTGGTTTAAAGACGGCATACAATGTAGAAACGTATTTCGTATTTCTCATAAGCCAATGGATGCTACATGCCATGAATTTAATTTATATTTTACATGTTGCACTACAACTGCTGCTGCTACTTATCGAATGGAAACCGGTATCACCTCTAGCCACAAAGGGGGCGGTGGGGTAACCTATTGGTTAAGGCGTTCGCTCGTCACGCCGAGGACCCGGGTTCGATTCCCCATATGGGCACTATGTGTGAATCCCATTTCTGGTGTCCCCCGCCGTGATATTGCTGGAATATTGCTAAAAGCGGCGTAAAACTAAACTCAGTCACTCTAGCCACTCTAGCCACATAGTATAATGCCAAGCAACCTTTTCAGATACAGGTCCCTCGGGAAGTTACTGAGTATAGCAGCATTGGGAGCGGAGTGTTTTGTCATCTATTTGTGTACATGCGCTCAGGGAATTTAAATATGCCTTATGCAATATAAGTTTGGTAATCATAATTTAATTGTGTATAATATATTACCAAATTGGTTAGTTATGACGTGACCCGTGAAGATCAGGTTTAGAATTGTTCTTCAGCAAACCCACGCGACTAACAGGATCGGGTAGTCAGACTCGCTGGCTTGGTTGACATATGTCATCATATCACAAGTGTGTAGATCGATGCTCATGCTGTTGATCACTGGATTGTGTGGTCCAGACTCGATTATTTACAGACCGCCGCCATATAGCGGGAATATTGCTGAGTGCAGCGTTAAACACAGGCCAACCAACCAAGTTATGATGTTCATATCTGTTTGTCCAATCATCTTCGAGACTTCTAAATATATAGCATAGTTTAGTATGTAGATGTTTCCCTATAAACTAGTTCCACTACTGGATCGATAAGATAGGCAGGAATCAGGTCAACGTTCCTCAAAAAGAATCATCGTATATTTCAGATCAGATTAAGAAACACAGTACACAACATATAAATGCTGGATACTTTCTGGATGACAACTTTGAAAACATATTATGAAGCGACGTTGAAACGATTATGTTATTGTGTGACACATTGTTCAAACACATTGTAAATCAGTAAGTATTTACAGTAACAATATTCTGTTAGGTAAACAGTATCCTGCACCACATACATATATATAAGAAAAGTATTTTATAAGTAAAGAGATTATACATTTATACATGTAACTAGTCTTTCGTACAGACCCCGTACCAAACATATCCAAGAAAGCCCACGCAAGTCTAGACAATGTGGCAAGTCTAGATTTCCACTGCTTAATGAAGAAAGTCTCAGGGAACTTTTCATTATATTTTATTTTTTTTACTATGAGCATTTGTTCTATAAGATATGATCATTTCAGAGACTGGTTGTTAGTCTACCATGTAACCTACACAGACATGTGCGTTACTATAGGGTCACAAATTGAAAACATTTAATTGTAGTGAAGTATTAGTTACTATATCCACTGTTGTTGTTGTTATTCACTTACAGGCATACCATCATGTTGTCTACATTACCCCCATTAGATGTAAATAGGTTCGATCTGAGTTGTAGGTCGAGGGCGGTGGGGGTAGACCTGTGGTTAAAGCGTTCACTTGTCACGCCGAAGACCCGGGTTCGATTCCCCACATGGGTACAGTGTGTGAAGCCCATTTCTGGTGTCCCCCGCCGTGACATTGCTGGAATATTGCTAAAAGCGGCGTGAAAATAAACTCAACTCAACTCTGGTGAACAAACGACCCGCATCTTTTCGCGACCATCACCTGCCATCACGGGTATTTCATAGTTAAGCGACCCGTGTAGATCCAGGTTAGAATTGTTCTTCAGCAATCCATGCTTGTCGGAAGAGACGACTAACGGGATCGGGTGGTCAGCCTCGCTGACTTGGTTGCGATATACGTCATCGTATCCCAGCTGTGTGGATCGATGCTCATGGTGTTGATCACCGGATTGTATGGTTCAGACTCAATTATTTACAGACCATATAGCTGACTTATTACTGAGTTTGGTAACAAACAAAACATTTAATTGTAGTGATGTATTAGTTACTAATATCCACAGATGGTGTTGTTAATCACTGACATGCATACCATCATGTCTATATTAATCCCCATTGGATGTAAAGAGGTTTGTTCTGAGTTGCAGAAGGGGCGGTGAGGTAGCCTGGTGGTTAAAGCGTTCGCTCGTCACGTCGTGATATTGCTGGAATATTGCCAAAAGCGGCGTAAAACTAAACTCACTCACTCACTGAGTTGCAGAGCCATTCCGTATGCAGAATACACATCGTATCGGAAAGCGCACGTAAAATATCATCATCAGCAGCAGCATAACTGTAGTACAATTTAGTACTTCACTCTGGCTTGAGAACGGTATATGAATCTAAACCAAAACATCGCATCACATTATAATATAGTAATCATTCACAAAGTATCTAACTCACTAACTTATAGAATGCCAATCAAACAGATCAACGGCAATAATAAGCAGTTTGGTGAGGAACAGTTTCGCTTAAAACAAGAGATATTTTCTAAATAAAATCTGTGACCTATTGTAGTATACACGTTACACGCCCTTAATTCCTTCTCGTGAAATGGCAGGTATTGATAGAGTGGTGGAGAGATGGCAGCGGAGGAGGTCGGTGAACTAGGACATTCCCTGTCTTTCGTTGAGCCATCATTTTTATTATTAGACTATCACCAGTTCCTCAGCGTAATGAACTACATATAGTAGTAAGGACAAATATTCATCAATCAGCTTTTCCTGACAGAGAAATGATTGTTCAATGGACAAGACGTTTTCAACGGGTCAATGCTGTTTACATTGTTGATTCATTGGAAATGTTCTAAAAAATCTAACCAAAGCGAAAAGATTGTAGGTCAAGAACTTCATTTCAAGTGTAAATGCAATAATGCAGCTGTGAAGGTGCATCGGGTGTTTTGGGCAAACAACATTCAGTGGTGGATAAAGGAGTCAATGAGCGTGGACATTGCCATCTCTCCACACAAAGTAATAAGGGGGAGATAATAAGTTGTAGAGGGAATCCCCCGCTAGGTGGCGGAGTTTTTCAGCATTAGCATAAAGTGGATTTGTTTTGGGCGCTCACAAACGATGGCTTCTCAAACTCACAAGAAGAAAGTCTGCTATTATTATGACGGTAAGTGATTTTTCATAAGTTATTTTAGTAATCTGCAAGTTTTAGGAAGTTTCTACGCGATGGTTTTTAAATGAGCACTCATTCCCTTTGTCGGTCACCGCCTCTGAGGAAACTTCCCCATGCCGGTCTGTGTTGTCATTTCAAAGAAAAAGTATTATTTTTGTTGTTTTATGCAGAAACGTAGATTTTACGAAAAAAATACTGGCACGTATTCGCTTTGATTTTATGTGTAGTCATTAAATCCACAACTTTCCTATTTTCTTTGCGTTAAGACTTAAATAGTAGGAAAACATTGCTACAACACACGCGCAAAAAGTATGGAAGCCCCGTTTTCCGAATTATGGCGGTTAAATTTGGAATTTTTGTTTTGGGCATCCAAATCTGCCCAAGATTACTATATATGTCACTGTATGGTTACTGATCTGAATTATTGGAGTTGTTTCATTGAGTCATCGCGACAGTTTAGCAATATAATGGTTTTTGGGCATACAAAATTTATATTTGGGAAAACTATGGCACACCAGTGGTACTATTATGTTGGTGTACCAAGTGTAAAGAACAAGTCATCATTGGTCCTGCAATTCACATCTTATCACTGCAAGATTTGCATGACTGATTAAGATGATTAACAGAAGTGTATATAATTTAATGAATACTCTTACTTAGTTGATGTTAATGAAGAGCTTACTGAAAATGCTGAGGTCATGTTTGCATGGTATTGTACGAAATCATCAGAGATTAGGCCAACAGATCAGTAATTTTGATCAGGTATTTTCAGATGATTCTATTGAAAAATACTGTTTAGTAGTCACATTTCTGTTTTAATGAGCATTCCTTATATATATGTATTGAATTTTGTATTTGTCTATGTAAAAGAATGTTATCAAGTCTAATCAGGAACCGGAATAGGTTTTCATATTTCTGGTATTTACCTTCACTTTTATGGTTGTCACATTCAGTTTAATCACTGTGATGACATTTTGCATACAGTCAATTAGTAATAAAGTGTAAATAATGTTGTTAGAGCTTCACAATTGTGCATAATGGTGTTGGAGACATTGTATTGAGTAATCCTCTACCAGTAACACAACAATCAGTTGACAAAACTGCAGCTGTCATTGGATCACATACAAATGTGAAAACGTACATTTTGTGGTGTCATCTTCAACAGTTTACAATATCTTGTCTTCAAATACTGTATTTGTTTGCAGTCACATGACTGATATAGTGGTTATCCTGTATTGGAAACTAAGGTTGTATATGGTCGTTGTAGGCACAGGTACTACAGATATGTAGCCAGGTGTGTTTCTGTATATAGAGTCCATTCTCCAGTGTCTTGTTTTCTTGACTGAAAAAATCTCACCGCTGTATGAAATGCATTTGATTAAGTTGTATAACAAACAAGTATACACAGTAACAAATATGATGTGCAATCTCACTTGCAATTAGGCAAATGGGGCCAACTACATTTGGTTTTGGGTTAAGGAATATGAAGTCGTCTTCCGTTTTGGGTATATGTTATGTTTCTACAGAAACATGTTTATTACATAGAGCGATGTTTTGATGTAGATTCTTACACTGTTTTCAAGCTAAAAGTGGCTACAACAGAGTGATGAGAAGTATATATACATGGTATATTGGGACAAACATCAGATTAACAATAACATGAACAGCAGCATGTAATTTAATAACAAGTGGCGCATAATTGGATGAAGCCAGGTGGGGTTTAAGATCAACAAATAGCACAGCCATGAAGCCAGTAAGCAGGAGGGATTAAGCAGTAAAACAAGTGAAAATATTGTAATCTACACACTCTATTAAAAAGTGGCTTTATTTGATAAACAGGAAGTTGTTATCCATAAAGTCATACGCTACATTGTTGATGATAACATGGCATGTAATAAATCATTTAAAGCACACAAGTTATGGGAATGAAGGATTGTATAAATGATCATTCTAATTTGAAATATTAGTATACCATCATGACAGAAATCATAACATTCATCATATTTATGCTCACAGTTTGTATTGAGGGTGAAAGACAGCCCACAATTCTGGAAGCCCAAATTTCATAGCATTTCGGTTCACTATTAAATTTGATGTACTGCCTGTGATTGAAATTGTGGGCAGTGTTTGCTCTAGGCATAAAAATTTAGGAGTCATCATGACTCCCTGGTATCATGAGAGGGAGTCATGGACATGGTTTTGGGAGTCAGCTTCAGTTTGGAGCTTTCGTCAAAAACAAGGAAAGACAGGTCAGGTATTTAATCAGCACTGAGCAGTTAAATTGCAAACATTTAGTTTTATAGTTTTAGAAGTTTAGATTGTCTGAACTAAGGGCCCAGTAGCATTGTGTCCCCAATAGTGGTGGTCCGATTAATTGAAATAATCGAAGATTGATCGCAGTGGCCAAACGACTAAGCAATGGATCACATTTTCTCATAATCGAACACAAACGATTTTGGAACAGCTGTAATAGAGTTTGAAATACTTGATGATGGAATATATCTAAGAAAACTCACTTCACTTTCTGAAAACATGACTGAAAGTATTACTGAATATTTCTTGAAGAATCTTGGAAGTTAATGTTACACTGGAACTGAATCATTTTACACTGGATGTGAAATCTGCAAATGTAATTTGTGCAGTTTCTAAAAAAGAAGAAAAGAGAACCGTCATATAAAGCAGGGGCATATAGGGTTACCCTCAGTGTCCGTCCGTCCGTATGTACGAAACAGGGAATGTATTCTATCCACTTCTCCACCATAACCGCTCTGTGGAATTCAATGAACTTATACATGGGCTTTCTTGGGACTCTGATGGTGTGCATCTCATATTTTTTAAATTTTTTTGGATTTTTTTTGTGTGTAAGTTTAGAGACATTTGAACTTAGGTACATTTTGCTGAATTTCTCTATGATGATAGTGCAATAGGGGATGAAGTCTATCCACTTCTCCACAAAAACTGTTCAACAGAATTGAATGAACTTCTACATGTCTTTTGTAGGGACTCTAAAGGTGTGCATTTCATAATTTTTTATGCAATTTCTTAATTTTGTCACTTTTACAGATGTTTGAACTTAGTTGAATTTTGTTCTATTCAGCCAGTGTTCGTTCCATCCAACAGGGGGTGTACGTTATCCACTTCTCCTCAAAAACTACTTTATGGAATTCTTTTAGATTACACATGTGCTTTATAGGGACTCTAAAGGCGTGCATCTCATATTTTGATTTTGTATTTTTTTTTTTTTTTCTAATTTTAATGCCGTTTGAACTTAGATAAATTTTGTTGAATTTCTCTCTGAATATAGTGTTGTAGGGGTGAAGTCTATCCACTTCTCCACAAAAGCTGCTCAACAGAATTGATTGAGCTTCTACTTCGCAGGTTTCATTGGAACTCTAAAGGTGTGCATCTCATACCTTGTTCATCCAATTTCTTAATTTTGTCACTTCTACAGATGTTTGAACTTAGTTGAATTTAGTTCTATTCATCCAGTTCGTCCCATACAACAGGGGGTGTACTTTATCCACTTCTCCTCAAAACCCACTGCACAAAACTCATTTAGCTTACATATGTCTTTTATAGAGACTCTAAATGTGTGCATCTCTTATTTTGTTTTTGTATTTTATAGTTTTTTTTGTATGTTTAGAGACATTTGAACTTAGACAAATTTTGTTGAATTTCTCTCTGATGATAGTGAAATAGGGGATTAAGTCTATCCATTTCTCCACAAAAACTGCTCAACAGAATTGATTAAGCTTATACATGTGTTTCATTGGGACTCGAAAGGTGTGTACTCAGTGTAGGGAACTCTTCCTACAGCAGCGGGGGCATCCGTGTCCCTGGACAGATTTTTTCTTGTTCTTTATATACCTATCAGCAACTACAACCTGAAAAGGAAAATCTAAAAAATGACGCTTACCAATTTTTTTCTAGATGATTGGTCGTTGGTATTGAACCAATCATCAAGTGTGAGATTTCAACCAAATCCCAACACTAGTCCACAATGACGTAAGCTTCTAAATTCACTGTGTATTTGAGGTAATTTGTGCATCAAATACACAGGTTTTCTTTGTCATGGCAAACATTGTATGGTGGTGTCCAGCGGTCTTGGAAGCCCTTAATTGTGAAACGTTTGGATTACCACAATGACTTTCATGCTTAATTTTGAACGCTGTAAACATTAAAGCTTACACATGATATCTTTGTTTCATAAATACTTTTCATATTCATATTGGAATTTCTGTGACAATAATAAATATTTCAGGTGACATTGGAAACTACTACTATGGACAAGGTCACCCCATGAAGCCCCACAGAATACGAATGACACACAATCTTATCCTCAACTATGGACTATACAGGAAGATGGAGATTTATGTGAGTAGATGTGAAAATTATGCAGCAGTGTCAGCTCAGCTGAACATGATCAGAATTAAGGGTGGAAAGAACAAGCACAGTAATTGATTAAATTAACTGAAGTGATTAGTTTGGTGGTCATTGCAAAATGATGGACTGGTGGTCAACAGTTAGTTTAAGGTGCCACAGTTTGTTGTTAAGAGTGGTGTCCCTTGGCAATGCCTGGATCCATGGACCGTGGTTCTACTTCTGTGATGTTTTGTAATGGGACTCCTTTGGTTTGTCAGCATGTCATATTTACACATGCTCAGCTCTTTCAGATTCCCTCCTTAAATGAAGCTGACTTGTTGTGATACAACTGAATATTTTTATAATGTGTATTGAATGAACACCCTTAGCAATTCTTAAATGTACACTCTATCAAATAGATAACAATTTGACCCTTATTAACAGAGGCCCCACAAAGCCACAGCTGAAGAAATGACCAAATTCCACAGTGATGATTACATCAAGTTTTTACGCAGCATTCGTCCAGACAACATGTCAGAATACAACAAACAGATGCAGCGGTGTAAGTCTTGCTAAGTTTTCCTTGTTTTAGATGTTATGTTAGAGCCTTTCTGAAATGTTATTTTGGATAGCTATTTTTTATTTACCATTCCAAATAGGATGATTCACCCCAAAACTTGAATCAAAGAAATGTTTAGCCTTGACAATGTTAACAGTCGTCAAATGTGATGCTAATTCTGTTATCCTCCAAATGAGTGTAACTGAAGAAAATGTTTGTCTCTCTGAAACAAAAATGAGTTGTACTTATATTTGATTTGATTATTATGTACTGACCTATTGCTGTCTGTTGCAGTCAATGTTGGTGAAGATTGTCCAGTGTTTGATGGGATGTACGAGTTCTGTCAGCTTTCTACTGGAGGCTCTGTAGCTGGTGCCGTCAAACTGAACAAACAGGCAGCTGATATTGCTGTCAACTGGGCAGGAGGTCTTCACCATGCCAAGAAATCAGAGGCCTCTGGCTTCTGTTATGTCAATGACATTGTGTTGGCTATCTTGGAACTTCTGAAGTGAGTTAAATGCTCTTTCCTGTAATATAATATGCAGTGAAACATGTCTAAACTGGCACCCCATGGGACCGAAATAAAAAGCCGGTTTAGACAGGGTGCCGCATTAGACAGTGATGATCATTTTCCAACATGACTGCTATTTACACTCGTCAGTCTCTCAATCTAGCACCCTGAGAGGAGTCGAGAAGAGTGTATTGGATTAAGGGACCTTGATTGGACTGCTCATACCCATGCCGGTTTAGACAGTGTTAATTACAGTTAAAATTTCTTGTTGGGACCGGAAAGTCTTGCGGAATACGGAATAGACAGGTGCCAGATTAGACAATGTTTTAATGATCATAATATCGTAAAATGGTGGGACTAAAATTTTATGCCGGTTTTGACAGGGTGCCGGTGTTCGCAGGTTTCACTGTAGTATGTGCCGTTCGGTTTGGGTTGATTCATTTTAACAGTTGAAAAACTGTATTGTTGGGTATTATTAGGAAACAATACATGAAACTGAAGGCTTGGTTGGATATATGAAAAATTAATGCAGTTCCTCTTAAATATATTTATATGGCTAAACGTTTTCACTCTTCATCTTTTGTGTTCTCCCGTGTGGCATATAGTCACAGCAATGTCTGTGGAGCATTTCAACATTCTGATAATTCAGATTATGATGATGCAATGAGAACATCAGTGTAAAGATCTTTTGTATCTGTTTGGGAGTTCGTGAAGCTCTGCCTTGGTATACTCAACTATGACATAATTCTGTATTTTCAGGTACCACCAGCGTGTGTTGTATGTGGACATTGACATCCATCATGGTGATGGTGTAGAGGAAGCTTTCTACACAACAGACCGTGTCATGACTGTATCATTCCATAAGTATGGTGAATACTTCCCTGGTACAGGAGATCTCAGGGTATGCTACCTCTCCCAATTGCTTCTTTATCCATTTAGGATTTTAAAAATTCTAGCATTACATGCCTGTGAGGTTTTAAGATATATTAATATAAGAACAGTATTTAATAAAGCAGCCATGGATTAAAATGACAATTGGTATGAAATCTGTCAATACAGACCAAAATCAATTCAGTTTGTATGTGCAAGCAATGATTTCAATTGTGGGAATATATAGAACAAATGGTATTTTAAATTTGTGTTAAACATGTTTATTTTACCTTTCCAGGTCTTGTCCTTTGCAATTTTAGGATGTGTTTTATATCTTGACAGTTTGTTTTGTCAAATGGTCTCTTTCAGTTGATTAATCTTTATTTACCAAGCTTTGTTGTTCTCCCTCTGCAGGACATTGGGGCTGGTAAGGGGAAGTACTACGCTGTGAACTTCCCCCTCAGAGATGGAATCGATGATGAATCATATGAGAGTATTTTTAAACCGGTATGTTGAAATAGTTTCTCTTTGATGAAGTTAAATACTTTCCATGGTTTCCATTGGATCACTGTAGCCTCAAAATAGTAATGATTGATTTGCCATAGTAATAGAAGTTTTTATACTGGACTTGACTTTGTTGGACTTTTGATTTGTTTGTTTTCTGCAGTTCCAAATAGTAGGATATATCTACAGGAAGTTGTTTGTTACCACAATATCACTCAGTGTCCAGTATGTATTGGCTCCTCAACCTTTCTCTACACTATGCTTGTTTCACTGCCAGGTGATCATGAAAGTGATGGAGATGTACCAGCCCAGTGCTATTGTACTTCAGTGTGGAGCAGACTCTTTGTCTGGTGATCGACTTGGATGCTTCAACCTCACCCTCAAAGGTAGCTACATACACATGACATACCTGTGGTTGTCATGTCTGTACCTACATTTCCAGGTAGTACAAGGGACATGAGCAGTCAGTTCATCCAAGACGGCAGAAACCTATGATAATGGGTTACAAATCTAGTTTACCCTGTGTTTGTTCCTTCCTTTGTCATAATTATACACATGCTTGTGGGTGATCAATATCTCAGACCAACGTCACTTTTCCACAGTTGGGGTAACATTAAATTCACATTTCATGATTATGCCAGTCTTGGTAATATGTTGGTCTAGCCCTGCTAAGGCAGTCTTCCCCTTCATTCTTATCACTTTACAAGCTTTAGCCTAATAACAGTGAGCATTTGCTACTTTGAAAGATGATCACATTGTTTTTCCCTCAACCAGTCTGTGTTACTTACCTAACAGTCCTTATTGGTACTGTTGTATTGCTCTTGTGTAATGTTGGTGGAATCGTGTCGCAGGGCATGGAAAGTGTGTTGAGTACATGAAGAAGTGGAACCTGCCAGTGCTACTGCTCGGAGGAGGAGGTTACACCATCAGGAATGTTGCCCGCTGCTGGACATTTGAGACATCCATAGCCCTTGCCGTGGATATGGCTAATGGTATGTGTGTTATTGTATTACTCTTAATGTTAAGAATAGTACATGTTGAATGTATTTTTCTTTTTATGCAATATTCAGTCTTTCAATGTTTATGATCAGAATTATGCATGTTACAGTTAAACTTTTGAAATCTGCTGGTTAACAGTTCTTAATATTTCGCTGAAGTAAAGGTAAATGTGTAATTATTGTGTGTGTGACTGACCAATTGTTAAGGCATGAATATTGTATGAATAGTCAGGTAATAGAAACATCAGATTTGTTTTTAATTCTTTAGTTCATAAGAATTTCATTGTGTGTCTTGATGTTTCAGAGCTGCCATATAATGACTACTTTGAATATTATGGACCAGACTTCAAACTGCATATCAGCCCTTCCAATATGGCCAATCAGAACACAACAGAATACCTGGATAAAATCAAGTAAGTTTGAAAGATGAATCTAATGAGCCAGTTCTGATAACTGGGAGTGGAGGAATGGATTTAAACACCACATTACAAATATTAGTCCTGATAAGGAGGAAGAACAACATGAATGTCACTTGTTGGAATAATTTAAAGATTTCCAGTCAAGATCTAAATGTTGAAATAAGGAAAAGGTTTGAAACTGGGACATTGTCTGGCTGTAGTTTGGATAATCCATAACTGTTATGTTGATCTACTTAATCAGCTGTTACAAGCTGAGTGGTATTTTGAATGATTAAAGATGACCTTGAAGGACTGCCAGTTTGCCAAATGTTATGCCTCTTTAATTGACAGGGATAGTCACATTCACAGTCACCTTCTGCTTGTCAGATTACTGTGAGAATTTGTTTAGATTTACCTGTGGTTTTGATTTAACTAAACAATGTTTTCAGGACTCGTTTGTTTGAAAATCTAAGGATGCTTCCTCATGCACCAGGTGTTCAGATGCAAGGTAAGCAGTATCACAATCACATATTTGTTCCCAGAGCCTTTCTGATTGACTTGTGTAAACTGGAATACATTGGGGAGAATAATTTTTGTATCAAACAGGAAAATAATGTAGTAACAACTCAATAAAATACAAATTAAATCTGGAATATTGCTGAGTGCAGCATAAAACTAAACTCACTCACTCACTCACTCACTCACAAATTTAAGTTACTTGTATCATGTTATATATGTTGACCGCTCTACTAAATCTTTTACCAGACACGTTTCTTGTTTTCTTGCAGCTATACCAGAGGATGCTATCCAAGATGATAGTGAAGATGAGGAGAAGGAAAACCCTGATGAGAGGATTTCAAGTATGTATTTATCACTATGATATGTTCATTCAAACAATCTTTTGAGAATATGACCTGTTTTGAGACAGGCATATGTATATGTGATTATAGAATCTTTGTTCTTTAGAAACCTACCATAATGGAATTTTTGTTAAAGTTAAATTTTAATATTACAGTTCGAGCCAGTGACAAGAGAATTGCATGTGATGAGGATCTGTCAGACAGTGAGGACGAAGATGGAATTGGACGCAGAGACAGAATGAACTACAAACCAAAACCCAAGCGAGCTCGTAATGAAGATGAGAAGAAAGATGGAGATAAAGGTCAGTTTCTATACCAATATCCATATACTCTGATGGTGGTTTGTCTTAATCTGAGCTAGAAAATGGATACTTCTTCTTGTGACATGCCTCTGTTGATAGACAGTTTACCTGGTGAGCACAAGATCAGTCGATAGCTCATAGAGCCTTGTACAAGTACTGTTTATACATTTTGAACTGTTGATCCCTGCCTGGCTCTCGGCAGTAATAGGTACAACAAGGACTGGTCGGCTTGGAGTCCGTATAATGTGTCTGAGTGGGGTATTCATGCTTCACTACGGCATGGTATCTCAGTGGGCTAGCACTATAAAACCAGCTTCAGTCTGGGCTAGTACAAGCAGCTGCACATACACACGCATGCACATCATCATATGAGCAAAATAATCTCAAGCACGGCGTTAAACCCAATTTCACCTCACCTCACCTCACCTCACATGTTGAACTGTTATCCTATCTCACTGGAGGGGTGGTGGGGTAGCCATTGGTTAAAGTGTTCGCTCGTCACGTTTAAGACCCGGGTTCGATTCCCCACATGGGTACAAAGTGTGAAGCCCATTTCCAGTGTCCCCCGCCGTGATATTGCTGGAATATTGCTAAAAGCAGCATAAAACCATACCTACTCACTCATTATCTCATTGGGCTAGTATTTAGAACGGGTAGAAATCTGCCCAAGTGTTCGCAAATGTGGATGCATGCACATTACTGTATCATTCAAACACTCAACTCTTCTTCTACTGACCTTGTAACGTGAACATTTGAATGTGCACCTGAACTGGTTTCTTGTGTCTAATGTATTTATTAAATCGGGGGATCTGACTTGTGTTGCCTATGCTTACTGGTTTGTCGGATGGGGAGTACATAACCAGCAGACTCGTGTGATGTGAATAAAAATGTTGCTGACTACAGCAGTATACAGCATTCTCTGACTCACTACTAATATGTTTAGTTTGTGTATGTGTAATACAAGAAAAATAATTGCATTTATTATGTTGTTATAGACTCAAAAGATGACAAGAAGGATGTCAAGAAAGAGCCTGGTGAGGCCAAGGATGAGAGCAAGCAGGCTGCAGGGTGAGTCATGACTAAAAGTCACCATTTACTCATGTTTGATCTCTTACACATAGGACCGCCTCCGTGGTGTAGTGGTTAGAGCGTCCGCCCGGAGAGCAGAAGATCGCGGGTTCGATCCCAACCGCGTCATACCAATAGACGTTGTAAAATATGGTACTTGTTGGTCCCTGCCTGGCGCTCAGCATTAGTGGGTACAACAAGGACTGGTCAGCTCGGAGTCAGTATAATGTGTCTGAGTGGGGTTATTCATGCTTCACTGCGGCATGGTATCTCAGTGAGCTAGCACTATAAAACCAGCTTAAGTCTGGGCTAGTACAAGCAGCCGCACATACACACACGCACACACGCATGCACGTTGTCATATGAGCAAAATATTCTCAAGCACGGCGTTAAACCCAATTCAATTTCACCTCACCTCACCTCACATGTTGAACTGTTTTCCTATCTCACTGGAGGGGTGGTGGGGTAGCCATTGGTTAAAGTGTTCGCTCGTCACGTTTAAGACCCGGGTTCGATTCCCCACATGGGTACAAAGTGTGAAGCCCATTTCCAGTGTACCCCGCCGTGATATTGCTGGAATATTGCTAAAAGCAGCATAAAACCATACCTACTCACTCACTATCTCATTGGGCTAGTATTTAGAACGGGTAGAAATCTGCCCAAGTGTTCGCACATGTGGATGCATGCACATCACTATCATTCAAACACTCAACTCTTCTTCTACTGACCTTGTAACGTGAACATGTGAATGTGCACCTGAACTGGTTTCTTGTGTCTAATGTATTTATTAAATCGGGGGATCTGACTTGTGTTGCCTATGCTTACTGGTTTGTGGGATGGGGAGTACATAACCAGCAGACTCGTGTGATGTGAATAAAAATGTTGCTGACTACAGCAGTATACAGCATTCTCTGACTCACTACTAATATGCTTAGTTTGTGTATGTGTAATACAAGAAAAATAATTGCATTTATTATGTTGTTATAGACTCAAAAGATGACAAGAAGGATGTCAAGAAAGAGCCTGGTGAGGCCAAGGATGAGAGCAAGCAGGCTGCAGGGTGAGTCATGACTAAAAGTCACCATTTACTCATGTTTGATCTCTTACACATAGGACCGCCTCCGTGGTGTAGTGGTTAGAGCGTCCGCCCTGAGAGCAGAAGATCGCGGGTTCGATCCCAACTGCGTCATACCAATAGACGTTAAAATATGGTACTTGTTGGTCCCTGCCTGGCGCTCAGCATTAGTGGGTACAACAAGGACTGGTCGGCTCGGAGTCAGTATAATGTGTCTGAGTGGGGTATTCATGCTTCACTGCGGCATGGTATCTCAGTGAGCTAGCACTATAAAACCAGCTTAAGTCTGGGCTAGTACAAGCAGCCGCACATACACAAACACACACACGCATGCACGTTGTCATATGAGCAAAATATTCTCAAGCACGGCGTTAAACCCAATTTCACCTCACCTCACCTCTCTTACACATAGGCCATATAAATAGGATCCAACAAATGTGAAACAATATCAGTGAGAATGCACTTTTGTACACCAAGAAATAGCAAGGGTGAATTGAAACAGTTGTGAATAGACCTCAGCCTCCCTTTTTGTCTGGCACAAAGCAATGTGGATGAAGAATGTTCCAGCAATAACCACTCCTTTAACTGTAATTTTTTTCAGCGTGATTCTCTTTTAGTATTCATACTTCTATCTACATCTTGATTTATGTTCCTGGACACATTGACTTATGTCTTCTATTTCCATTTCAGTGATGATAAGAGTGAAGGAGGTGAAAAGAAAGGTACGTTGAAGTATGAATGTGATAGATCAGTTAGTTATGTTACTGATGTTAGTGTGTTAAGGCTTTCCACTCAAGAGTCACTCACATCACTCCTTAGATCCTAACTGACAATTAAGTCATGTGGGTCCTCTTTTATTGCTCCTGCAGGCGTTGAAATGATTTTTTACCTGTTTTTTGGTACCATTTCTCAAAGGGCAGTCCACCCCAACTGGGTACGCTTGTCTAATATTTGTTGTATTTATTGCAGAGGCTGCCAAAGAAGCTGGTGCTCCCGAAAGTAAGGAGTCAGACCAGAGCAGCCAGGAACCCACCAAGATGGAACATTGAGCTTCGTAATCATTAGGACATGGATTAAGGCACAGCTGTATAAACTCACTTCATCCTGTTGATGGTGTATCAGTCACCATTCACTATGGTTGTAAGACAGAAAATAGGATACAGCTGTTTATGTGCTGGTGATGTATGACGGCACTCATACTACGATGGTACTGTTTCCTGGACAATCCTTTTCCGGTGGAATGAATTGTAATGAACAAATGTGCTACTTCTCAAAGCTCGTGCAGCTATAAGTCAGGTTGTTGTATGTCTGTGAACAGACAACCAGATTGTTATCATGAGACACAGCATATCATTTTTATCTTGCTCATTCATCATCTTTAACCTTCATATATTTCCATGATATTTTGTATTTTTAGGTGTGTTACCATGTAATGAGGTTGACATCTCTCAATTGTCACAGGGACGTTTTGGAAATGTTTTGTATCTCGGACGCATGTCTCCATCAGTGCTATGTATTCACCATGACATCTTGCCTTGGATTTGAACTCCATCCATCTGTTATCATTCACACACAGCTGACAACTCATTACGTTGCTTTGACACATGCTCAGACCACTCCTTTGATGCATTCTCAGATGTTGGTTCAATGAAACTGTTTGCCCTGGTTAAAATTTTGGATTTTTGGAAAGTTTATTGGTGGACATTTGACATACTGTTTTTGAAATGAAGATTTCAATAAGTATTCAGTGTAAAGGATTTATGACTCTTCTCGACTTTTGTGGGAAGACAGGAGACCTGTAGTATAGCCGAGAAGGCAATGGGTTTCATTTAAATGATATTAAAGTATTAAAGGAATTGAGGGACAGGTAGGGTTTATGGTATCTGCCAGAAGCATGCAAGTCCTAAATGGTTAAAATTAGAAGGAACCATTAAGTTATTACTGACAAAGATGGTAATAAGTGTACATAATAATAATTGTCTTTGTTACTGCATCAACTGACTTATAATCATGATCACAAACAAATTGGTTTTAGAAAATTCTTAATACATCCAAAGAGGATCAAGTTTTCAAAATTGTAAAAACAGTTAATCTATCTTGGATGTATTGTTTGTAAATGAAAGGCTGTACATAGAATGTGTTTGTATTTTGTAACTGCACACTGTTTGGAATTTATGCTTTTGTCTCTTAGTATTGTATTTATCTCTTGATCTGGGTAATTAATCAAGTCTTAAAACAGTGAATCCTACTTGTTTTATTTGGGGTGATATGTTCTGGTCTAGTCAGTTCCAAGCTTGTTGCCAAGTCATAGCTGGAACAGAAATGAGCCCATTTCTTGACCATGTTGATGCATGTACAATATCATATTACTACAATGTTTGGGGACAAATTAGTATTTTTGTCTTTACTTTTGTACATATCTTTCAGCTTGGCAAATATCATGTTTAGTCTTATGGACCTGGACATTATTCAATTTTGGATTTTTGGACTTTCATACTAATTTTCCTTAGTTTTATGAAGAATCATTTTCATTTTGAATGGAAACACTCATTGAAACTCACTGTAATAAACATCTGAAAGTACACGTTTTTCTGCATGTTCTGTTGCTTCCCTGGACACATTCCCTTTACATCTTCACACAAGTTTATTTTCCCTTGCGCGCTTAGGGGGGGATATAGTATTAGGCTCCGTCCGTCCGTACGAATTGGAATATCTTAAGAACCGTTGACTAGATTCTTTTCATATTTGGTACCTAGGTTCATCACAGTATAAGAAAGGCTCCAGTCAGGTTTGGTGACCTTGACCTTCATTTCAAGGTCACAAGGGGACTTTAACGTTTTACCCTTGTCAGCTGAGATATCTCAAGAACTGTTCACTGGAATTTCTTCATATTCGACATCAAGCTTTATTTAAGGAAGGCACAGGGCCCAGTCGATTTTGGTGACCTTCACTCAATTTTCAAGGTCATGGCGACACTTTGAAGATTTCAGCATGTAAAGCTTCATGTGAAGATTGTCAGCAAGATACCTCAAGAACTGTTCACTGGATTTTCTTCATATTCAACACCAAGCTTTATCTAGGGAAGGCACAGTCCCAGTCAATTTTGAACCTTCATAATTTTCAAGAACGACACTCACTGATTTCAGCATTTTAAACTTCATGTTAGACTATTCAAGACTTCACTGGATTTTCTTCATAGACTTTCAAGACTTCCCTTGAATGTTTTTCAATAAGCAATTTTTTATTACTAATTTTGCATATTTTATACACCAAGACATTCATGTCATGGTCAAAGTGAGTCTTTGAACAACTACAGAGCAAGATATCAAGAGAGGTTTACTGGTCATGTGTTTGTTGACATTTAACTTCATCTTAAACTACGACCTTCACTTTCATTACTGTTTAAGTTTGATTTGATAATTTGCGGCGGGGATTATGTCACCTTAGTGACAATGCTTGTTGATATTTACAAGCTCTTCAGTTTATTTTATATTACAGCATAACTGGGACAACTAGTTTACAGTTGGAGAAATTGTTTACCCAGAGAACATCTGGAGGCACATGCTAAGCAAAATATGGGGCAAAGGTGTGTGTCTGTACCAGGACAATGGAACTCCAGCTGTATAAGCATATAAAAACTTTATTCAGTCACAGACTTGTTAATGTCACACATGGTGTTGTGAAAGTGACATACAATACTAACATGTTAGAGAAACAAATATACAACAATATGATACTGGAATATTCAATGTTTCTATTCATTAACTATATTTGTAAGGGATCATACAACAATAACAACACAATATAATTTGTTCATTCTTACACAACAATACATAATTAGTGTTATCTTCCTAAAAATATAACAATATCACAGTGAGTTGTATGGATTAGGCAGAGCTGGCTAGTCCATGGTCTTAATGCTGTGGAAGTCTACATCATGGCCAGGGTTGGACAGGACAGCTTTCACATCCTGGAACAGTGAAATAAAGAACATTAAATTAAGCCATTTGTTTCTATCTCTAATACTTGTCACAACATTCCAACTCTAAATGTCTGTTACCTCTGTAATGTCATACTACAATCATATTTTCATGTCAACTGAATTCTTGTCACGCAGACCACAAGGCACAAGAGTCACCAGCAGTCTTTAAGAGCTCATGATTGAATGTTACAATGTGAGACTTGATCACTAATGATGTAGATCTTTCCTTAAGCTGGTTCTTCCTGTGTCAGATTTTATCATTCACACATGCTACTCTGCTACACCTGCGAAATTGTTGAAAGTCCCAGTTTACACACTCCTATTAGGGCGTTCTTCCATTGCCCTGTATTTATTGTAAAGAATCTAATCCCATGTTTAATCAAATGGGGGTCAAGACCATTGTTTTGATGGTCTGTCTGACTCATACATTTTTACTTTGCATGATTGCTGATTGCAATGGGAAACAACATTCATTCAAAAACACCTGCATAAGACAGTTAAGGGAAGGACTTGACACATCATATCTCCACATCTACCCACCAGCAGTTTGAATGTCTTGCAAGCTGTGACAATGTCTTGGATGAGTGGGTGTTCAATAAGGATCTTGTACTGGACTGGTTCCACCTCATCATCACCCAGCTCTCGGTACACCACACCCAAACGCTCCTGTTAAACATTTAATAAGATCATTTGCAAACATGTCCAAACATGTAAGGCTCACTAATGCCATTGACGGTGACTCACTTGAGCTAAACTCCAATAATAATTATTCTTGACAAAAATACAAGATCTGCATAAAACCTTGCACCTTACCTTACCTTTAACAAAGAAAAATTACCCAAATCTGTAAAACAATCCAGGAACAACTTTGATGTGGGATTGTTCTGATTTCAAGAGATGTGATTTGTGAAAATTCTCAAAGAATGCACCACTCTTATAGATATAGAGGGTGATCCCTAAATCTGAAAACAGTCCATTCAGATGTGTTCATTTGAACCAAAATTCCCTAGGGTTTCTTTAAGTTCAAAGGTTTAAATGGCTGTAATTCTTAAAAACATTAAGATATCGGTCAAAATCTTAACTGCACCTCTCCTTTAGACAAGGAAGGAAGACCCAATTTTGAAACATTCCACCAAATGGTTTTCATGTTACTGGTTGAATAAAAATGTTGTTGGATGGACAAAATTCCTTGGTGTAACTATTTACTATATTACCTTTTAGTGAGTGAGTGAGTGAATTGGGTTTAATGCCACTTTTAGCAATATTCCAGCAATATAACGCCGGGGGATACCAGAAATGGGCTTCACACATTGTACCCATGTGGGGAATCGAACCCGGTGTACTTTAACCACTAGGCTACCCCACCGCCCCTACATTACCTTTTAAGTCAAGGGTATAACACTTGAGAAAATAAATAGTACTAATGTACTTAACACTGATTTAAGAATTGTTAATTTTATAAATATGCTAAATTTTACAAATATTGTTCATGTTTTTCACAATGCAATCTCCATGTCTTGTTTGATTTGGAGAAACATTTAATGTGCTAATGTAGATGTTATGTGTTGACTTCTAAATATAACCTCCATGATTAACTCAGAAATAGTATGTACAGACTTGATTGTGAGATGTACAGCGGACTGAAAGAAGTTAATTACTGAAGACTTCCTGATAGAATCCAGGTTAAACCAACATACATGAGATAACCTAGAGGTGACCTGTCATGTATTCAGTACAACTACTTCCTGCTCTTACCATGGAGGTGGCATCCTCTGGGTCTGCTGAAACGCTGAAGCGGTGACTTTCTCCATGGCAACTCTCTCCATGGTGAAGCACCTAATTAGACAAAAGTCCAAAAAAGTTGACAAATAATACACAACTGGTGTCAAATTCTCTTGACTCTCCCTTCTAGACCGAGGCCTAATTCTGCAAAGTGATCTCAGCTCTATGAGTACTTACAGTTTGTGTTTAACATAATTCCATGACTTCAGCCAAAATCAAAAGCCACAATAGAGCAAAAGAATATTTCAGTACAATAAACTAATCTAATACAAAATACTAATACTAAAAAAATCCATTCCAAATGGTGCAAGGTCAGACTATTAGACACAAACTGACTGTGGCACAAACTGAAGTATGATGGTTACAACGCCCTAAGCCTAAACTTTACATAACTGGATGGCTGGTATGTTGTTTAACACCATACTCAGCAATATTGCAGCTATATTGCAGTGGTCTGTAAATAATTGAGTCTGGACCAGACAATCCAGTGATCAACAGCATGAGCATTGATCTACCCATTGGGATATGACGACATGTGTCAACCATGTCAGCAAGCCTGACAATCCGATCCCTGGGAGGAATGATGGACATATGTCTATAAGTGATCTCTAATATAGGCCAGAGATGTTTCTAGATATGGAGAGTCTCTCAAAACATGATGGTTCAGACCTGATCCACATGTACACCATAGAGAATCATTCCAGTACCTACCTTGTACAACGCCTCAACAGGGACCTTGGCTTCCAAAGACTCAGGAGGAATCTCTTCGCTTGTCATGGGTGGTTCCACTGCTTTCTCCTCTTTCTCCTCCATCTCAGGGGTAACCAAGGCCAAGCTGGAGGATTAACAGTCAAATATGATTTTCATCCCACATGATTCACTTCATTTTATTGTCCCAAATGGAACAGTACTGACACAAAAGAGTGTATGTGTTAGACACTGCATTACTGCTAAAGATCCACAACATTAAGTACAGCAGTATTGCCCAGTGGTTTACCTACCCCTCTTCAAGACTCTTGAGTCTGTCAGTGTTGGCTGGGGTAGTGGACACAGGGATGACCGGCTTCTCTAGTCTGGGCATGTGTGTGCCGGCAGCCACAGGACAGCGCACGCAGGAAACCCTCATGGCTGTTGGGTACTGCACTGAAGTACATGAGCTGGAACACAAGTATATCATGTAGTGGATGAGTCTACAGACATAACCTGACCATCTAAATGGATAGAATGTCATATAGACCCTGAAACAAATATATCCAACACAGCCTGTGCAAGTTTATATGTGGCAAGTGTAGAAAACTGAAGTTTCAGAAAAAGAAATTGGCTCTTTTATATTATTCTGGTAATTTATGAATTGTCATTTTCGGTAAAATATGTTCAGTTCATAGACTAAATGTCAACCAACTTGACAACAACCCAATCTATGACTAACCTTCCCACGGCACTTTAACACAGACATATTATAGTCAAAGTACCAGCTGAACTTTGTTTACATTATATAAGTATAGCATCACCGAAAACCTATTGTTGGATACTGGGCACTATATATTCATTGTTATCCCATGTCAAGGTTGAGTGGGATGCAAGCCTGATAACATCAATGTTGTGACCACTTGTGAAAAGCATAGGTTACTGGGAACCTAGAATGCAAACAGATGAATTTGAAAAGCTATGATGTATTTTGCAGTAATGGAGGCACCCACCATGGCAGTATAGTTCAACACAGCTGGTGTCTTGTCAAGGTCAGCAAACATGTCGAACATGACCTTCTTGAGGTTGGACAGACGGCAATAGCTGGTCACTTCTGTCGTAGATTCCTCTGTGTTGAACCACAAGTCAGTCTGAAAGATGACATTCAGTAAATATTTTTTCATAAAAGTGTCTTCAAAATGAGGACTCAATTGAATTTAACCACTATTAGCTAAACACTACAAACATTCAAACTCTAATCTTACTGGAGGTATTTGCATAACTCAACTAATGTATATGGATAAAACAAATTACCTTAAAATTATCCCAAAATATTTTAATTCTGCTTTGATCTAAACATAAATGGCTAGCAGAAAATATCTCACTCATCTGAGAGGTAGGTAGATAAGGTTTTAGGGCGACCTTGGGCCTCATCTGAGAAGTTGGGTTGGAAAGAGTTGCATCCCTTTTTAAACAGGATCTGCTTATTGTGGGCAGCATGGGATGAAACTGAGCAAACAAAGGTTTCTGCATAAGAAACATTATTTTCTTCCTACCCTGTCGTACTGTTCCCTGGTGACGAAGCCTGTATCTTTCTGGTCCATCTCCTTGAATCTGACCAGCGTCTCCAACAGCTGTGCCTGGGTCGGTGTTGGCACTGGTGAAGTCAGCGCCATGAGGAAGCGGCGCCAGTCCACATACTCTGTGTCGGAGGCCAGGGTTGTGGAAATATCCTGGATCTAAACATGAACATAACCACAAATGTATAATTTGTTCTCTTCCTATTTCAAACCTACTGGTGATACTTGTACAGATCTAATAAATTTCATCTTGCTTGGCTCCAAGATTAACTAATATCTAACAGATTTTAAGGATACAATTTTTATCCATTCATACTGTACTGTGTATATGTGCCCAGAAAACAGTTTTTCCAGACTGAAAATGTTTCACTGTTTTATCTCTGTCATAAGGGCTTTCAAGTCAAGGAATAGCAAGAGAAGGGAAAATGAACAAATTTGTAAATAAATGTCACATGTTTTACAGTGCACCAATTCAAGACAGGTGATACACATTTATAAAGTACTTCACAAAAGAACATATGTTATATTTGGGATTACACATTCTTTGTAAAGTACCGATTCTAGTACTTTTGTTATGTTGAGTCCCTTTCGGGATTTGAACCCAGGCACCTAATCGCCAGCACACAAAGTCACAAAAGAAGCTAAAGACCATTGTGTTTATGCTTCCATACACCTATTTCCTTTTTTTTAAAATTATCTTTTTTATTTCAGAAACCCGTTACAAATTGGGGCTCCAGCCCACTATTTCCCGGTTAGAATGAGCAGAAGCATTATTGTGCTAAAAACATCACTGAAGTTGCATTGTTCTCTAAAGTGTTTAAGACATATATCAAATGAGCAGTCTATGAAGGTGCTATTGCTGACATGATTGTATTAGAAGTTACCTAAACACTTTTTGCATTTATGGAGATATACTAAATATGTAAGTCCAAAAGAAATGTGAATATTGCAAATGTTGTATCTACATGAAATAGGACCTTGATCAAGTCAAAGTGTTGGATGCTCAGACAGTTATTCTCATCACAAGTATGTTGTGATGATACCAAACACAATGCAGTGTAAAGTTATTTCCCATCACTCTTCAATGGCACAATCTAATGTTGAGTTATTAACATTATCACAAACCACATCTGGTTATGAATAAGATCACTGTGTGTTCATTTTAAGGACTCAAACTGTTTTCTTTGGATGTTTTCATAAGCAAAAATGAATCTCATTAGTCACCATTGTATCACAGTTTTACATGATTTGCATTTCTTTTGGAACTGAGTATATATAGCGGCTTGAAGAGACTGTCCCCAAGTCTATGATGGCAATAGGTAGTCAGGTTGTTTTCAAAGTTGTTTGAAAAAATGCTAAGAGACGCATCATAACAGGGATGTTTTTGTGTCTCCCTGACAACATTATGTTTTGATGCAGGTTTAGGCAAACCATGAATCTATTCCTATGATATGTAAGTGTCATTAACTCACTTGGCAGCACCGACTCACCTGACTGGGCGTGACGTTCATCCAGACATCGGGTAGTTCCTCCATTCCGTGAGTCACGGCCACAATGTTCTCAAACGTCTCACAGAAGGACTTACTGGACATCACCCCTGTCGGCGCCGTGGCTCTGAACTGTGGAATGGAACCATTGATTGTGTGGAAGATGCACAGCCAGGTAAACAAAGCATGTCAACATGCATGTCTCAGAAAACAGCACTGATCTGACCTAAAATTCACAGACATATCAGAGACAGTGCAAAGGTACAAAAATATGGTGAAAGTTTAATTTTGGGTCACAGATTGATCAAATTTAAGTTTCTATGGTGAGTTGGATTTACTCTTTTCAGGGAATTTTCTGTACCTAATCATTCAATAAACTTGCTAGACAAGGCTCAGTTGTCAGTTGCATGAATGTGTCCATTGACTTATGACAATGTTTCAAAGTTTAATTCCAGAAGGCCAAAGATCATTCCGTGTCCTTTCGGCTTAGAGCTGAACAAATACATCAGACTTTGTAAATATTAAAATCTGACAACCTTCCTCTACACCCAAGCCCATTTGCATGCATAAAATACCTGTTGGAAGAGTCCCATCAATTGGTCGACAGTAAACTGGTCTGTCATTGTCTGCTCAATTGGCTGTGGATGAGGTGGTGGTGTAGGTGACCTGAGCACAACTTGGTCCTGTAAAAGTACCGACAGATGATGAATGGTTCAAGGCTGTACATGCATTAGGAGTGACTCACATTGTATAAACCATGGTATAACTGTCATATGTTCAAATTCTATATTGATTTTCAAGAACTAATACAATATACCTGTGGGAAGATTGACAGTTTTTGTAACGTGAACATTTTAATCAGCACCATCATGGCTTTTAAATACTCATTATGAATGAGAACAGAATTCCTGCTTGTTTGATTTCTGATTCTCAAAAATTTATACATTTGGGAGTTCCAAATCCAAAAACTAAAAGTTGTGCTATTACATTGTTGTAGATAGGTCTTACATCTGAGTGTCATTGCATCTTCACAAAAAGGATTTATTGTTTGGGAATATTTATTTCAGCAATGAATTCTAATGATTTTGTTAACAACATCACCAGTTAAAACATAATCTAGGAAATAGTTTATTATCTGAACATTTTTTTATTGATATTACTATCTGATCTCAATATATTATAGCTATGCACAAACATGATAAATGTGCAAAATGTGCATTTCTAATGACCTGCAACAAGCAAAATCTTCCTGTAATTTATTCATCTTAATTTACCTTTTGACTGTTTCATAACAATCAAGTGTAAATATGCATAAAATGGGTTGAAAGTGAATAACAGAAACTCCATCACCATATATACAAGTGCAACAATGTCCTTCTTTCACATTCAAATATTGCTGTGCTGTTTCTCATTAACATCTCTGACATTTGTGAGTGAACTATCTAGCCTTCATGGACCCCAAATTTGTCCTTTGGTCTCCATATCTTAATACTGCTGTGCTGTTTCTAATGTACACCTCTGATATATGTGAGTGAACTATGTGAGTGAGTCTTAAAGTGTCTCTTAATATAAAAGAAGCGAATGTGATGTACAACATGCAGTGGCAGACTTATAAATGAAGCATCCTCGTCAAACTCACAATGTCAACATCAACAATGAGGACATCCTTTTGAATGCAACATGGAAAAATACAACATTTGAATATACATGTACGTATTTTGCTAATGTCATTTTGAATGATTTCTCTTTAAAAACATGTAAAGAATACTTGCCTTCTTTCAGTTTGCAATTGTAATACATACTCAACTGTGAGATAACGTAACATATGCCTCAGATGTACCCATTTCAGTTGTACCCAGTGTAAACCACTTGATGAGATAATATATTATCTCAGACAAAAACAAATTGTGACAGGTTTTATTATTCCTCCTTCTTTCTCTCTCCCCCCCCCCCCCTCTCACACACACACACACACATTCAAATAAACCTTTTTTGTTTCCTATTCTCCGCCAAACATTTTCATTATATATCCTATGTAACTTTTGTGTTTTGCATGGTGTAATGCACCACTTAGAATTCAATGGTGAGTGAGTTGGGTTTAATGCCAGACTAGACAGTATCCCAGATATAACATGCCAGCTCAATGTGGCATGAGTATGGTACTGACAAACATGGAAACATAAATGGAGTCAAAAGGGTACTGAACCCACTAGAGTGAGTGTGTGAGCTGGGTTTAATGCCAGACTAGACAGTATCCCAGATATAACATGCCAGCTCAATGTGGCATGAGTATGGTACTGACAAACATGGAAACATAAATGGAGTCAAAAAGGTACTGAACCCACTAGAGTGAGTGAGTGAGTTGGGTTTAATGCCAGACTAGACAGTATCCCAGATATAACATGCCAGCTCAATGTGGCATGAGTATGGTACTGACAAACATGGAAACATAAATGGAGTCAAAAGGGTACTGAACCCACTATAGTGAGTGTGTGAGCTGGGTTTAATGCCAGACTAGACAGTATCCCAGATATAACATGCCAGCTCAATGTGGCATGAGTATGGTACTGACAAACATGGAAACATAAATGGAGTCAAAAGGGTACTGAACCCACTAGAGTGAGTGAGTGAGTTGGGTTTAATGCCAGACTAGACAGTATCCCAGATATAACATGCCAGCTCAATGTGGCATGAGTATGGTACTGACAAACATGGAAACATAACTGGAGTCAAAAGGGTACTGAACCCACTAGAGTGAGTGAGTGAGTTGGGTTTAATGCCAGTCTAGACAGTATCCCAGATATAACATGCCAGCTCAATGTGGCATGAGTATGGTACTGACAAACATGGAAACATAACTGGAGTCAAAGGGTACTGAACCCACTAGAGTGAGTGAGTGAGTTGGGTTTAATGCCAGTCTAGACAGTATCCCAGATATAACATGCCAGCTCAATGTGGCATGAGTATGGTACTGACAAACATGGAAACATAACTGGAGTCAAAGGGTACTGAACCCACTAGAGTGAGTGAGTGAGTTGGGTTTAATGCCAGTCTAGACAGTATCCCAGGTATAACATGCCAGCTCAATGTGGCATGAGTATGGTACTGACAAACATGGAAACATAACTGGAGTCAAAGGGTACTGAACCCACTAGAGTGAGTGAGTGAGCTGGGTTTAATGCCAGTCTAGACAGTATCCCAGATATAACATGCCAGCTCAATGTGGCATGAGTATGGTACTGACAAACATGGAAACATAACTGGAGTCAAAGGGTACTGAACCCACTAGAGTGAGTGAGTGAGTTGGGTTTAATGCCAGTCTAGACAGTATCCCAGGTATAACATGCCAGCTCAATGTGGCATGAGTATGGTACTGACAAACATGGAAACATAACTGGAGTCAAAGGGTACTGAACCCACTAGAGTGAGTGAGTGAGTTGGGTTTAATGCCAGTCTAGACAGTATCCCAGATATAACATGCCAGCTCAATGTGGCATGAGTATGGTACTGACAAACATGGAAACATAAATGGAGTCAAAAGGGTACTGAACCCACTAGAGTGAGTGAGTGAGTTGGGTTTAATGCCAGTCTAGACAGTATCCCAGATATAACATGCCAGCTCAATGTGGCATGAGTATGGTACTGACAAACATGGAAACATAACTGGAGTCAAAAGGGTACTGAACCCACTAGAGTGAGTGAGTGAGTTGGGTTTAATGCCAGTCTAGACAGTATCCCAGGTATAACATGCCAGCTCAATGTGGCATGAGTATGGTACTGACAAACATGGAAACATAACTGGAGTCAAAAGGGTACTGAACCCACTAGAGTGAGTGAGTGAGTTGGGTTTAATGCCAGTCTAGACAGTATCCCAGATATAACATGCCAGCTCAATGTGGCATGAGTATGGTACTGACAAACATGGAAACATAACTGGAGTCAAAAGGGTACTGAACCCACTAGAGTGAGTGAGTGAGTTGGGTTTTAATGCCAGTCTAGACAGTATCCCAGGTATAACATGCCAGCTCAATGTGGCATGAGTATGGTACTGACAAACATGGAAACATAACTGGAGTCAAAGGGTACTGAACCCACTAGAGTGAGTGAGTGAGTTGGGTTTAATGCCAGTCTAGACAGTATCCCAGATATAACATGCCAGCTCAATGTGGCATGAGTATGGTACTGACAAACATGGAAACATAACTGGAGTCAAAAGGGTACTGAACCCACTAGAGTGAGTGAGTGAGTTGGGTTTAATGCCAGTCTAGACAGTATCCCAGATATAACATGCCAGCTCAATGTGGCATGAGTATGGTACTGACAAACATGGAAACATAAATGGAGTCAAAAGGGTACTGAACCCACTAGAGTGAGTGAGTGAGTTGGGTTTAATGCCAGTCTAGACAGTATCCCAGATATAACATGCCAGCTCAATGTGGCATGAGTATGGTACTGACAAACATGGAAACATAACTGGAGTCAAAAGGGTACTGAACCCACTAGAGTGAGTGAGTGAGCTGGGTTTAATGCCAGTCTAGACAGTATCCCAGATATAACATGCCAGCTCAATGTGGCATGAGTATGGTACTGACAAACATGGAAACATAAATGGAGTCAAAAGGGTACTGAACCCACTAGAGTGAGTGAGTGAGTTGGGTTTAATGCCAGTCTAGACAGTATCCCAGATATAACATGCCAGCTCAATGTGGCATGAGTATGGTACTGACAAACATGGAAACATAACTGGAGTCAAAGGGTACTGAACCCACTAGAGTGAGTGAGTGAGTTGGGTTTAATGCCAGTCTAGACAGTATCCCAGATATAACATGCCAGCTCAATGTGGCATGAGTATGGTACTGACAAACATGGAAACATAACTGGAGTCAAAAGGGTACTGAACCCACTATAGTGAGTGAGTGAGTTGGGTTTAATGCCAGTCTAGACAGTATCCCAGATATAACATGCCAGCTCAATGTAGCATGAGTATGGTACTGACAAACATGGAAACATAACTGGAGTCAAAAGGGTATTGAACCCACTAGAGTGAGTGAGTGAGTTGGGTTTAATGCCAGTCTAGACAGTATCCCAGGTATAACATGCCAGCTCAATGTGGCATGAGTATGGTACTGACAAACATGGAAACATAACTGGAGTCAAAAGGGTACTGAACCCACTAGAGTGAGTGAGTGAGCTGGGTTTTATGCCGCTTGTAGCAATATTCCAGCAATATCACATTGGGGGACACTAGGAATGGGTGTGACGAGCGAACGCCTTAACCATTAGGCTACCCCACAGCACCGAGCCCATTGTTCTGTACAGCGAATTGTGGCACCTTAGACAACTGTGCCATTCCATGGCTGTATACTTGCACCATGCTTGACATCAACAATTACAAACACGAAATTAAACAGATTTGTCTATGTACCCTAAAAACAGGATCATGATATCATTCCTCATACTGCCAACCAGTGGTTTGGCACAATCGATCGCAAACATCTGCATGCCATTGAATACCACTCTGATATCTGACATTCACTCACTCACTCACTCACTCCACATGGCTATAGCTCATGGTATAGGCCCATCACTGTAGGTACTCACATCGTCCAACATGAAGTCTTCCTGTTTAAGGACAAGTTCTGCCTTAATTCTCTGCCTATTCTCAATGTTGTATCTCACTGTCTCCGACATGTGGTCGATGCTGAAACAGAGTCACAAGCATCAGCGTACAGATACAGATGATGTGAGGACATTATATCTTTATAGGTTATTCTTCACCAGATCAGAATCCATAGTTTAACAGCACTTTTAGAGAACCTTCAGTGCAGACTGAATCATCTGGCTGAGTTTGTGTAGGATTATTGCGTTTTTTTTAAAATGTACATCCATCCAGGAATTAAAATTGACCTTATTTTTCAATATTTAGTGCTGCTTTTTTTGATGACTTATACTGAATGTGGTGATGGTATTTATCTGCTTGAGATGTTACAAGTTGCAGATAAGTCTTTTGATTCTAGTAACTGTACGTTTATCCTGATAAAGTTCTTTGTCTAGCATATCCATGTATAGAGTGAAGAGTGACCACAGACATCACCTTCCCCTAACAACTGAATGCCATGGAACCTACGTATCTGTGAATGGTGGGTCAGTTTTATGCCACTTTTAGCAATATTCCAGCAATATCACAGCAGGGGACACCAGAAATGGGTTTCACACATTGTATGCTTTAGCTGCTAGGTATGTATCTTTGAAGATCTGAGTATCATGGAGCTGTAATATATATATAATACTTGACTGCTCCCTTTTTTCAAATCAAGTACTTTTAAAAAATCAAATGATTCTGTTAGGTTTCTGACAGAACAGGACATACCTTTCCATCTCCTTGAGGTATCTGGCTCCAAGCCAGTCATTCATGTCCTTGAAGGCATTGTCTCCCTTGCTCTTGAGGTCCTGGAGAATGGCGATGCCAAGGACCTTGATGAGATCCAAGCGAACTTTGAGGCACGCTCTGCAAGACAACAATAAGGCATTTCACTATTTTGTTGCCCTGACTTTTCAGGAAACTTCATAACAAGAAACGACAAATACTGAGTACACTGTATAATATCTGTAGTGGAAATAGATAAAAAACTGTCATGATACCATGATAGCTCTTTCTTCTGTGAGACAAAGGACCTGTTTCCCTGTCGGGCTAAGTAAGAAGAGAGATAACCAAGCACATACCTTCCTGTCCAATAGCAAAGTAGTACTCCTCCCTCATCTTTTCTCTCAATAACTTCTTCTGTTTCTCTTCCTCGCTCTCTTCTTCTGTTTCTGTAGGGAACCAAATATTTTGTCATTCATTCTCCTCGAGCGACGTAAAACCATACTCACTCACTCACTCTTTCTAACTCTGGAGGCAAGCTGACACTACTGCAGGTCTTACATGTTTACTACAGTGGCATAACACTGCTTGACTGAGTTTTGGTTTTACGCTGCTTTTAGCAATATTCTAGCAATATCACGGCGGGGGACACCAGAAATGGGCTTCACACATTGTACCCATGTGGGGATTCGAACCCGGGTCTTCGGCTTGACTAGCCAACGCTTTAACCACTAGGCTACCCCACCGCCCCTCAGTGGCATAACAAACAAGCACAGGATATAATGGTTCGGTCAACATATGGAAAATAATGAGATAATCAGGGATTCAAGCCCAGATTAGCTGATTCTGTTATATCTAAGGGACATAACTCTCCATGGCAAATTGGGCTTGACATATATATTAAGATGGACATTAAGTGAAGATGAGAGACATCCACAGTAAGCTACTCACGGGGAGGTGGAGTAGGGGCAGCATCAGCCTCCGGTTTCTTCTTGGGGGATGGACTGCGACTCTTGCCACCCTTCTTCCCTCCCTTCTTCACCTGAGTCTTGGCCTTCTCTTTCTCCTTCTCCTTCTCCTTCTCCTGCTCCCTCTGTCGTTCTGCTTCTTCCTCTGCCTCACGGGCTGCAAGCTCCAGAGACATCTGCAGAAAGGTAAAACTTGGTGTCAAACTATATCAGTTGATGAACAAATCATAACAGGTTCTCGACATCAGTGAATGTTGTTACACAATATGCTTTGAGTTGAGATGTGATTGTTGAAGCAAGTCTTTACTAAGATCTACATTCAGGTAATAATTCAACATGACCACTCAATCTCAATATATTTGCTTCCTCTGATTATCCAATACTGATTATCAAGAGTACAATTTGGACTCCATTTATTTGTCATAACCAGTGATCTCATGACACTCATAAATGTAATAGTTATAGTCAACAGTACATGTGCAGGCTTTAAACTACTGACTTGAACAACATATTCCATCCTTGCAAATCTCACTTCCCGAAAGTACAGTTTATATTGAAATATTTGTTATCATTCAATTTCATGAAGGGCTACAATATCGCGAGTGAATACACTGATCCTTTGAGATCAAGTGTATTTTACAGCCAAACCACAGCCAAGAAATCATGCAATACACTGAAGATACCAATATGACTCTTTTAGCAATATTCCAGCAACATCACGGCAGGGGACACCAGAAATGGGCTTCACACATTGTGCCCATGTGGGGATTCGAACCCAGGTCTTCGGTGTGACGAACCAACGCTTTAACCATTAGGCTACCCCACGGCCCCAGATACCAATATGAGAAATGGAGACTTGATTATCATGTATTTTAAAAAACAATGATATCCCTACATGAAATTGTATCTTTTGTATGGATGCAAGATGACACAATACAATACTTATATCATTTTTCTATGCCCTGGTAACTTGTCACTGTTGTTACAGCCCATACTATGGAAGACCTCAAAATCAACCCAATAGTGAAATTTCAATATTACCCAAGAAACATCTGAAATGTAACAAGTTTCTGCAAATGCCATATTACAATTGTGGCAGTGTCATATTTTTACATTTTATTTATTTGTGTAAATACGGTATCATCTTTAAACAGTTGGTTGTGGTAGTTAGTTCTATTGGATTAGGTTTTTATTAGAGTATGTATGGTATTTGTCTCCAGCTTGATTGCCCCAAGCTGGACCTGGATCTATTGTATTAATGTGGGAGACCAGGGTGTTCTTTTGTTCTTAACTCAGAGGGCAAGCTATTCCTTGATCTCTGATTGGTCAGTTTAATGTTGCCTGTTTTCTTCTTTACTAACATCAGCACATTTTAATTTGTCTACCACATACAGTCGCACAGGAAAGGCATCTTAACAGATTTCTTGACATTTTGACAGACAGAGTTCTCCTTCAGCTCTACAACCACTCTCTGTTTAAGGTATATTAATTAAATTATAAACATTATGTAGGTTCTTATATTTATGTAAAATTATATCACAAATATTATTCTTGCTTAGGTTATAATATTGTGTCATGTGATGGTATGAATGTGTTTTAAGATTAGTGTAAAATAATGTTTATAGGCATGATTTTCATGTTTACTGCATGAGGATTATTATGATAAGTTTATTAGTAATATTTTATAAAGTCAGGAGACACATGAGCATTTGGGCCTGCTCAGCAGCCATCTTTGTCAGCCATGTTGTCTACTTGTTGGTACATGTAATGCTTGTGCCTCAGGGCTCCTTTTCATTATATTTTATTTCTTTTTACTATGAGCTTTTTTACTGTAACATATGTTCATTTCAGAGACTAGTTGTTAGTCTAAACTGTTCATTGTATATATTTGTAAGGATATCACATCCCAAGTAATATGTATAAATTATATATATCCTAAAATTAACAAAACCTAACACAACAATTACTAGAGAACTCACAAAAATAACTAAAAGCACAAACATTAATTACAATATATAGGGTCGAACCCTGTTGTATGATAAGGGCCCCAGGCATGGTGGGGTTACAAAAAATAATATGGGGGAACGGAAAGAACCCTGTCCAGGTATATATATATTATGTAGGTTTGTTTTATAGATGTATATGTTTATTTACGCCATTATCATAATTATTCAATAGCATGCATTTCAGAATTTTCATGGCATAGAGGGATATATGTTTACTATGATGGAATAGGTTAGCATAATATACTTTATGCTATGTTATATCACTTAAAGATTGAAATGCTGTTTCACTAAGGTAGACGATGTTCATTATCACCTGAGTACCATATATTTGGTAGGTATTTTATCCTATAAATGTGTTTATTATGTTAGCATATTTTTCCGGCTACCTGATTGGTCTAGAGGCTGTCACGTGACCGTCGACAGAAAAGCATATTGACTCCAACCCAGGTCCGACCAAAAGTCATATTGACTTGAGTTACTAAAAATAGATTTTGACGTCAAGCTATGATGTCATTCTATTGTTTACATTTCACAGTATTGTTGACATAATGTTATTGTTTGTAGTGAAAATAAAATTACTTTTCTCGACTAAATGGACATGTTTTGGTTTTTAGAAGCTTTTTTTCGGTAATTACATAATAAAACAATTATGTACTGGTGAATTCGGTCAATACCTGTCCTCGGTCAATATTGCTTTTCGCGGGTCCATAAAAACAGGCATTGACCTCATCACCAGTCTATAATTGTAAATGATATTTCATGCATATTATTGCCACAAATATGTGTGGAGAGTTATGCATTTTCTATCATGATTATAATTATGATATTTTGCTGCTGTATAATCTGTTATGTTATGTCTTCTTGGAATTGATGCAGTTTAAGTAATAGGTATCACATGCTTGATGGGCATTTAGAAGTTGGAAGGTAACACAACAACATATTGTATGGATTTACAACTTCTTTAATATTTACAACACAACGTTTCTGGGCTACTTCTTGCCCTTTCATCAGGTGAATGATCATTACCATACCATACGTTGTTATATAATAGGTATCACATTGAGTATTGTGACAGATATGTGACCATTATCAGAAACTGTAACTGATTATTGTTTATTATTATGTTACAGATTGAAAATACAAATATACAATATATTTGAGCTTAATAAATTGTGGAGTAAGTCACAGCTCACACCCCAGCAGGTGTTGGTCTTCATTGAACAGTACCACCCCTTACCCTGCTACACAATAATGATTTGGTGACTGACGAGCTTGTTAGAGATTTTACAGGTGCTTCTACCTATGATAATGTTGCATTCAGATGTTCAGTGAAATAACGCTATAGATCGCAATACTAATACTGAACACATTATCATCAACATCTCCACAGATCTAGTGCAGTCCTAACATGCTATGTACTGATATGTTAAGTCATGTGCATCAAATATATGAAGAAGTCCCATTTTCCATACCCACTGCAATATATTCTACTGCAGACATGCAAGAGATTTTTCTCTTCTAGTGACATTCAGTGCTAATAAATCAATCATTTCATGTTTAAAAGTAAATTTCTTGTGATAAAGATAATGTGATAACAGCTCTAATGAAAGTCATTCCCAATATTACTTACTGGCATAATCCCTGCAGACTGTTGAGAATAACATTAAATGTACCTGTTTCTGATGGAAGTTTGTTTATTGTTTAACACTGCACTCAGCAATATCCCAGCTAAATGTCAGTGGTATATAAATAATCTCATCTGGACCAGGTAATCTGGTGACTAACATTATGAGCATTGATCTATGCAAGTGGGGAAACACCACAACACGTCAACCCAGTCAGCGAGCCTGACCACCTGATCCTGTTAGTCAGCTCTTGAGACAAACGTGGCTTGCTGGAGATCACTTTCAACCCAGATCTTCAAGGGTGAAGTGCAAGAGTTATGAAAAATCACTAAATGCTTGATTAGCAAGCCCAGCTTATATGTAAAAAATGGTTCTAATATCCAAGGGCAGTCAGGCTTGAAATCTTAGAACAGCATTTAGAAGTCATACACATAAAAGCGAGAATTTATGAATGTCAACTTCTTGATTTTGTTTCGGAGTATATTCTTACTCCTTCATAATATATTCCAAAACACTGTGTACCTCAAATAAAGATGTTGACATCCATAAATTCTTGCCTTGACTAGTGAATGTTTTTAAAAGCCCAGCCAGCAAGGACATTATTATGTAGCTATGGCCTGTGAATAATGAATTAAGTCAGGTTGGCAGCATGATCAAAAAGCAAGGCTGATCAGACAGGTCACATGTTGTAACATCTAAGCCTTTTTAGTTGTTTCTTACAACAAGCATTGATATTTGGCTCTTTGACTTCAGGGATGGACATTAACACTAGCCCACGAGCCCTGACCAGGTATGCTAAGGGCAAGTAGAATTTCAAACATTTCGAAGAGTACGGCTCTGTATTTGAGAGGTACTGCTATGCAGTTATCACTATTTGGGGTAGTAGACATTCTTGGTTAATTTCCATCCCTGCTAATTGTGCCTCAGAATCCTAATGGGGTATCATTGCTTAAACTGAATCATACTTACAATGTGAGAGATGGCAGTTATTCCACTCTGTGCTGCATCAAAGATGAGTTTCTCATCCAGATCTGAAGGGGGAACTGGACTCTCCACACCATCATCTGCACCCTTTTTACCCCCCTTTTTATCTTTCTTGTCTTTCCCTGGGGTGGTGCCTGGCTTGGCATCAGGGTCCGGGAGAGACAGGGCGTCGGGGAACAAGGGGGATCCTAGAGAAGGGAAATGGGGAACAATGAAATTCAAGTAAAACCACATGGAGACACATGTTTTCATTGTTTCTTTCTTAAAAGAAATTAGTTGAGAATGAAAAGATTTTTTAAGCCAAAGAAAAAAATTGCATCAAAAGACAGTTCTGGAATGTTCACAGTACCTTTCATCAATGCAGTAAGAGCAAAGTCTTTGTGACAAAACATACAATATTCACCCAGATAACTGTCAAAGTGTCAATTATAAAAACAAATGCCGTTGTCATCCATGCAAGTTGTCAGCATCATAGACACTGCTGGTTTACTGGTGATTTCAGTGTGACTAATGGATGGACTGTGCAAGAAGGACAATGGAAGATGGCATCAAAATGTCAGGTCTTTGCTCGACCTTCAAATACTGGAATTAGTTTCAGATTTACCTCTTCCTTTGTCCATCACCATCTGCATGAGTTGGTTCTGGAATGACATTCTTCTCCTTTTCTTTCTCCAGGCTCTTGCTGCGCTTTTTGCCTGATGGTGTACGCTGACTTAGAGCGGCTGCTGTCTTTGGGCGACTTGGCACCATCTTTGGGTGACTTGGACCGGCTTTCCTTTGGTGACTTGGATCTATCCCTGGGGGATTTGGCTCTAGGAGATTTGGTCCTGTCTTTGGGAGATTTGGGTGGTTCCTCCTGTGGTGTGGGGGTGGGCTCACTCCGCTGTTCTTTGTCTGCTGGGGTCTCTGGTCTTTCAACTGGCATCTGGTGGCATAAAGGTGAGCATTATCTAAATATCTTCGGTGTAACAGTGGCTAAAGATGAGGTAGATGAAGGTTAGATCATGAAGGACTGAGGTTGCAGGTGAGTGTGTTAATGATGGAGAAAAGGTCAGGGAGTGAAAGCTTGGGGTAAAGGACATGTCTTGAAAGCTAAGGATTGTCAGGGAGGCAGATATATCATAGATGAATACATGCTTTTGGGGAAGGTGAGGTACAAAATAGACTCCTGAATAATCGTCAACAACTTTCTTTTGATCAGAATCGAACATCCTGATGATTATTTGCATACAGAATTTACACACACAAATTTGCCCTTATGAAGAAGGATCTACTGTTTATGCAATGAGTTTAGCACTCTGAAATTTAGGCAGACCTGTCACACCTCACATGTTGAGGAAGAGCTAAACGTATGGACTAAAGAGACCAAAATAATATGTAAATAGAACTTACCTCTATGAGTGGTATTCTGGCATAATGGGTATTAAGCTCGTCAGGGATATGTCCATCCATGCCCCGGTAGTAGTCCTTCAGCATCCTCACGGTGTCCTGGTATCTGTCCACCTCGGACTGGAAACACATGCAGCAAGGACATAAACCATAGGTAATCACCAGCATCTTCACTTATCTTTGGCAAACAGTTTCCAACTACATCCTTGACTGTATGTACATTACACACTCTTATGCATTTTAAAGTGTACATTAAAACCAACTGAAAATTAGGAACTGCTTTGTTTGTTTGCCCACATGTCTTGCTGATCTTCACAATTATTTGGTACTATATCCCAGTTGTCTAAGCACCACCACCAAGAGTTGCTTCCCTTGGATGGGCCCCCCCACCTATGTTCCTGCTTGTGAATCACCCTGATGGCCTGGATTAGTTTTCATGCTTGAGATTATGGGTTTCACCAAAGCAGTATATATAAATATAAGACCTGCATCACGTATGGCTCTCCCCTCACAAGAAACTGATATGCTGTGATAGAACTGAAATACTTTTAAAAGCTGTGTGTAACCTAACTTGCTCTGAGACATGCAATAGGATAGATCTGAGTCGCTATGTGACAAACCTGCATGACAGTGATGTAGTGGTTGCTGAGAACGCCGAGTCTGTCGTCCAGCCAACTGTCGTTCATGACGGTCTCTCTCTCCCCCTCAGCCTGCTCCTTCCTCTCATCACAGATGTTCCACAGCCTCTCTCTCAGGTCATCCACAGTCTGGTGGAGCTCTGCCCGTGTCTCCTCGTCCTCTCTCATGTCATCGGGAACTTCGTTATATTCCTGCAGCCAGAGTCAACCAGTTTAATATAAACATTCGCTGTGACAGTTGACCAGGATCTAGATATTCATGACAAATCTAAAAGACTACTGAACAATCCACAGATGCAGGTTCTGTTGTATTTGAACTTGTGATAAAGTAAAAGGAGGCCCATAATAGTTTTCAGTTAAGTCATATCAATGCATAAAGCCATGTTTTAACCAAGAGCAACAGGAAAGATTATTCAGTCATTGAAAAAAGGACCATTGACAGGCAAATCAGAGATTTAAAAAAGAAGAAGAATGCACACAATCCATGGTATAAAGTATACAAAAATAGATGACAGTGTATGCAGATTGACATGAATGGTTTATGGAAAAGGACATGCACTCCTTGCTATGCCAGTTATATTTATACATGCTTACATCTCACCTTTTGCCATTGTGAGATGAATTCTTGCTTGTGGTCTGGTCTACGAAGGTATGCCAGGTAGTCTTTCCTGTGAGTGAAGATGATCAGAAAGATGAGGAATAACAAATGATGTAAATGCCAGCCGTATATCTGAGGCATCAGTATATCAAGTTGTTATTTAATCATAATAAAAAACCCATTGAAGGTCTACATGTGGGTATAAACGTTTAAGTGTTCACAACAATAAAGATGACATATAAAAATGTGCTTAGATCACAAACTTCATGAATTGATGATGACCATTCTAGCACTTCTGTGTGAGATAATGTCAACCAGTTTTCACTGTTGTAAGAATTCATTCCAACCAAACTGTGTCTATAGAGTGGGATCATGTTGAACTAACTTTCTCTGCTGTTTGAGTTAATACTAACCTGATTTGATAGAAGTATCTGTAAATCCTCTCCCTCTCATCACGGATGTTACGGAAGACATGTTTGCTGTTTGTTACATAGCTTTTCTCAATAGTTTCCCAGTGAGCAGCAAGAACTTTAGCCAACTCCTGGAATCAGATGCAAAGAAATCAGACTAAATCTTCTTCATTGTGCTAAATTCAACATGGTTAAATCTACAGGTAACCTCAGCTCTACATGGAAAGCACAGGATCTTTATCTCCTAAGGGACTGTTCATAATTTATGGCTAGGGTGGGGGTGTGGGGGGTGTCTGTTTTTGTGATGATGATTTTAAGGGTGGGTGGGTCACCCATTTTGTTCTGGGGACGTAGGGGGTGGGTGGGTGGTGGGGTCATCCATTATGTACACGTTTCTTGGGGCGTCAGCAGTTTTGTACATAAAAATATTTTAAAAATTATGCTTAAAAAACATTGGAAGAGGAGGGGGGGTAATTGATTTTGTACATGACATGCAGGGGGGTTCACTTACTTTGTACATAAATTTTAGTTTGTAATGCTACAAATGCTTTGTCGATCAGGACCCTGTAATCTAGCACATTACATATCTTCAATGATATTATTACCATCAATGAGTTCACTCCAAATGCTTTCTCAACTTCCTGAGGGGTATTATCCAGGGTACCTACTGCATCTGAGATATAAGTACTGGTGTTGCTAAATATGGAGCTCTGAAGGAGTGAAGGGTACTGACCAGTTCAACAGCCTGGTCCACAAACTCCCACTCCTCAGACCCTGGTAGAGGTGGAGGAGGACCTGTAGGGACCTCCGGTTCTGGTTCAGGCTCTGGCTCTGGGGCCTTGCCCTTCTTCCCTGACCGACCTCGCTTGGGAGACTTGGGTGACGATCCTGAAGGGACAATTCACTTGATGATTAAACTGCAGATAACTGTTTTTTGTTGGCTTACATTGGGTCTGATCATAACTCATCAATTCATGCACAAAGACTTACCCTTGGTGAGTTTTGTCTGATGCTTTTTGAAGAATTTGGACTTCTAATACTTTGTTATGACTGATAAGCATGGTGCTGTAAAACCCATGTCTTCCTTAAATGTTCACTATGTAATGAATAGATTCAAAATGGTTGAAAAATGCAATTAGATTATATATAATATTATAAGAACACTGAAAAGCAGAGGTCTCTTGTTTTATCACCATTCACTCAGAACAGATAAGATAAGATATTTGAATGTTTGTTCTTCTCAAAATACTTACCTCTGCTTCCCTTCTTAGAGTCTCCTTTCTTTGGACTGGGACTTCGTTTGGGTGATGCACTCTTCTCCCTCTTGTCCTTGTCCTTGGAGGAAGCTCTGGAACCGGACTTCTTACCTGAACCTGTATAGATAAATAGGAATCCTCTCGATCAGATGGTACCGGTGTAAAATCAGATGTGCATTTATATACAGTCAAGTCTCGGTAATCCGACATCGTCCGTTGCACAGCAAATTGTCAGATTAACGAGTATGTCGGATTGTCGAATTCTGAGTACAGATCACGGTCATGTTAAACAACAGGAAAATCATGAATCATAGTGTGTAAGTGTGTGGATTTATTAATTGATCACACATGTTGCTAATCTCAATGTCGGATTAACGGGACTAATTACTAAGTGATTATGACAGTCGGTTGTAATTGGGGATGTCGGAGTCGGAACGCGGGACTGTTGGATTAACGAGACAAAATTACGTTTATTCAATTTGTTACCAACAAAAGTGTCGGATAAAGCTGATTGTCGGATAAATGAGACTTGACTGTTATCCAGTTCAACAATGTACTGTCTGCATGGTGTAGTTCCACCAGACACCCAGTTCCTTACACTGATGCACTCACTTTTGTTTATGTACTGGTTGATGCTCTCCTGGGTGATATACACTGATAATGCTCAAGGCATCAATACAGGATGTGAATAACATGGTAGTCACAAGCTGCATCTCGCATGAATCTGACTGTTTTTGTGTTGTGTCACTGTTTTGGTGTTTAGAAATGGTATCTTTTCAGATATATTGTGATATATCTGTTCAGTCAATAAATCACTTGGGGTTTTCCTTTTGTTTCACTGTTAGTACCTGGTACTCAGTAACTGATGTTAGATGACTTGATGATCATTGGTCTTCTGTGCTAATTGAGCTAACTTGGTTTGAGCAGTATTTTAATTATATCATGACTTGCGATCTTGATGTGACCAAAACCATGAACAGTGAAACCCATAGAAGCATGATCAGAGAAGTTCCAGGATATGAACACACATTACAGATTTCTTGCACGCCAAAGGGAGGTAACTGTACAGAGGTGAGGTGAAATTGGGTTTTACGCTTGAGAATATTTCGCTCATATGATGATGTGCATGTGTGTGGCTGCTTGTACTAGCTCAGACTGAAGCTGGTTTTATAGTACTAGCCCACTGAGATACCATTCCGCAGTGAAGCATGAATACCCCACTCAGACACTCTATACTGACTCCGAGCCGACAAGTCCTTGATGTACCCATTAATGCCGACCGCCAGGCAGGGACCAACAAGTACATGTTTTAGCATCTTTTGGTATGACACAGTCGGGCCCCCGACCTTCCGCTCTCCTGGCGGACGCTCTAACCACTACACCACGGAGGTGGTCGCAACTGTACAGATACTTGCACCACCTTAGATAACAGCACTAAAGTGCTCCCTGTCTCCCAAGATGGGGTTTCGGACATTACCTGATCTGCTGCCTTTGGAACTAGATCTGGAGCCCTTGGCTTCCACTACAGGCTGTTCCTTAGGTGGTTCTGGCACAGGCTCTGGTACCTGTTAACAAGCAGTGTTGGTGTCATGAGTTGGTTGTATGAAAATGTTTCAGATTAACTTATTTTAACAGTAACCAGTGGTACAAAGTTGCCTGTCTCAGGCTCAGTTGTTTACAGGTCACTATGATCTGGCTGGAATAATGCTGACTGTGGTGCAAAACAACATTCACTCTCTTCACACTGTGTACTCACTGGCTCTGGGGGCTTCTCTTCCACAACCGGAGTCTCCGTCTCAATGGGAGCAGAACTCTCTTGATCTTTACCTTGAATCTGGGGAGGAATAAGAACACAATTCAACTTGGTACCAAACATGAAGTTGACTAACAAGCATTAATCTCCCAACTGGGATATAATCACGTGCATCTGCAAAATAAGCTGATCCTGTAATTAGCCTCATGACAAACATGGTTGTTGAAGACCATTTCGTCAAAGGCTCAATTATATGGTTAACTGCAGCAGTCTGGCTGTGCACTGACCTTGCTGACAGTATCCTCGAGTATCTTCTCCACCTCCAGGAACACGGTCTCCAGACCTTCGGTTGCATCAACCTTCTTCAGGGTGCCGAACCGCGTGAACCACTTCTCTAACTTGGGCCATGAGTCATGGTAGCCTGTGATCCTGGAACAGACATGGACTGGGTCAGGAGTGAGCTGTAAGACTTATACGGACCCTAGTCCTGAGTGCAGAATACCTGGCCCTTACAAGTAATACTGGCGAGTCAATAATTGTTTCAGCCTCATCAGGGTATATCAGCTTAATGAAGGAATGCACTACCGTATATGACCGACTATAAGTCGGAAATTTGATACCAGAAAATGAAGGTAAAAAATCAGACCCGACTTATACTTGAGTTCATTAATCTACCCCCAAAAAATCCCGAGGTCAGGTGTGTGAATCTGCCAGCCCTGCGAACTCAACTGGCAATGTTTACACCGGAAGCAGTTTACGTAATCAGAAAATTATTATAAAAAGATTTCTTAAATAATATGTATGGTCGCCTATTTCCGATATCAGTGGCTTTTCGCCGGGTAACATGACACAACAACGGAAAATACCTCTGTTTTCGAAGCTTCGTATGAATAACATGCGAGGCGAATCGTTTGATGTCGGGCATCGTTCGAAAGCTCTGAACATCAACAATATCACTGTACCCTTGCCGAGAGTATTTTTCACACTTGTAAGAAGCAATTTTATTGGATAAAAATTGGTTTCTAATGACGCTTTTTCGCCACAGTCTGCTATAAGGGTCGTGATTGGTCAAAACCAGACACGTGACCTAAGGCAGCCAATCATATTACGGCAATGGAAAACCGTCCTCGTAAACGAAAACTTTAGATGTAGATGAAAGTTTTGGGTAAAATAATGCTATTCTGAAAATATTAAGCAAGAAATCGCTACCTATACGTAAATTATGGGATTTATTTGACGTATCATGCTAGGTTATGACCTGTGACAAAAATGATTCATGCATATATTTTCGCATTAAACATCGTGTCCGAGAGTGAAGATTGAGGCGGCGATACCGATTCGTACGGGGAAAGGGGCCGACTTATACTTGAGTTACATGGTTTAGGCAAGAATTTAGAGGGTTGAGAAAGGGGCCCGACTTATAGTCGGATCCGACTTATAGTCGGTCATATACGGTAAGTTTTAATAGCATGTGGTTTGTTGTTTCACTCAGCAATATTCCAGCTATATGAAGGCAGCCTGTAACTATTTAAGACTTGAGCCCACAAATCAGTGATTAACATAATGAGCAACTTCACAAAGTATCAGAGTATGATGACATGCTACAACCCAGTTTGGCTACCTGATCCATTGAGCAGTACAGAGCTAGGTACAAACTCTAAACCAGAATACCAGAGGAGGCAACAACAGGTTGTAAATGTTGTCCATTTCTGAGAAAGGGTTATAAATACAGTCCACTGAAAAGTGTTTTTCATCATTTGTTTGTTTCTTTGTTTAACGCTGCTCCCAGCTTTTGGGACATAAACCATCTAGATATTCTTACCGCTGCTGTATCTGTTCCTGGTCATGTGCAGCGTCCTCTATTGGGATGACCTTCTCCTCCTTGCCGATCCCTGTAGCACTGCCTTCTGGTGGTGGGTTGAATTCCTGGTGGTACTGCTTGTCAGCCTGAACAGCATCTGTATAGGTAGAAGATTCATGTCAACTCACTTGTTTCATTATACTGTTTATGAATGTGCTTCCAACAGGATACATATATACTGCTCTCAAAATATCTCCCAAACAGCAGCTTCCAATTGAAATCTGTTCTGAGAAATTTATTGCAATTTGAATGCCCGAATAATGCCCAAATGCAACTGGTGTGCAGTTGTTATGGCTGTTCTGTGTAAATATAGACATGATAATGAAACTACCTCTATTTTAAGGGCACTTGTTACAGTTTTGAAAAAGGTCTGCATATACGGCAAAAATAAAACCAATTGAAAACATTGCTGTAGTCCATATACAGTCGAGCACCGTTGTCTCGATATTCATGAGACCAAAAAAAATATCGAGTTATCCAAACTTCGAGACATCCGACCAGGTCATATCATCACATATCACTATGAAAGAAAACAAAACGCTTCTCAGTATGTTTTCATTCAAAACTATAATCTGTTATCAGTAGTGTTTAGTCATAACAGTAAGTACTTCCTAATGAATTCCTTCTTAGTTAATCCTAATTAAATAACAAACAAGTGACACCTTCAACTCAATTAGCCCTAATTAGTTTACACTACCGCATCCCTTTGATTCATGCCGTGTGTAAACGTGTGGAAACAACCTCAGTTCAGAGGGATACTTGCCCACGAAAGGTAGGCGAATATCGAGTTTCTTTGCAAATATCGAGTTAATAGGGTACTTTTGCTTGTTGGGACCATGAAATTATATCGAGATATCCGAAATATCAAGACATCCTTATCGAGATAAAAGAGCTTGAATAATGATAAATTATGAAGGATCTTGCCGGGACCGAGATGTTATATCGAGACAACAGAGATATCGAGTTATCACAGTTCGACACAACGCTGCTTGACTGTATATCGTACAAAATCAACTCACAAAATCGTCCAGCCGCTCTCTTCATACACAGGTCATCTGACAGCTCAAAATGGATGACCACATCAATCCCACTGGCTGGCTCAGGAGGGGGTGGGGCTGGGCGGGGGTCAGGCACAAGGCTGGACTTGCGCGCTTTTGGCTTGTCCTTGGGCTTCTCTTTCTGCTCCCTGGCTGCAGCATCAAAGCCACTGAGGGCCTTCTCCAGCATCTTGGCCTGGTTGTAGGTCTGGGGGAAGCCATCGATGACCCAGCCTGTCCCCTCAGGTACTCGTCTAGCGATCAAGGAAAAGATCTGAACTAACTTTGTAAAGACATGTACTTTTTTCAAACTCCTAAGTTATTTTGGTAACTTTACAAACATTCTATGAAACATGTTAGAATAACAACATCTTGAATGTCATATCTTTCCTACACAGCAATATGCTCAAGAAAACATTGAAGAACCCCATATTTTTGTCACATCCAACCTGCTAAGACACCTGCAAGATTGCTACCTTTAGTCCTCTAGACTTCTGCAACCACTCTTTGCATTGTGCAATTATCTTTCAAAGCAGCGTAATTTAGTTTACTGTATACATTTACAATGAATCTGATGATAAAGAAATAGTCGCAGGGTGCCTATTTTGAGTTTCATGAAAATCTATGCATGTACAAGCAAGCAGAGTGCTGAATCTATTTTCTACTGACCTGATGACCTCCACCAGTACGTCCACTATGACCTGATCGTCTACTGGCTTGCCCCGCTTCAAAAACTTCAGGGCCTTGGCTCCCAGCTTGGCTCGACCACTTGGCTGCACAAAAAAGATGAAACTTTTGAAATTGTTTCCTTCAATTTAATACTTATTACCTGTTTAGAAACTGTTCAATCTGTAACCTTCATTGATCAGCTTAACTGATTTATTTACGGCATTACGGTACACAATTTGATAATAACCCCTGCACAAGAAACAAGCTAGATCCATGCATGACCATATCACCAATCATCACATGACAGAGTGGATAAAAATATTCCATATTAGGATCAATTACAGTCATCAATTGCAATACCGCGGGGTAATCCGTAGCTCCCATAAAAAAGTTGCCATGCATATCAACAAATCCGCTGTTAAGCTCGGGTTGATCACGTCGTAAACAAGCGAAACAGTGCGGATTGCAATGAATGGTGTTCATCATACATATCCTAGGTTTTTCAGTGTACTTGGAAAAGGTGTCGGGACTAAGCAGGATTCACCATATGAAGCTGTGATATTGCTGTCCACAGACAAAAAACAAATATCCGAAAATACCCCAAAAACAAAATACAAAAACTCACCTGAGGCTTTGGTGGCCCAGCTTCTTTAGTCCTGCTGGACGACCTCTTGGGAGCTGGTTTTGTTATATCAGACTGGGATTCTGACAGGGGGACCTCAGACGGCTTTTCTGTTGGTTCCTCCACAGGGGTTGGTTTGTCTGCTGCCGCGACATCACCAGAAGGGGTAGACTGAACACCTGATTTAGAAAGAGAATTTAATAAGAATTTCACCACTTTTATATGTTATATGTCAGGAAAACAAGAGACAGCAAAAGATGACCTCACATGGATGACCTGCAACATTCAAATTGTTGTTTGTTGTGTACACCACATGCAGCAATATTCCAGCTTTCAATGGCAGCCTGTATATAGTTAAAAAATACCCTAGCATTGTATAATCTGAATGACAGGTTTTGCTCTATAAATGTAAAATATGTATAATCAGCACTAAGGTAAAACGGACTCTCACGAACATCGTAAGCGGAAGTTCTATGCATATAAGCATGCCATTTCACAAACAAATTCACTGATGTTACTGTAAACTAGTGGTCCATGGATGACAAGGCGGTAATCAGTTCGTGATTGTTGAGAATAATGTGAAATTGGTGCTATTGCGGTTGGAGCGAAAAGTGTACCCTCACGAACATGGAAAGCGGAAGTTTGTTGCCAGTTTATTGATTACAATAGAAACATACCATTTTGATACTGATTGTAAGGGTCAAGTTAGGGGGTCGGTTTATCTATGAGATTGGCTTATTTATGTTAATATATGGTAAAGTGTATGTTGCTGCTATTTGTGGCTGCACATCTATGTGTTGGGTCACCATTTACCTTCAGGCTGTGGGGTGGGCATCTCCTGGGGAACAGCATCCAGAGATGTAGCACTGGCTGTAGCAGGGTCTGTAGCAAAAAGCAACATGCAGACAAAATACAACCTATTTTCATGATAGCATTTTCATTGACAATATTGAGGACACTGAAAACCCACATAGAAAAGTGTATGGGTAGTGAGTGAGTATGGTTTTACGCCGCTTGTAGCAATATTCCAGCAATATCACGGCGAGGGACACCAGAAAAGGGCTTCACACACTGTGCCCCTGTTGGGAATCGAACCCGGGTCTTGGGCGTGAGGAGCGAACGCCTGGTTACCCCACTGCCCTGTATGGGATTGCAACAGTGTTAAAGGAGTAACTCTATACTGCTAAAGGAGCTGGGAATGCTGTTCCAATGCAGACTTTCTGTTGAACAAGGGAGTAATGTCATATGATTTCAGCATGCCTTTCTGGAGTTTAGAGTCTCATACTATATAAGTGACATGTTATTATCTGTTTGACACTGGACAAATTTTGAACTTACCCCCAAGAGCCGATTGGTCTTTTGTGGTGTCATCCATCTTCTCCTCCGCCTCTCCCTCCTGCAACAGTGCGTGGACATAGATCATAACACATGTAACTCAAGCATCACTCATGCCATAGCTGTATTTGCCATTCACCATAAACATGACACAGTTATCTTTGAGCGACATTATTTTTCGTCATCTTAAGGCTGTTCAATATTTGCTGAACAAAGTACTGTGACTGTCTCCCAGTCCATCCAGCTGTGAATGGGTACCTTGTAAGGATGGGAAAGCTGCAATAACTCGGTGCGCTTTGTGGCAGCAAGAGTTGTATGCTCCCTAATTGAGTTGAGATTGATAATTAGATGTGCCGTTGACATTGACGTCCAATGACCGAGGGAAAATACCAGCACCTTGAGCACGTACTAGTTGCGTGGTTATGTGCACTATATAAAAAAATCCTATAAAAAAAACCCCCAAAACACATGGTTTCTGGGAGACAGTACCTAGCAATTGCAGTCTCACTAAGATGATTCAACAGCAAAATAGGTTGCATATGTAGTACAGGAACCATATTTGTTTGAATATTGAATGTAACTTCATCAAGAATGTAACAACCTTATTTACAGAAGATTCCCATGTACTAGAGACGTGACAGTAAAATCCTCCAAACGAAGGAATGTTAACTCACAGGAGGTAGCTGGATTGTCTCCCCTGCCTTGTGAGCCTCCACAGCCTCATCAACCAGCTCATCTACAATCAACACCTGCAGGCGATGTTCTGAGGAAGAAAACACTGAGGTGAGCTACAATATTATATCACTGATAAACTAAAGAAGGTGCGGTCTGTGCTACAGAATAATATTCCCAATGACGTAAAGAGGAATTAGAATGTGCGCTACAGTATTATTTATTTAATGAGTGAGTGAGTGAGTTCAGTTTTACGCCACACTCAACAATATTCCAGCTATATGGTGGCGGTGTGTAAATAATCAAGTCTGGACCAGACAATCCAGTGATCAATAGCATGAGCATCAACTTATGCAATTGGGGTACGATGACATGCCAACAAAGTCAGCGAACCTGACCACCCGAGTCCATTAGTCACCTCTTACGACAAGCATGGGTTACTGAAGATCAATTATAACTCGGATCTTCATGGTTCATAGGATCAATGAAGTAACAAGTAAAATGATGTGAGCAACATCTTCAGTATTATATTCTGGTGGAGTACAGAGGAAACAGTGAGATCAGCAACAGTATTAAAATAGCAAATTGGAATAAGGAGAAAACAGTGACATGAGCTATAGTAACAATATTACCCATATGGCATAAGAAATGATCAAGTGAACTAGTGTTATCCCCCCCCTTCAGCAAAGAATCAATAAAAAGAAATAGTGACCTTCTGCAAGCTTGGTGACACAGGTTGTTTTGCCACTGAAAACTTTGCCAAGAACACATGCTCGCACTGGGAAGGGAGGGAACTCTGGCGGTGGAGGAGGCGGCTGAAATGATGGCAGATTAATGTAGCATGAGTGATTGTGGTTTAATGTAGTTTTAAACAGTATTTCTGTACAGCACAACATGTTAGCTTGATGTGGCTAAACCCATATGTAAGTCCAATATTTAGATACAAATCAGAAATCATATGATTTCAACCACCCTTTGAAGGGATGCAAATCTACACATTGTAGCAGCTTAGATTACCAGACTGCTAAGACTGGAGCAAGTTCTCCTGAAGTGGTATAGTATATCTTGCCAATGTCTTAAAACAGTAGGAGAACTAGATAAAACAGCCTAACACTGAAACTCACTTAGAATAGCCACAATTACATGCTAAAGTTATTAATTTTACTTTCCATTGGAATAGAGGAGTGAGTGAGTGAGTATGGTTCTACGCTGATTTTAGCAATATTCCAGCAATATCACGGCAGGGGACACCAGAAATGGGCTTCACATATTGTACCCATGTTGGGAATCAAACCTGGATCTTCGGCACTGCCCCCCATTTGAATAGATAAATCATGTTCCTGTTCCTTTTCATGTCTTTGATACTTTAGAGATGGATAAAACAATGAAATTAAATATCATATTTAATCATTTCATACAGATAAATACATGACGACTTACCGATGGTGGGTGCACCAAGTTGAACAACCTGTGTATGATGTGACCCAGGACTGCATTATCCTTTGGAGGTTCTGTAATCTCTGAACCTTCTGGTGGCTGCCATTCTCCAATCATGTTCTACAAGAAAAACACAACAATGCATATACTGGGTAAGAACTAGTGTTGGGAATTGGTTGAAATCTAACAACTGATGATTGGTTCATGACAAACGGGCAATCATCGAAAAAAATTGGTTAGCTTCATTTTAAAGATTTTTCTATTCAGGATGTTATTGTAGATAAGTATAACATGGTTCTCTGTTGTTCTTCGAGAAACTGTGCATTTGCATTTGCAAATTTCACATCCAATGTCAAATGATGCGACTTGCTACTTTAAAGTGATGACTAATATATCATGAACATAAACTTCCTGGAGTCTGGAGCCTGGAGAGAAATATTCAGGCATGACTTTTCAGTAAGAGTGAGGACAACTCTTTCCCTTCATGGGTCAGGACAGCGAAAACTGACCTTTGCACAGGTGAGTGAGTGAGCATGGTTTTACACCACTTTTAGCAATATTCCAGCAATAACAAGGCGGGGGACATCAGAAATGGGCTTCACACATTCTACCAATGTGGGAAATTGAACCTGGGTCTTCGGCATGACGAGTGAACGCTTTAACCACTAGACTACCCCACCGCCCCTTTTGCACAGGTGATCTGAACACAACACAAGCAGCGTTACCTTATACTCCATGAAGTCTCCCTCGTCCAGCAGCTGTTGTCTCTCCTCCTCCAGGATCTGCTCTGGTGTAGGTTCTGTTCCCACTACAGGACTCGGCTCAAACAGAGGCTGCCCCGCCACAAACACAGCTGTCCATTCTCGCATCAGCTTGGGAGGTAGCAAACTGGAGGTATGGAAGAATGATTCAGTTTGGTGAACACTTGTCTCTTAAAATACTAATCGTCTTAATTTCTACTTTGCTCTACATGATGAACCAGTCTCTTCATATCTTATATCTCCTGTTAATTAAACAGTAACCTAAGATCCTTAAATTACACTGAGATTTACATTAGGGTTAAGAGTAGAATAGTGCCCAGTACCTCATGATTATATTTAGAGCAGACGCATAAAGATGGGGATGGAATGGTTATTCATTTTTCTCATCCTATCCAGTGGTGTGGATTGATGCTCATACTATCAACCACTGGTTTGTCTGGTCTAAACATGATTATTTACAGGACACCTAGATGTATATGTATCTGGGAATATGTATATTCCTGTCAATGGCATGAAGAGACATTCACTCATTTTTGTCAAAATCCCATGGCAACCATTTTGATAATGTTAACATCTTGTGCTACATCATTTCAAAATGGGGGCGGTGGGGTAGCCTAGTGGTTAAAGCGTTGGCTCGTCACGCCGAAGACCCGGGTTCGATTCCCCACATGGGCACAATGTGTTAAGCCCATTTCTGGTGTCCCCCGCCGTGATATTGCTGGAATATTGCTAAAAGCGGCGTAAAACTAAACTCAGTCAGTCAGTCAGTCATTTCAAAATAATTCAGAAAGGACCAGCATGACTGATATAACTTTGCTTTTTTCTACGACTCAAGTTACAAATAATCAAAGCAGTCTTCAGACTGTGACTCAGGATTGATTCCCATGAGTGTTGTGATGGTTCAAGCACAAAGATCCACTTACCCGTTAGTGAGTTCTCTGTACTCTGCCACCTTGCTGGCAAAGTCGACCACCTGGTTGACGACATCGGAGCACATATCGTAATGTTTGTTGTAGCGATCTGCCGCCCTCTGTTCTGCAATCTTATCATGGAGTTCCTTGTCTTTCTTGGTTTGTTCCATGTACTCCAACTTGGACAGACGAGCTAGTTCCTGTACATCAAAGTTTGGCCATGTAAACAATTTGGACGGTGTGCATGAAGTTCTTTTGAGTGAGTGAGCTCAATGTGGGAGGAAAGCCCAGTCTAAGTAAACTTGGGCTCAGTATTATTCATTACACGGCTATACTGAGTCTAACAAACCCCAGTAGAAGGCCGCGTCAGCTAACCTTTTGAACTGACCAATCAGAACACAGCTTACCAAATCGCGAAAGTTAATATTCCCACATACTGTTTGAACTTTTACCTTAAAAGGTTTAAACTCGAACGATTCAGAATGCTATTTTCTGCACGATTGCTTCTGAGTGATACACTTGGAGGATGCCATTATTCGCAACAGTGAGTAAACTGTAGCTGAAAATAGCGTTTTTGTCAATATTACAGGATGTCGTGTTACGGAAATATCAGCTAATAGTAACCATGTCATCGGAAACCCCTAAGCGTATATAGTGCAGGTCAAATATCTGTGTTTTATGTGGATTTTCGTTTGTTGAGAGATCAGTGTCAGCGACCGGGGAAGAGAAAATTCATTTTGAATGTCCCTCCGAACCCTAAATAGTAGCTTCTGGTCTGATTGGTTAAATCCGTTCAGCAACTCGTTTGATTAGACGGTCATAGGTCGATCAAAGGTTAGCTGACATGACCTTCTACTAGGGTTTGTTAGACTCAGTATAGCAGCGTAACGAATAATACTGAGCCTAAGTTTACTTAGACTGGAGGAAAGCCAGAAGTGATACAGGTCCCAGATGTTTCCCACTGTACCAAAACCAATGCTGAAGGGTATGATGCTGACAAACCAAGAAACACAATTCAGGTGAACACAGGGATTTGAACCCACAATCTGGTTTCTGGTATGCACAACGGGATGAAAGTATGCCATCGCGTGTAATTGCAGCATCTCAGACAACCAGGCCAGTTCTTTTGAGAGTAGTCCATCAATATGTTGTGGCAGTCCTGACATTCCATTAGTTTCATGATATGACTGATTGTATATTTTCTCCATTTTTCCATTCAAGATCCATTCAGATGTAATAAATCATAATAAACTTCCATATTGGGATATCCATACATCTTTTCAAAGATTGTCTTAATATCAATATTATAAAGACACTTGGTTAGGAAACTTTTCTGTTATTTAATTCCCCATCATACAAACAGTCTTCCACCCCAAAAGACCCCACTCAAACTAAAACTCACAGCTTCTTTATCCAGAGCATCTTCAAAGTCCCGGAGTCTCCGTTTTCCTCGTACTGCTTCTCCCGAATGATGCGATTGTTGCGGATCACCTCCTTCTCATGCCTGGCCTGCAGCAGCTGCACAGCGATGCGTCTCTCCTGCTGCGACTGCCGCATCAGTCGGTTCACCATCATCTCCTCACGCCGTGCTTCCTGGTGGGAGGAAGGAACATTTGTAAAACAAACTGAAGGAATATTCAAATCCTAGCAATAAGATTTTCACCCTGATTCAATTCACTGACTAACATCCCATCTCACATCATTTTACTGTCCCTTATGATGCACCTACAGTGAGTATGGGTTTATGCCGCTTTTAGCAATATTCCAGCAATATGACACGGCGGGGAACACCAGATATGTGCTTTACACATTGTGCCAATGTGGGGAATCGAACCCGGGCCTTCGGCGTGACGATATGCACCTACAGACCTCACTATGAAGGGATATATGTTACTGTGAAAGGACATATCAATACTGTCATCTATGTTATATTTGGGATTACACTTTCTCAGTAAAGTACAGATTCTTGTATGTTTTTGGAATGAGTCCCATCCAGGATTTGAACACACTCTCAGAGTGAGGCAACAAAACGCCAGGGAAGACCATCTCCAACAATGCATTGTGATTTCATGTATAAATATTATTTTACAGGTGGCTGGTAACCTATCAATCCACCTAATGCATGTCAACAGGAGCTATGCTGTTGTAGTTAAAGGCCAACAATCTCATTTCGACAAATGTGAGGCACAGGGTTTTCCCAATAAATTAATTTTGTTTTTGTCACACTTGACAAATATTCCAATTGTATAAGGTCATTTTGTCAATTGTCAAATTGGCACCAGGTAAACCAGTGACTGATGTAATGAGCAAAGTCTTATGCAGTCAGGTTATCACAATACACAGTCAACCAAGGAACCAATTCAGATAACCTAGTCAGAATAGTTGCCTCATGTGACAAGCACAGGTTATCTATCCTAACCCAGAATTCCCAATTATTTAAAGAGATGTCAATTTTTTTTTTAATGTCAAATATTACAATGAATAATGCTAGCTGCAAACCTCCTGTGACTCATGCGACATCATCTGATCCACCAGGACTTTCCTGCGTCGCTTCTCTCGCTCCTGACGGGCATTTGAGTCCTCGTGCAGCCTCTTCCTTATCTTGCCAATGTAGTCGTCATTGGAGGCTGGCTTGATCAGCTCGATCAGTTCAATATGCAACTTGTCATCTTCCCGACTCACTTGGTAGGCCATATCAAAGGACTCACTGGAAGATAGGTAGTCATTTATAATAGTCTGAATGGAAAGACTGTGTTACCATAACACCTTCACAATTATCACAAAGGGACTGAAATCATTTCTTTGAAATTCACAATATATTTATGAACGACTGACTGACGTGAGTTAGTTTTATGCCGCTTTTAGCAATATTCCAGCAATATCACGGTGGGGGACACCAGAAATGGGCTTCACACATTGTACCCATGTGGGGAATCAAACCCAGCTCTTTGGCGTGATGAGCGAACGCTTTAACCACTAGGCTACCCCGTCGCCCCTATTTATGAACGAAAGAAAATGGTACCAAAAAAGAAGATGACATAGATTTCCCCAAGCTTTAAGGATTAAAGTAATGTAATTCAATTGCTGAGATTTTCTCATCAGGTCCAAGTATTACCACATTAAGTTACTTATTTAAAAATCTTGCCTGGGTATATCAAATGCTTCTGTTTTACATAAATAAGGTCATTTCAGTTGGAAGCAAATTTCATTGGTATCCAAAGTGTTTGGTGAAGGTCTCAGAACTATATGTTTTTGAATAATCAATGGGCAGCAGCCATGCGGTTAATGCTGCAGGTAAGTGTAATCTCCACACTATTATTTTATGAGCAAATTCAAACTGCCAGATATTACAATCTGACACTGTTAACCCTCCTCATATGTATTTCCACCTGCTGTGGCCAAGCGAATTCACCACCTCCCACAGACAGACATGTAGCTTGAGAGTCTGACTTGACATTATTGCTATACACCTACTATAAACTCAGTACCCTTGTTAGGCCTTCAAATACAGTCACTTGGTATCAAGTTAACATGGATGAATGTTGATCCGTTAATTTCCATCAACACAATGAACACCACTAAGGATATTAACCAGTGTGTCTCACAGTCCCTGAACCACATTATTTTCCCTTCTGCCCAGTCCTTTCTGCTGTACAAAAGCCATAAATGAAGCAGGTATAGATTTTCCACAAGTTCCACTTTCCTCTGAATTTCCCATCTCACAGGGGCTCCTTTTCAGTTTAAATTGAATTATGTGTTTCTATCAACATGATATAGATTCAGAGACTAAGTGTTCATCTAGATATTTACCTGGTGTCCTCAAGTTTTGATGGGGGCAGAATAGTCTTCATCTTCTCCTCAAACATGGCAATGGATGACATGGCCTCCTACAGTGATGAAAATACATGAATAATCATGATGAATAGAGAAAGAACATTCAACTCAGAGTGAGTGACTTGGATTAAATGCTGCTTTGATCACTTTTCCATTAATGCCAGCTTACTGATAAAGTCTAGGACATTTAGCACTTTCTTGAAACTAGTGAAAGCCACAGTGCTGACAAAGATAAAAGGGACAAACAGTGTTTTGAACTCATTTTTACTGGTTTATGATAGTTGCATGTTAATTCTTTAGCAAAAACTGTCTACCTGAGCTTCTCTTCTCCGTTTTGTATCTCTCCTCAGTTGTAGTGCTTTACTTGTCCGATTAGCAGGTGGCTTGGGAATCTCAACTGTAGCCGCTCTGTAATGAAAGGGTTACATGGGTAAGATGATTTTATATATAGTCTATGCACATATACATTGAATAATAATTTAACATTATCTGTATGACATTTACATTAAAATGAGATGTGGTTGAAACACATTTTCATGTTTTAACAACATAATAAAAGCTATTCTCCAAGGGAGGCTACTTTCAACCTTTGCCAGTGAGTCTTGCTCCAACTTGGATGTAAGACACACCTCAATTAACATCACTGAACAATCAGGTGCCTGACATAAAATTACACTGAAAAAACATCAATGACTCAGCAAAGACACTGACTATAGACTCACTGTTGCCCACATGTAACTTTTTTAATCCTGCTTTTCTTTATTGTTATTTATCAACACTTTTATTCAAATTATGCTCACTGAATTTTGGCAACCATCTCGCTTTGTTTAGCCTTAAGCTGCCGGGACCTCTCCAACAGTGCCTGTCTCTGTTGCTGCTGTTCCTGCAGAATGCGTTCCTGTTCCATAAAACGTTCTTTGAATGCAGTCTGTTCCATCTCAATCTGCTTTTCATGGAAGCGACTTACCAGTGCCTCAAGGTTCAAGTCAGTTTGCCGAGGGGTTGCATGTTTGAGACGCTGTATTAGAAATAAAACATTAGACATACATATGAACAGACATATACAAATCTCAACAAAAGAAAAGAAAATACTTCAAGACCAGATAAGATATGACTGTCAATATTCACCTGGTAGTCCACATATTTGATCTATATTTATAAAATTGACATTGCCATTCAACAAACATCATATTTTCCATTCTACTTCATACTTCTGTCATCATTATGCTAAAATATGAAAACAGCTAGAATTCATAATGTCTTCTTGTAGGTCAATGCACAGGCTTCTGGCATCAGAGAATATGACCCTGAATCAAACAATGCAACTTTTGAACATTTTGGTACATTTACATAGCCACCACTCTACAATACAGAACATTATAATAGCAATAATAATCATTATGTTCAACAACTCTTTCCAATGACATTCCCCTACTGTGCTTGGTAACGACTACAAGAGATATTGTTCAGAGATTGTCCTACCAGAATCCTATATCCGTGGACATGCTTGTGTAGCCAACATTCCAAGCCCAAGGATACAGGAGACTTTAATCAATAATACTTATTAATTCATAATCTAATCAGTCTCACATTGTGCAACACTACCTGTCTGAGGCACCATCCCTGAGTCTTGTTGCTGGGATACACCAGCCAACAAGATACAAGGGAGGTAACTCACACAGGTAGAGAATAGGCTGAGAAATGAACCCCATGACAGTTGGTGAGGTGATGATTACCTCATTAGGGAGGGTTTGCTAGCAATTACTATTTATTGCTTTGCCATTGTTGAGCTAAGCCCTGCTTCTGTAGGGATGACTTTATGAGGTGACATTTATTGATTATTGGTCAGGTGAATGGAAGAAAATTGTTTCCTGCAGTTATTGGGCCATTATGCTAAGAAGTCTGTGGGGATGAAATACCTGTTTGTATATTTCGGTCTCAACAGCATTTAGTTTGGCTGGAGCTGCTGGTCTCATGGTTTCCATGGCAACACCTGTCAAATTGGCTTTCTTTTTATTATTCAATGCTATGTAGAGCTGGTACATGACTCGTGTTGCCACGCTATGACGTTCTGTCATGATATCCCGGGCCACATTCGTGTCAAATGGGATGCCAAGCAGATGCAAGACGGGTTCAATCCGAGTGAAGTTATTGAGCTTCGAATCAGCCGTCCTGGAACATTTTGTAAACTTATATATATATCTGACACAAGAATTCAAGCACATTAACATTATAGGAAAAAGAGAGAATTTTTAACAGAAATATCAGTAAATGTATTGTTATCAGAAATTGATAAGCTGTCGTTAGTAAAGTACAAATTTGGGGCACTTAAGTCTGAGACTTAGCCGTTTGTCTGATGCCAAGAAAACTTCCATTAGTCTCATTAACTCTGCTAAGTTTACATATTAACATAATAATCTACAAAATATCCCCAAATTCTGGTTTAGTTGTAGAGAATGTAAAATGAGATTACTTACTTGCTCTGAGAAAACTGGTCAAAATCATCTTGAAGTTGATACTTATTCAGAACTTCACCAATCAAATACCCTGAAGCAAACTGTCTTGAAAATCCTTTTTGATCTGGAAAATGATTGCATGCATTATATTTATATTTCAAAATTGTTCATTGTTGATGTACATGAAATAGTTATTGTGTGTGTAGATTCACTAAACCCCACGGCCCACATGCACAAAACGATTTTAGTGCTATGAACATCTTATAGCTATGTTCGAGTATGGAAGTTACAATCATCGTAGTGCTAAGATCACTGTGTATCACAACCTGGCAGTTATTGATTTATCCACATTTCGAAGGCAGGATGCACTGTCAGATCATGATGCTGATTGGTTGCTGACAAGACCATACAAATAAACACTCCAACATTCAAGATTACCTATATAGATAATGCAATTCAACTTAAGAAGTAATTGAGACCTACATGAATAAATGATTCACATGACATTCATGAAACATCATCTCACTTCACCTAACACCAGTCAATTTCCCAACAGATTCTGCTGGAGGACTAACGCTAATTTGCTCAAGTGATATCAACCATTCTGTCCTGTTATTGATCAATCATTCATGAGGTCTGCTGCTTCATCACACAATCTTAACACAGTCCCGCCTCATCACATTATTGTGTTGATGTTGGCAAGTCAGCTGATTAGGTCCCACCATCTGACGGAAAGTATGTCACATCTAGGAAGGGATTCCATCCCATATAACAGGAAATCTCCAACACATAGTAAACGTGAGGTTGAATAAGTATTCTTATTTTAGCCCCGTGCCAGTTAAAAGCCTCCAAATATGCTTATGGTTAACATTACAAACAAACTTTTTAGGTGCGACTAAATCCCAGAATGCGCCCATCTATCAAACTTACCGACGGGTGTGGATATAGCAAGCTCTTCATTGAGCCAGTTAACTAAAATATCGGTCATTTTGATATTTCAGTTTGACCGCACCCCAACACCCTGTCCACAATAATATTTCTACTTTGGCTTGGACTCCGCCATGAGCAGGTGTTTTGGGAACAAGCGTCGCTATGGCGACCGTCGCTAGACTGCCGTATTTTGGTTCATAATATATTTTACGACATTAAACTCGCGGCCTTTTACTGATATTATTCGTACATGGCCATTTGTCTCTTAAAGAGGTGGCCTAAATGTGAATGACAATAACAATGGACATAATTTTGTTATGCGAATGTGTAAATCAATGTTTACAACTATCGTATTCGAAGAAACCGGAAACCGCACGTTTTCGTGAAATGATCTGTCAAAATTTGTAAATATGTTGTTTTAACGGCTACTATAACATCCAGATTGCTTGTTTTCCTTAAGACAACACTTCACAGAGTTATCTTATTTCTTTATACTGCATACAGTGTTTTGTTTCATTTATGTTCGATATAATTGTCGTGTAGATTGCCAATATGTTTCAAAAAACCATTTCGAGTGAAAACACAGACTGCCATCAAAGGCTCTGACAGGTAAACCTAATTTTATAGACAGTATGTTGTAGCCTATGTTAGTGCATGCTGTGTTACCTGGGCACAATATGCCATCAGCGGGCATGACATCCTATTTCAATTTTGCACCTTAAACTGCTTCTCTCTTCGACTCTCAGTAAGCACCCTAAAATTTCATGCCCAGTACATTTGTTAATTATACTACATATCTAGTGCAGCAATCTAGTGCATAAATTATGCTTACAAATTATTGGGGAAGGGGGGGGGGGAGTAGATGATTATTATGAAGAAGCATGTACAGTGTGAATGAACACACACACAAATGTCACCACCCTCTTCAAATCATCATCATATCATCATCCCCCCTAGCCATAAAGTATGACCAGTCCCCAAGGTCTGATTGATGTTCTTTCAAAAAAACAAGCAAAGCATGGGGGTTAGTCAGTTCTATTTCTAACCTGGAAGTGTTGCTGATCGTCCGCGACCTGGTGCACCACCTGTGATAACAGCTTGACAAAACCGCAATATCCGAGTTTCACACTTGCGAAATCGGTTCCAAACAGCTGATGGATTAGGCAAGGAGGACAATTGGGACAAGTCAACGTCATTTCAGCGCCCAAAAGGTGCAAGGACGCCTTGCTGCCTTCAACATCCGGTGTCATCACCCGTACCGTGGTCCAACTTTATTGCATCGCCACAGACTTGCCAGACAGCGATGGTCAGCAAATGGGGCCAATCTTGGCAACAGGACATGGCCAGATGTCATTTTTTCAGATGAATCCAGGTTTAACTTATCCTTTGCAGATGGACGTCAACAGATTTATCGACGTAAAGGAGAAAGACTTGCGCCAAACTGTGTCCTTGAACATGATGCGTTTTGGAGGGGGTGGTGTCATGATCAGACCACAGACCATCAGAGGCTGCAGACCATCCAACAGCTGTTCCTGAGAAATGTGTGTCTTTCAATGCCCCAAAGACTGCGAGCATGTCTTGCAGCACACGATGGACACACACGATATTGACTGCAAGTGACCCCTCCTTTGTGTGATGTCGTTGTTGCGTCACTGATGTTGTTGTTGACTGGACATTTTCAGATGAAATTATTCACAGATGTTCACTTAAAACATATCTGCCAGTTAGGTTTATATATGTTGAAATCAGTGTGAGTAAAGAAAGTATGAATGTCAAATTGCATTTTTAATGGCTTTCCGTATATATACCATACCAGTATATTATGGTGACTGTTGATTCTCTTTCATAGAGATCTTCCTTGGGGTACATATATGCATTTTCCGCGACTGAAAATGTCATGTGACAGTTGTAACAATGTTTTAATAAAAGACTGTACAATAAATGAAAAAGCTTTTTTATTTACTATACGACCCCCCACCACATGGAGTTACCTCCCTTACCACGCATCAGTGGCCAACCAGGTAAGCACCGTAGCCCAAATCATCATTCCTTCTGCTGTCACGCTACGTGTAACACGTGCGGGCTTAGAGATACTGAGAGAGCGTGAGGCGGGGGTCCCTCCATCCAAAGCTAAGAAAACTAAGCATAGGTCAAAAAGTACTCAGGATAAACCTGCGTCTGTTTCTACCCCTCCTGCTAGTGATATGCCTTCTTTTGATACGTCCATTATCAATCTTTTGTTTCAACAGCACATGGACTCGATGAAGTCTCTCCTCCACAATTCGGTTGAAGGGCTCCATCAGGAGCTCCTTGCCGACTCGGGGGGGGTAGGGCGGAGAGTTCTGGTGCGGGATCACCATACCTAGTTAGATCCCGAGCCTGGAGCTTGCCGTCGATCCTTTGCCTCTGGCTTCGGGTCCGGCTGTCTCGGCTCTGACGTATTGTGAGGGTGCATGCCCAGTCCCTTTAGCCGTCCTGGCTTGTGGTCCGCTGAGTATCCCCGGAGTGCTGGCGGCTCCGATCCCTCGAGCTTCACCCTTGAGAGCTGAGGCCACTGTTCCGCCGGTGGACCTCTCTGAGTCTAGGGACCGAGGCCCTGTTCCATGTGTGGCGACCAGGATGGAGAGTTTCTCTGGTTCTCTCTTTCCCCTGGCGTCCTCAGGTCAGTCTTCGACTGGGTCGGTGGTTGTGTCCTCGCTCCGGGAGGATCGGGACTCTGGCTTGGGTTCAGAGGCTGAGTCGATGGAGGTCGGGGATGCAGAGGAACCCGAGGGAACTTTCCGTTTTTCATCGGCCTTACGGGAGGTGCGCCAGCGCATAGCACTGGTCCTCCCTCAACAGGGCTCGGCTGAGTTCCGCCTTCTGGGGGAGGCTTTTGCCCATTGGCAGCCTACCCAGACTTGGCTCCGCGTGCTCCCATCATTGGTGCAGGATGTGTTCGACCCCTTACTCATTGTATCTCGGCTCCGCTCGATCTGCCTGAGCTTGTTAAGAGATACCAATTAGGGGATGACTCTCTTTTCCGCATACCGGTGGTGGACGAGTGTGTGTTAACTTCAGTGACCCTCGGGGGAGGCTCGGCTTCCTCGCTTACTGCTCCGGCGGCTAAACACTGTTGGCTGGTTCCGCCTTTTCCCCAGTTGGGGGCCCCTCTGCATGCCCCTCTGCATGCGGCTTACAGGAGCTATGAGGAGGTATTCCGTAATGCCATTCAACAGATTAGGGTGGTGGTTCGTGGGGCGTATCTGTCTTTACAGAGATCCGTCCTGGAATCGGATGCTCACACTGGCAACGTTTCGTCGAATGCTGTGTTGCTCCGGCAGCTTACTGAAGTTCAGGCCCGCCTGACACGGGATTCTTTTTGATCTGCAGCATCCCAGGTGATGTGCGCAGTAATGGGTACGCGCAGGCTGTGGTTGTCCACGTCCCTTCAGTTGTTAACGGGGAAAACAGCCTTTCTTGTGGTGGTGACATCCGGTAGAAGGGTCGGTGATATTCACGTGATGTCATCTGATCCGGCACTGACGGTTTTTCACCCCGATCATATCAGTATTCGCCTCCCAGAAGATCGATCACGCTTTCCATGTGACAGCTCCTATTGATCTTCCTACTCTTACCCAGCCTTCTACATCGGGGACCACTCCTACATGGGCTCACCTGTTGGATGTCCATAAGACCCTCAGGGTCTATCTCAAAAGAACGCAGGGTATCCGTACGGGTACCAGCTGTTCTGCTGTTACGGTGTCGGGAAGGCTTGGGTTCCTACCAGTAAACAAACTATCTCTCGCTGGCATGTTTCTGTCATTTGTGCAGCTTATCAGGCTAAGGGTAAGCTTCCCCCTGAAGGGTTGAAGGCTCACTCAGTTAGGGCAGTGGCTACCTCGAAAGCTTTTGTAGCTGCACTGCCCATTGAAGCATTTGCTGTCGCCGCTATTTGGAGCCGATCGAGCATGGTTTGGTCGGTCTGTTCTCTCCAGTGGACAGTGTCCTGCCACCCTGACCGAGTGAGTCTCGGATCATTGGTTTGGTTCTGCGTTCGATTGCTCTGATCGACTATCCACTGAAGGCTTGATTTTACTCATTACAGTTTATCTCCTGTCGGAGTTGACTGTATTGTTATGTGCATGCCCTTTCGGTGCTCTACGCTAATTTTTCACTATGTGGGCGGGGCGTTTTTGATCACTACTTGTGATCTAGTGCATTTCACTGTTATGATCGGAACTGTGTACATTTCCTCCCTTTCGGATCACCTCCCATCATGCCTCTCTTCGAGCTGTGGGTGAGTGTGAGTGTTTTTAGCGTAAGTAACATGCTTCGTTTATGATATCGCTAATTTTATTGTACTTAACAGAATTCCCACCTCCCTAGCCTTCTGTCTTTGGGAGTCTGTGTTTATGCATATATGTACCCCAAGGAAGATCTCTATGAAAAAGAATTAGCTAAACCTGTAGAAGTTTCCAATTCTTTGAAGAGAATCTTCCTTTGGGTAGGGCTGCCCACCTCCCCGCAATTCTGTTCACTGACGGTTTGTCAGCAGAAGGAATGATGATTTGGGCTAGGGTGCTTAACTGGTTGGCCACGCATGCGTAGTAAGGGAGGTAACTCCACGTGGTGGGGGGCCGTATAGTAGATAAAAAGGCTTTTTCATTTATTGTACAATCTTTTATTAAAACATTGTTACAACTGTCACATGACATTTTCAGTCGCAGAAAATGCATATATGTACCCCAAGGAAGATTCTCTTCAAAGAATTGGAAACCTATACAGGTTTAGCTAAATACATGTGTCCTATCATTGCCTATTGAGACTGATATTCATGATATAAAACAGATCAGGAAAGTATTTGTAGGTATATTGTAATCAAGGATATGGCATTACCTTCTAAGATATGCTATATCTCTACTGGTTACGCTGGTAAGGTATGGATTATTGTCCACTGAAGACTGAAATAAGGTTACTGATTTATCTCTCAGGAAACGGCTGAGGGCTGATCTAGGTAAGCTATATCCAAGCCTCTCATCTGATGACCTGACAGCCATGGTTCCTCAGAAAGAGGAAATGTCGATGGCTAAAATCAGCACCCATGGTGGACAAACAGCTGTAGTCTATTGTGTTCAGAAGAACCCCATCTTCTTTGATCTGTATGGCAAGATCTACCCAACAGGTACTTTGATCTCTTCTCCTGCAACTATCACTCATACTTGAACATGCTGAACCATGAAATGAGAGGGGGCAGTGGGGTAGCCTAGTGGTTAAAGCATTCGCTCGTCACGCCGAAGACCCAGGTTCGATTCCCCAAATGAGTACAATTTGAAGCCCATTTCTGGTGTCCCGCGGTGTGCTATTGCTTGAATATTGCTAGAAGTGGTGTAAAACTAAAATCGCTCACTCACTTATGAAATGAGATAAAATGAAAGAAAGAATGAAAAGTGAATATTTCTTCTTATTGTGATGTTACTATTAGGATAAGTTACTGTTAGTGTATTCTGCTGTTTTTGTTTATAATGGAAAGTTAAAAGCATTTTGTGGGTGTTTTACTAGCTCATCCTGTAATGATTTATGTTTAGTTTACACGATGTGGAAGTATCCTGACTTCCTGCCTCTGTTCACAACATGGCCACCAGTGTTCAAGAAACTGGCAGGAGGGGCAGGTAAGACACTGTAACCATGGTAACATGCTTCCTGATTATTGTGATAACACCACACTAATAAATATATGTCTGGGTGTTCTAAGAGGCAAGTATTCAGCTCAAGGTTCTTGGTAGATGTTACAAAAAATTAAATTAATTCTTAGAACTTGGGGTCCTGTTTTCATGGTTGTATTTAATGGTACAAATATGTTTTGGTTTTCATGTTTTTGCTAAAGATTATTGTTTCACTTGTAACATTTACAGGACTAATAAAGGGAAAGAGAATGGTATTTGTTCTTTATGATCAGATTTCACATCTTGAAGTTTAATCCACTGTATATGAAAAGTAAAAAAAAATCATACATTATTTGTAAAACAACATGATAACTTAGTATGTTAATTTTTTGGTTGAATGAAGACCTGTTATATCACAGATAGATCTCGGTTGTCAATCAGTGTGACAGCGTATCCCAATATTCGACCACTTCTTTCTTCATATCCTCAATATTTCTAAGTCCTTTTGGTTTATTTTGTCCTTCATTAGTCCCCCCACATTCTCAATAGGGTTAAGATCTGAGCTATAGCTGGGCCGGTCCAAAACTTGAACATTTTCGTGCAACAACCACTTCTCTGTGTTTTGTGTTGTTATCATGCTGGAAAATCCAGTTGTCTTCATACAGTGTTTGGGCTGCTGGAAGGAGGTGATCATTTAAGATGTCAACATATCGTTCCTTTGTCAAATTTCCAATGAAAATACACAACCGCGTCACTCCACGTGATGATATCCCACCCCACATATGAAATTTCAGGCTATGTTTTTGGTATTGGTAGATGGGTTTCACGGTATTTTTTGTCCAATTTCACAGTTTGGAAAAAGCCAGACAGAACTTTCATCAGAAAAGAAAACATTATCCCAATCTTGATTTTCGTGAGCCGTACACCAGTTTAAATGTCTTTCTTTTTGTGCATCTTTCATCAATGGTGCGGGAATTCCGTGTGTTTTCACCCAGTTAAGTCTTTGTAAATCTTGTCTAAGGGTTTCATTACATAACTGAGGACGTCCTCTATTAATCATCTCATTTCTGATATTCTCAACGCTTTTCATTTTCCCCCTACTCACAATCTGACCAAGTCCCCGGCAATCCATAGTACTGAACTTCCTTGACCTCCCTGCCCCCTGTCTTTTGCTCAATCCTAACTCCTGACTGATTATTCTTCAAATTTTGTATGATGCAGACAGAGGAATGTCATGTCTACAAGCTAACTCTCTGCATTAGTCACACCCCTTTCAAAATCATCTAGAACCAGCTTTCCTTTCTCTTCTGCTGTTAAATCTGCCATGTCAACAAAGAATGCCATCTGCATTACCAGGGGAGATAACTCTTGGTGTAGTAAGGTTCATTCTTAAGCCTACAAGAGTTTCCTCCCATGTATAGTACCTCACTACTTAATGTAACACCTATTTTAAAATTCTATTATCAGTATTAGGAAACAAAGATTTTCTCAATAATTATTGGGAATACTGTATACAATTAGTTATTCCAGTTGCAGTTGGAAGATTGATAAAAGTGGGTATGGTGATTTTCTTTATGTTTTTTTTTCATGCTTTTTTGTAGATTTGATGTTGCCAGGCGTTGTAGTCAAAGGGCAGGTAACTCTTTCAACATTTGGGAAGATGGCCAAGGGAGCCATGTGTGCTGTCAGCTTAGTTGGCAACAGGTAACCAGTTATGTACATTACAGACAAAATAAGAACAGTTGTGTGTGTTACAGACAAAATAAAAATGTGGGGTAATTAGGGCCTAATTACAAATCATTCACAGGGTGTTAAAAAGACCAACAACCTATCACTACTTGGGTGAGTACAATTACACTTTGTGATCCAATAATTGCTTCCAGAACCAAGGGACACTGAATATCTCTCATTGAGTGAGTAAATGATGTAAGTAAGACTTTGTTAGCCTACTGTACAGATTCAAAGGCACATGGTCAGAAATTACCTCTCGGGAAGTAAATGAAAGCATGACTACATTAGTGCACTTTGAAAAGAAAAACACAGGCACTTGGCCTGGTCAAATTAATCTATAGATACATGTAATCTAAGATGATAGACAAAATGCTATAAGACCATGTTCCCTAAACATACATAAGCATTAGCACCAGCAGAACAGAAAACAGAACTATCTTACACAATCTGCTCACAAGTTTCCAGGTTGAGACTCCTGTAGCAATCATCAGGAGTGAGTGAGTGAGTGAGTTTAGTTTTACGCCGCACTCGGCAATATTCCAGCTATATGGTGGCAGTCTGTTAACAATCGAGACCAGACAATCCAGTGATCAACAGCATGAGCATCATTCTAAGCAATTGGGAACCAATGACGTGTCAACCAAGTCAGTGAGCCTGACCACCCGATCCTGCTAGTCGCCTCTTATGACAAGCATGGGTTACTGAAGATCAATTCTAACCTGGATCTTCATGGATGCGATCATCAGGAGGCAAACAGTAGTACTTAGGCCACACATGCACATGGCCTCGCAGTCACTGGATGTGTTAACCCAACTCCCGTCTTTATGAAAACAAGGCACAAACAACTAAACCTGGCCTGCCAAGCCTTTGTGAACTTGGCTTTTTGATGTACAGCTTGGAAAAGTGCAGTGCATGTGGACTGTGATCATAGACTAAGAGGTTATTACATGATAGTTTTCCTTTCTCAGTCATATCAGCCTGAGGTCCTGGCTGATATTGTAGTCGAGGGCTGATATGACTGACGAAAGGGAAACTGTCATATCATAACCTTTTTATCACATACCACATCAAGGGACTTAACATTAAAATAAACTAGGCTCAGTCTATTGAAGTTTTTGCGCATCTGCATGTATTCATTCTGTACCAGTTTAGCAGATGGGCAATATAGCTGATATGGATTTTCGGCCCTTGGGCTGATATGGCTGATATGCATTTTCGGTCCGGGCGGTCAATATGGACATATGCCGACAGCCAGTATTGTATTTGCAAAATGGTCCATGTTATTGATAGATATATGGTAATACATGTTTTCACACGTCTGCGCCTTGTTCATTAATTATTTAATTCTGGCTGCCATATTATTTCAGGGCCCCTGTTGCGGTGGGGAACGCTTGTCTGTCAGGGGAAGACATGTACTTGTCGGCTATGAGGGGCAAGGGTGTTGAGATTGTTCACATCCTGGGAGACCAGTTGTGGTAAGTAGCATATCCAGATAGAGATAAGTAACATGTATACAGATAGAGGTTGCAATTAAGTAAGTTTACAGTAAGCTCTATTCAGAACGAGCTTGTAAGATGTATGGAGACTGAGATTTAGCTCACACATTTTTTTTATGTATAAGCTGTGTAGATGAGCTGTTAGGGTGGGGTTCGCACCTTAGGGACCATTCATAATTTATGGCTAGGGGGGGTGATGATGATTTTAATGGAGAAGCATGTACAATGTGAATGACCCCCCTAAAATTTATGTACAAAGTAAGTGACCCCCCTCCATGTCATGTACAAAATCAATGAGACCCCCTCCCCTCCCATAAGTTTTAAGCATAATTTAAAAATATTTTGATGTACAAAATTGCTGACCCCCTACATCCCCAGAACAAAATGGGTGAGCCCCCAATAAAAAAAATAAAAATAAAATAATATAAATAAATAAATAAAAAAATTAAAAATTCATCATCACCCCCCCTAGCCATAAATTATGAACGGTCCCTTAGCATGCTTAGTATACCATCATGACAGTCATCATAACATTCATCATATTTATGCTCACAGTTTGTATTGAGGGTGAAAGACTGAAGCCCTTACCATACTTTACAACCTCTGTACATCTACAACCTGTGTCTCTTCAGATGTTTTCCCCACATTAAATGAATATTATTCAAAGTGGCAATAACCCTTTACATTGATTATATCCCTTTTTTTCTGAAATTCAGGGAGTTTGGTGATCAGTCCAGTCCCCCAGACCTAGGAGATGATGTGTTTACGGAGCTGCTGGGAGAAGCCCAGCAAGATGACAGTGATGGTGAAGCAGAGGAAGCATCAGTGTCTCAGACTGCTGAGGTAGCTCAGGGAGTGGAGGATCTCACTTTAGACAACTGTGACCCTGAACCAGGAGGAGACAACTCTGGTGGAGCAACGGGCGGCATGGAAGAAGAGTCAAGGGACTCAGTAGGTGGGGAAAACATCATGCAGAAAAATATTCTCAAACAGTCCTAGAAAACACATGCAGCTTGCTGCTACTATCAACTAACATATTCACTTTATTACTGTACAAATATAACTGGCCCCTCATTTGTTCTATTCATTTACCAATGTATCCCTTTCATCTGCCAGATTGACTTTATATGTTTTAGATTTAAACCCCTTTACACTGTTCCTGCAGTCTAAGTAAACTCAGGCTCAGTATTATTTATTACACTGCTATACTGAGTCTAACGAACCCTAGTAGAAGGTCGTGTCAGCTAACCTTTGAGCGACCTATGACTGTCCAATGAAACACGAACGGCCGAACAGGTTGAATCAAGGCAACAGCTACTATTTAGTGTTCGGCAGGACTTTTTCAAAATGTTCTTTTCCCCAGTCGCTCACACTGACCTCTCAACGAACGAAAATCCACATTAAAGACAGATATTTGACCTACAGTATATACGCTTAGAGGTTTCTGATGACATTGTTACTATTAGCTTATATTTCCATAAGATGACATCCTGGAATATTTACAAAAACGCTATTTTCAGCGACTGTTTACTCACTGTTGTGAATAATGTTGTTCTCCATGCGTATCACATGGAAGCGATCTTGCGGAAAATAGCATACGTTTTCGAGGTAAAAGTTCCAACGGTATGTGCGAACGTTAACTTTAGTGATTTGGTAAGCTGTGTTCTGACTGGTCAATTCAAAAGGTTAGCTGACGCGACTTTCTCTTGGGGTTTGTTAGACTCAGTATAGCAGTGTAACGAATAATACTGAGCCTAAGTTTACTTTGGCTGTTCCTGTCACCTCCCAGAATCATGAACATTTTGTTAGACATCCAAATACTCCTCATTATTCCAGATATCTCTTCTTGTCAAACCACCACTGTTATATTATACCCCCTGTATGTATGCTCTTTCATTAATCCTGCCCTCACCAGACATTGATTGTATGGACTGATCTAAGGCATAGATGGCTAAGTCTCCTAACATGCTGCAATTTGCTGTGCAGAGTTGCATCTGTCCAGGTGTGCTGGGAACCTGGCATTGTGGGGTTGTATCTCTGATTTGACCTGGTATGTTTCGTAGCTTATCAGCACTATATTCAAACACGCGGGTTTAGTAGCAATGTCTGCAACCTGTTTCCCTATTTCATTCCATATCAAAGTGACACACTGTGATGCAAGTGTAACTGTCACTCACTACCGGTAATTTATTGGCAGCAGGGGGTGGTGGGGTAGCCTAGTGGTTGAGGCGACACTCGGCACGCCGAAGACCCGGGTTCGATTCCCCACATGGGCACAGTGTGTGAAGCCCTTTTCTGGTGTCCATGCCTTGATATTGCTTGAATATTGCTAAAAGTGCTGCACTCATGGGCATCACAGGTGATCCATTGTCTGAGGTGCATTTATTCGTTGTGCAGTTGTGTTTCTTTGGCTCACTAGAAATTGTGGGTTCGAATCCCTGTTTATCTTGATTATGTTTCTAGGTTTGTCAATACTAGACTTGTGTTTGAGTGTTTCACTCCTTGGTAGACTCATGTGACCTGCCTTCCTCAGCCCTCCCCTCGCTTCCCCCACTCACCCCCTCACTCACTCACTCACTCTCTCACTCAAAATGTACCACAAATATCATTCCACAGTACCCTCACCTTTGTCATGGTGGCCACATTTCTTTGCAAAAGACAGTGAAAAAAGGAAAAAGATTGACCTCAGCTAAACAAACAATAAGGCATGTTTTTACCCATGTTATTTTGTAGAGGTAATGGATGAACGATTAAGAACTTGTTGCCTTTGTGCCCTGAAGTCTAAAGTCAAGAAGAGTGACCTCCCTTTGTTAACCAGTGCCTTCTTCAAAAACTTCATGCAGCCATTTTGGTGAGTATTTGTTTTGCTTTCTTGTTGTTGGCCACTTGGTTATTTGGTTGATTTTGTGTCAATGAACACTGGCAGCAAGTATTGTTGTTCAGAATATCAATCACTGTTTTTTATGACCTAGACTCAATTATTTATGGGCAAGAATATTGCTGAGAAAGTTTGGATTTACGTTGTTTTCATTTGCAGAATTTCTGTGAAGACTTTGTGTTATGCCATTATAGATCATTACTGATTCTGTTTGATGCAGTAAAGTAATTGAAACAAATCAATTTGATAGTGTGATGAACTTTCTACACTAAATATTTCTTGTTACAGTCCAGCTGGTCAGTCTCTTGATGTGAAAAAGTCAAGTTTTAAAAAGGTAAAGGATTTCATATGTGTGTGATACAATATCAGATTAAAAAAAGTTAGGAGCAGTATCAGTTCCTTTTCTAGATTTATATCTGTCCCATATTTGGAAAAAAGTTTTGTATTTCTGGCCTTTTGCTTTGACCTAAAAAATGAGACAAGGACAGAGCTGTGTTTGTTTAATTTATGTTTGAGACAATGAAAAGGGATTGCGTGGTCATGGTCGCTGACTTGGTTGATGCTGTTGTTGTCCCCCGCCGCAGCGGAACGGGGTACTATGTATTCAGCAGCGTCCGTCCGTCCGTACGTACGTATGTCCCGATTCTTGTTAACGCGATATCTCATGAACTGTTGTACCCAATGTCTTCAAATTTAGTGTCAGCCTACATTTGGGGATTACGCAGACACCAGTCGATTTGCATGACCTTGACCTTATTTTCAAGGTCACCACGACACTGACCACTTTTCAAACTGTTAACATGATATCTCATGGACTGTTGTCCCCAGTGTCTTCAAATTTGGTGACAGCCTACATTGGGGGATTACGCAGACACCAGTCGATTTGCATGACCTTGACCTTATTTTCAAGGTCACCACGACACTGACCACTTTTCAAACTGTTAACATGATATCTCATGGACTGTTGTACCCAGTGTCTTCAAATTTGGTGACAGCCTACATTGGGGGATTACGCAGACACCAGACGATTTGGGTGACCTTGACCTTATCTTCAAGGTCACCACGACACTTTTCACACTTTTAACTCTTGTTAACGCGATATCTCATGAAATGTTGTACCCAATGTCTTCAAATTTGGTGACAGCATACATTGGAGTATTACACAGACACCAGTCTATTTGGGTGACCTTGACCTTATCTTCAAGGTCACCACAATACTTTGACCGCTTTTTAAAGCGGATATCTCATAAAACATTGCACCCACTGTTTCAAGTATGTTGACAGCCTACATTGGGTGATTATGCAGACACCAGTCATTTCAGGCATCTTGTATTTGACCCAAAAATAAAAAGTAGTAAATATAGATTTTCCATTCTTTAGCGGCGGGGGGACATTGCCATATCAGTGGCAAACACGTGTTGTATGATACTCATGATGTCAATCACTAGATGGTTTGATCCAGTCTTGATTAATGCACGACCAGGGGCGATGGGGAAGCCTAGTGGTTAAAGTGTTCGCTCATTTCGATTTCCCACAAAAAGCGACGTAAAACGTAACTCACTCATTCACTAGTTCCAAACTGCTGCCATGTAGCTGGAATATTGATGAATGTTGTGTCGAACAACAAAGAGCCATCTAAACCCTTTCGCAGCAATTCCAGAAAATTCAACAGTGAGATGTCGAAACTGCACTCAATAAGGCCTTGGTCTGAATAAGTTTGAAAAATAATAATCATTGTTAGAACCATATAGCATGATTCTATTTGGAGGCCTTATGTGTGATAAATATTTATCGGGACAGATAACTGGTTGTGATTTTATTATCTCTTAACTCCATAGACCAGTGAAGATCCGGGTTAGAATTGATCTTCAGTAACCCATGCTTGTTGTAAAAGGCGACTAACGGGATTGACTGTTCAGGCTCGCTGACTTGGTTGACACATGTCACCGTATCCCACTTGCATAGATCGATGCTCATGCTGTTGATCACTGGATTGGGGTGTGGTGTTTTTTTGTGTTTTTTTTGCATGGGTACGCACCCCCTTTTGTCCAGAAGGTTTATTAAATGACCATTTAAACTCTCGTGAAAACGAGTGAAAATAAACTGTACAACCCCCCTTTCTCAAAAAGCTGTATCCACCCCTGTGTTATTGTGGGATATACCAATGTTGGTCTCGTTAGCTGTTATTTGATTTTCTCACATGACTGTCCTGGGAGACATACTCATGTTGAATGTGATGTGTCCTTACTATCAAGACATGGCGATAGTCGTGTGGGTCTACTATCATGGCGTGGCGATAGTCGTGTGGGTCTACTATCATGGCGTGGTGATAGTCGTGTTGGTCTACTATCATGGCGTGGCGATAGTCGTGTGGGTCTACTATCATGGCGTGGCGATAGTCGTGTGGGTCTACTATCATGGCGTGGCGATAGTCGTGTGGGTCTACTATCATGGCGTGGTGATAGTTGTATGTCCTGTAATATCTGAAGATGTCTTGAAGCTGACACTATAGGCTCTTGTTCCAGTTGTCCAAGTTCCTGCAACATATGCAGAAGCAGGGTCTGTTGAAGACGAAGGAGTTGTCCAAGGGAGCTGACAGCATAGTGGAGATAGACAAGTCTCATCCTGGGTAAGTAGCACCATTATGACTGTTAACAGGCTTGGGCCGTTATTTCAGTCAGTGTAGTATGCTGTTCTGAACTTGTTTGAAAGACCCTGCAGTGTTTCTGATAGGAATTTGTCATATGTATCCTAATATGTGGATTGGTGGTCAGTCTTCTTAACTTTGGCGATGGGGTAGCCTAGTGGTTAAAGCGTTCACTCTTTATGCTGAGGACCCAGGTTTGATTCCCCACATGGGTACAATGTGTGAAGCCCACTTCTGGCGTCCCCAGCTGTGATATTGCTGGAATATTGCTAAAAACAGTGTAAAACTAAACTCACTCACTCACTCTTAACTTGGTTAATTGTGTGTAAATTGTACCCTGATGCTATGAGATATTGCTCATTATATCACCCACTAAGGTGGTCTAGTCTGGGCTTTACTTGAGGTGTAAATCGAATATTTGTTACTTTACCTTTTTCACTAAGTACAAGTGTGAATTTTTAGATGTTTGAAATCATAAATATTTTTTTCAGAAGGTACTCTGTACACTGTTTTAATGTTGTCAAATTAGAAGGTACATATAACAGCTGTTGCCATGGCTACTAGTTCTGGTTTGGTTTAGCTTGAAGGATGTACAAGTCCCTGATATAGTGACAGAGGTACCGGCACCTGCAAGACAGGAGGGTGAATACCAGCCCCCCAAGATTACAGAGATGTTCTCAGTGACCTCAGCTGTGCTGCCCATCTTCAAGAGTCAGGGATACAAGTAAGTGATGGAGGAAGGGTGTGTAGGAAGGAGGAAGAGAGAGACTGGTGGAGGCAGAGTATGTATAGGAGGCAAAGTAAGGGGGGAGAGTTGAAGTGAAGGATGGAATTAGTGAAGGAGGAAGAGAGTGAATGATGGAGGAAGAGTATGTATAGGAGGCAAAGTAAGGGAGGAGAGTTGAAGTGAAGGATGGAATTAGTGGAGGAGGAAGAGAGTGACTGGTGGAGGAAGAGAGTGAATGATGGAGGGAAAGCAAGGGAGGAGAGTAGAAGTGAAGGAGGGAGGAAATGGTGAGGTGAGGTGAGGTGAGGTGAGGTGATGAAGGAGGAAGTGCAGGAAGAAGGGAGTTAGGAAGGAAAATGGTAAGTGAAGGATGGAGGAAAAAATGCTAAGAGAAAGAAAAAGGTTAACTTTGTTTAATTGATTCTTTGGTAAAGAATATATGCTGATGATTATACTTTCCCCAAATGTCAAATTTTTGGACAAGCCTGCCCAAATAATACAGAAAAGTAAAAATGGTTAGAATAAAGAAATGTTGCAGATAACACAAATATTACTGTTGATCTAACCCTAGTAGTTTTCTTTATGATCACCCTCCCTCATTGTATGTTTTGTGTCATGATACGCACATAGTTTGGGTCACAACATGCTATATGTATAAATATTTCAAATGGTTACTGTGAAAATGGTTACTCAGAGACTACTGAATGTGTGTTGCAGTAAAAGCCATGCCTTGTCAGCTCCTGATGTGCGGAAGGAAGTCACAGAGTATGTCAAGGCAAACAATCTACAAGATGAAGAAAGGAAAAGGTAAAGTACTGTCGGAAATAGAAAAAAACTGTTTTTTGCATTTATATCTACAATTTTGTAGCTGATATGTGAAAGTGTGAAATATCTGTTAAACTAAGTTCGGCCTAACTACAGTCTCAGTGGTAGGGAGATAGGAAACATAGAAAAAGGACTTTACTGAGGAGAGATTAGTGCAGAAATAAGCAATGTGTTTTTTATCTAAGTCCAAAGAGACTTATTTGGAACAGACCATGGCTTTATGCAAATTAGTGTGCGATGATATTGTATTACAAAGGACACTTTTTAAATGCCCATTTTGAAATTAGACTTAGCTTCATTATAAGGGGCGGTGGGGTAGCCTAATGGTTAAAAGTGTTGGCTCATCACTCCGAAGACCCGGGTTCGAATCCCCACATGGGCACAATGTGTGAAGCCCATTTCTGGTGTCCCCTGCCGTGATGTTGCTGGAATATTGCTAAAAGCAGCGTAAAACCAAACTCAGTCAGTCATTATAAACGATAGCTGACGTGAAAAAAACCACCAAAACCTTTAAAACTGAAACTAATAAGGATGAAGCTGCCATGGAGTCTCACTATCACTATAAAAAGAAACAGGTAGGAAGAGTCCTCTCAAAAGCAAACCCAGGACAGGTGTCCCAGGTGTGGTTGGGGTTGGGCTGGGGGATAGAGATATGAGCTGAGATAAGATAATCCTTTAGGGGAATTAAACTGGGGAAGTAAACGGCATGTCATAACAATTTACAAATAATATCCAGTCCTGTCGATCTTCGGGTGGCCATGCTACCTATATATTTTGAGACATTTAATACGATGGCTGATTTAAGCTTTTCTGTGTTTACATATCTCAACATAAACTTTATGAAAGAAAGACACGTAAGATGTTGATCAATAGATGAGACATATTCAACACACATGAAAAAGCATAAAATATCTTTGAGATGTCCCCTTGTGCCTGTAGGCAGCACATGCTGAACCCCACTGAACGCCCAGTTAGGCTGATGTGGGTTATTTCGACATATGCTATTTGCAATTGGGTAAATTTTAGCGATACAGATTAACAGTCTAAAAACAGTTTGTTTTTTCTATTTCCGACAGTACTTTAGTAATTTCTATGCCCAAACCAACCGTTTTCCTCAACCAGATTAAAATTGTGATTGGGTGATCGATTGTTATACTCATTTTTCAGTCAGTTTTAGTGTGTACACATGTTAAAGTGAGTCAAAAATACATCTCCAAATACTGCTATCAGTAGGGCTGTGCAATATTACTGGTAAACCAGTATATACCGGTAAATCTCACGATATGGTTCAGAATATGGATCAGATTCTGCAATATAGTGGGTCATCCAGAGTTGACTCCCTTGATTTCATAGCAACAAAATGCTCTGAAAGTGCCAAATATACTTTTATTTATGTTGGTGTCATGTAACATTTTACAAGTGGAAGTATCTCTATAAGTGGCTAGCCAAATATTCTACCAAATGCTCTAAGTTTTGTGGGCTTGAATGGTTTCATATGTGACATTTTAGAGGAATTAAGTTACCTCAGATGGACCAATTTTTATTTGGCCTCTTGATCTGAGTGACCATTTCACAATTCACATTAATTTATTATTTTTGATTGTTTCATAATGGGACATATGTTAACAATTTATCATAAAGGCCTAAGCCTTAAAATATTCAATTATAATGACATCAAGGACTGACTGAAGTTTTACGCTTAAATATTCCAGCAATATCACGGCGGGGACACCAGAAATGACACATGTATAATGAACCCGGCCTTCGGCTATCATCATAAGTTCTAGTCAAGGATCTTAATTATTGGAGGTCATGTGAGATTTTAAGCTCAAGTAGTTCACCTAAATCATGTTTTTGTTTCTTTTTGCAATAACATTCCACACTAAGTCTGTAGATAATTTTATTTATCTGTAAACCAATGGCATACAGCTATACACAATGGGGATGGGGAGCCTGAAAGTATGGTGTAATTTGCTTTGTTGTGGGGCAGGACTGAAGTCCTAGAAACTCTCAGGAGTCAAGCTGCCAAACACGAACACTCATCCAAGGATTGTCTCTGCCCAACATTGCTCAACTTGACCTGATTGTGACCTGAGCATTATGCTCAGGACCACACGCCACCATTACCAGATACTGAATGGTTTGATTGTGTACTGTCATCTTCATCGATGTATTTTCAGTCATGTCCTGCTGGATCCAGATCTTGCCCACATTTTACTGACCAAGCAAGAAGGAGACTTGTCCCATCTCAAGTGGGATGACCTGTTTTCTAGGTAGGAGAACCACCAGTCTGATTAACTTAAGCTTCATTTGGCAATTCAGCTGTTGTTTCCTGACACACCTACACTGTCCCTGTGGTCTAATGGGCAGAGCATCTTCTTCCCGGAGCAGAACTCGGGTTCAATCACCAGTCATATCATACCAAAAGATTTTGAAAAATAGTACTAGTTGTCACACTGCCTGGAATGACAAGGAATATGTTTGGGAACTTGTTATTCAACCCCTTGTCTTGTTATTCCCTAGGGTTGTGGACCGGATGCAGCCAGCTTTCCAGCTAGAGTTTCCTGGCAAGCCTCCAGTGTTGAGGAAAGGAAAGATTGAGCCAATCAAACTCAGCGTGGAGCAGAGGGCATCCAATAAAAAAGTAATTAGATGCAGATCTTTAGCCCTGTGTACATTGTTCTCCCCTCCAAGTGAAGATTGCAGGTTTGACTGGATCCCAACTTAGCTGTGCCTTTTGTATCAGGAATGGTTTGTTCACAATGGCTGTTTTCCTGGTTAAGATTTTATTGTTTGCATACCACATAGTTGGAATATTGCTGTGTGGCGTTAGATGTTAACCTTTTTCCTCCCACTTTCATTCATGATAATGGCACTCGCCCATTATATGATTTGACATCACCTTGATTGCTGAAATTATCTCCCCTCACCAAGTAACAATGGACAAATGGCTCCTAGTCATACAGTAAAACAGTTTCATTGTGCCGAAATGCATTCCTTGAAGTCTGTGCCCGATTTGCCCCGGTTGTTATTCTCTGACAATTCAGGATGAGAGAATCCATCAATTTAGGACCTATATCTTCTGAGCATCACTTAGAGGTTGACAATATTTCATCATTCCCTGTTGCAGGCAACCATAGTTGACAACCTGGAGGATTTTGGCATCGATCCAGCAGCTTTTGCCCACACCGTCCAGAAGAGTGTGTCCTGTAGCTCGTCCGTGATACCGCATCACCAGAAGAACAAGGGCATGCAAGTGTTGGTGCAGGGAAACCAGATTGCCTTCATTGCAGACCTACTGCTAGGTGAGAGTTACCTCCCTTTGGCATCCAGCCACATGCTCCTTCCCAGCACTTGACACCTCATCCTCCTGGCCTCATCACTGCCATAACCAGCACTGTCACTATAAACCAGGTTAAGTCTGGGCTAGTACAAGCAGCCACACATACACATATAATGGTCAGTGAGTTGTGTTCAATTCCATGTATCCAGGGTTTTACACAGACTTTGGAAAAAGAGTCATGATGATTCACAGTATATATTTTTGGGAGTTATTTTCAATATTTGGGAGTCATGAAAATTTCAGTGTGATATTTATGTGTGTATATCAAAATTTTATTGTTTTGTGTTGTATTGTCATTTATATGTTAGTTAATAAACACAGTATATTTTTCACAGTTCAGTTCAGTCATAACAAACTCCAGTATACTGAACAAAAAATCAGGCTTGTGATTTATTCACTGTAACAAACAGTTATTAACATGAATTGAAAGAAATATCTAAATCAATGAAGATCTCATGAAAACTATCATTGTTTGCATATCAAATTGATTTTTATTGAACTGAATTCTGAGGGTCACTCATAAAACTTGCGTCTAGCTTGACTTGTGTGATAATATTTTGAGAGTCTTTAACACAATTGTTGCGTCAAATACGCAGGAATCATGTGTCATGTAAAACCCTGTGCATGGTTGTAGGCTGCATGCATGGTTGTAGGCTGCATAGCACAGTGGGGAGCTGTGACTATGGCAGCCACAGAGGTCTGTGAATGGGACACCACTGTAAGGAGCCTATGGCAGCAATTTGCCTCTGTCATCAAAAGTGGGGGCTTGTGTCAGTTGGCTTGAATAGGTATTGCTTACTAAGAACATAAATTCTTTGGTTAAAAATGATTTGATGGTTCTGGCTAGCACTATAAATATTTACTTATTGAAGGATATGGTGAATCCTGTGTGAAGCTCTTTAATATAGATTTGTACATATTTGTATTATTACTACAAGAGATATGGATAGGTCATTGTTGAGAGTTATTTTGTCAAAGTGAGGGTCTTAGCTGTACAGGATCTTTTAGTTGGCTTCAAGTTTAGCACCTTAGCTGATCTGTTTGATTACAATGTACACCATGCTTGTTAGTTTCATCAAATTGGTTGATGTTTCCCATACATCATTTTGGAATTTTCTCCCACATTAAGTGGATATATATAACTGGAAATTGTGTTCAAAGAAGCCTTTACTCAGCCCTGTCAGTATTGTGTCATGGAAGTTGTCATATTTTGTTTCAGACAAATACAAGGTGCCAAGGAAGTATGTTCAAGGACTGGAAAAAGCACCAAAAAATAAACGAAGATGATATATTTTATAACTAGTAATGGAATAAAGAGATTAAATTATGCACTTCATCTATTTGTGTTCATTTTGACTAATTACTTGTAACCATGGTAACCATATGGTCTTTTCAAATTTGTCCATTCTATATGAAATGAAGTTTAGCTTTTGAATCAATGGCCTACCTTTAGAATTCAGTATCATAAACTTTACAAATACCTCACAATACGATGTAATTCTATTGGTGCTCCAAATCATGATACAACTTACAAAATGGCTGCCACATGTTAACAGTACAATACAATACAGGCAATATGAGGATCCTGTGAAGTAACGGTGTAGAGAACTGTATGTTTTGATAATTTCTTTAGAGCCTGGAATGAATCATTGATCATGTGGGCTGATTAATGGAATGATGCACATAAATTCTCTTGAAGAAGAAATAAACACTTAGCAAAGTTCATGGTAGTGAATAATATTGTGCGTCCAGAGGGGCGCAGTGAATTTTTTTTTCTGCGTCCATTCCCTGCATTTGTGCATACTGGACGCACATTTGCGCATCGCGTAAAACACTGTCTGTATTGATGATTCTCCCATTTACATATGTCCCTAAAGACAATAAAACTTGAAATGATTTTAAACCCCTTTTCCCCCACTTCACCCTTATTAACTTTGAGGTTTGTTTGAAAACCCCCAAATGTATGAATTCACCAAACACACAAGAAATCGAGATTATTAGAGAAATATGATTTATTTGAATAAGTCAAGGCAAGCGTGGAAAAGGCTACCTCATTACTTACGTGTTGCATACATTTTCTCCAAATACATCATATTTCAAGGCATGACAAGGATGAGTGTACATACAGACTATTTATAGTTCATGTGGTATACATAGCACCATGGAGGAATCCCAAGCACACACACAGAGTATAGAAACATATGCAACCTTGGATACAAGCACTAGAATCGCACAGGATATCTGCATCATATTGGGCTTCAAACTCTTGGTCGACAGGCAAAACTCAAATTCTTCTGAAACATTCCAACACTTGGTCACACTTGTGAAAAGATCCACTGATTTTCAAAATGTAGTGTCTGAACCATTTATAGTTTGAGTCATTTACTGTGCAGTTGTGCATGTATGCTTCACAAAAGAGTGAGTGAGTGAGTGAGTGAGTAGTGTTTTACACCACTTTTAGCAATATTCCAGCAATATCCAGTGCGGGACACAAGAAATGGGTTTCACACATTGTGCCCATGTGGGGAATCAAACCCGGGCCTTCCGGTCGATGAGCAAACGCTTTAACCACTGGAATACCCAACCGCTCCCCTTCACAAAAGAAACTAAAGAACACTTGATTATTTATGTCACTATAGATAATCTGTGATGCCATAACAGGTAAGCTATTGTAAAAGGAAAGAAACATATATCCTTAACTACTTTTGAGTAGTTTTCTGTATATTAGTTTTCCCAGAAATTATTGAGAATTTTTGTGTTTCCTAATACTGATAATAGAATTTTAAAATGGGTATTACATTATGTCGTAAGGTACTTAATATGGGAGGAAACTCTTGTAGGCTTCAGAATGAAACCTTACTACATCCAGAGTTATCTCCCCTTGTGTGGCAGACGGCTTCCTTTGTTGACTGGCAGATTTGACAGCAGAAGAGATTGGACGGTCATAGGTCACTTAAACTCAGGTATGTAATGAAACCCTCGGACAAGAATTACAAAGATTTAACTGGGTGAAAATGCGCGGAATTCCCTCACCATTGATGCAAGATGCACAAAAAGAAAGACGTTTAAACTTGTGTAGGGCTCACGAAAATCAAGATTGGAATAATGTTTTCTTTTCTGTTGAAAGTTCTGTCTGGCTTTATCCGAACTGTGTGAAAATTCGGACAAAAGATACCGTGAAATCTACCTACCAACGCCCAAACCATAGCCCGAAATGTCACATGTTGAGTGGGATATCATCAGGTGGAGTGACGCCGTTGTGTATTTTCACTGGATATTTGACAAATGCACGATATGTTGACCAAAAGGGACTTAGAAATATAGAGGATATGAAGAAAGTGGTGGTCCAATATTGGGATACGCTGTCACACGATTTCCAACAAACTTTGACCGGTAGTGTACCTAGGCGCATTCAGTCGTGTATTACAGTGCAAGGAGGTCTCCGCACAAAGTACTGTAAAGACACTTAGACTGTTCAAGCGAGGCATATCTCAACATATTCATTTAAGTAAATCTTCTGTAGTTTAGATACATGTATTAGATATTTGCGATACAACTTTCTCAATGATTTCTGGGAATACTATATCTAACAGTGTACAAGGTAATCCACAATTCCACATGGAATAAAGTGTTGTGTTAATTTTCTAGCAGCATAAATAATGACATGAATACTATTCAACTTTTCATTGGGATAACCAGATATGTCAGTCTATTAAAACATTCACTTGACAATATGAGAATCAGTTTTATGTATCATGGAAAGATAAGAATATCCCAAGGCAAAAGTGAATCCTGACAACAAATGTTCAATTTGCTGGGGCTAAAGAATTGCATAAGAGTTGTGCAACATAAATCATACAATAGTTCAGTGCTGTATAATATGCAAATTTCCTTTTGCACCATATACCATATTCTTGCATACACAAGCCATTCAAAATGTGTCTACTTCACAGGATTCCGGCCAAAGATAACGTCGCCTCCGCTCTGCTAAAACATCTATAATGTATAATCCATATGACAAAAAGTTCGGGATCACCTATTTTTGTGATATTCTTTTCTGGTAAAAATTTAATAAAAATGTCGCCCAAAACATTCCTGATCCCTAATTTCTATATCAGTAAGTATTGTTCTTGAACATAATATCCGATATTTACGTTAATAATTGTGTCAATGAAATAATGCAGCTGGATAAATATAAGAATGTTTATGGCATAATAAGGTATTTCATACCAATAAGGAGAAGGTCGGAAATAAATACCTGACCTGTCACAACATTGGTGGAAAAACACACAACCATGTTTGTCAAACATTCCTTTTCACAAGTTCCCATCAGTAAACACCTGCAAATAAGTTTACCACAGAATGCAACCATATCTGTTCTTAAATATCCCCAAACAGATCACCTGTTTAAACTCAGTATACACCTTGCCATGTGACTAAGATAAAGGATTGTGAACAAGAATTAAAGAAGTATTTCATTTGATTGATATAACCTTGATTTATCATAATTTCCCATGAAAATGAGGCATTGGCAATTCGTGTGAATGATGGGGTTGGATTACATGGGCATACTAGAGTCTAGATGATGTCTGTCCAAACATTTTTATTTAAAACGTGACAACCAAAAGTAATGTGTTCAAAATAAACATCTGTGTTCCAATCCACGAAACGTTCGTAGCGCTACGTACGACATTCGCAAGCCTATGATAAACAAGAGTTCGGACAGGTCGTAACGTTACGAACGTTTCGTGGATCAGGGTGCCGTTGTAGAAAACAACCTTAGCGCTGAGACTACCTTAGCCTATGTTAAGGTATGGGAGTTACGGTCACCTTAGCCCTAAGATCACTTTGTACAACGGCACCCCCTGGACCTTTCCCAAATTTGTTTTTTCAATGATCAAGGTCGGAGAGTATTTGGATGACGCTTCCGTCATTCCTGGATAACTAGACCCTCAGTGCTGACTGTCGCGCGATCAGACCAGGCAGTGCTTGACACTCCTGACGCCAATGGGGATGATTGGTTTCCATCCTAATGCTCTCGGATCATGTGGCAGTTGGTTAACTATCAATTTCCCCAGGGTTTTAGTCGTAACAGGCAGTTGTGCAACAAGATTAAAGGTGGCATTTAAAATCTCTCACTTTTAATGGCTCACACAGTCTAAAAATATCTAACAGCTCGTGCCTAGTGGCGAAATTGTTGTAATCACAGCCACGTAAAATCAAATGTTCAAACGCCTACACTTCTCATGTTGAAGCATGAAGTAGATGTGAAAACTGGGAATAACCAGCGGAACCGGCGAGTAAACTTAACCCTAAACCATCCGTTGAAACATTTCGTGGAATATATATATTTTTCTAAAATGAAGGAAAACAAAACAAAAACCCAACCCCAAACAAATCCAATTATAGCCAAATTGGTAATAATCTTTAAGCAAAGGATAATATATGACTATTTTTTATTTTAGTCCAGTAATTAATACACGAAAGTTTTTTATACGAACATTCAAGTGCGGAAATGCTTGTCAAAGAACTGCTCATTTTGCCTCTATCAGTCATCTAGAGTCCTCATTTAAAGTCTGGATACATCAGGAATAACGATTTGCTAAACAAAGATTATGGCGTTATAGATATTGACCGATCTACCTGCTTATTAGGTTTAGAGGATGAGACAGATTATGTTCAACCAATATTGTAATCAGTCATTTTCTCACGTCTGAAACATTCATATATTCAGGCCCAGGTGTCAAACTGAAGATCGATGCATAAGGTCAGTCAGAGCTGACCAATAAACAAACAGGAATAACGCGAACATCTCTTTCACCTGAAGTCGTGGATTGTCTATCAGTGACGAGCAGCGTCCAAGGTGTGTGACAGATTCTCATTATACTCATGCATAATGGTGGTCGTTGGAAAGACGTGCACAAGAAATGGGTTGTCCAGATACGTTCGTCATGCATGTGCATGCCTATAATCCTTGCTTGTAATAGGCCACGGAGATCGATCATAACACATTGTGTATAAGAATAAGAAATCTTATAAGTATAATCACACATACATACAAATCAAATGGCATTGTGTTCCTCATTACAATTTGAATCCAGGGTGAAAGAGACAAATGCGTGTAACTAGCTCTATCCGATTGATTGAGTGAGTGAGTTGGGTTTAATGCCGCTTTCAACCGTTATCCAGTTATATGGTAGCGTGACACACTTGTGTGGGGGACAGGTCCGACATGATGGAGATCTTAGTCGTTTAGCTTAGATGGATGCTCATGCTGTTGATCACTGGTTTGTCTGGTCAAAACTATTATTTACAGACGCGTAAAACTAAACTCACTCATTCACTCTTAATCGTTTACCACTTGATGAAACCCACGGGCATGGGTATGGGGCTAAAAACCCAGGAAACAGTCGGAGCTGACGGGGATTCAAACCACAGGTGTTGGATTCTGGCGAGCGAAGGGGACGCAACTCTGCACATCTTTGCATTCTCGATCCGATGGAAGATATAGCTGATACAAGGTAAAGTTGGAATTATAGTAAACAGGTATAGGCTGATTCAATATTATAATATTACTGAAACCTTGTATTGACCCATGTGGAATGGAGGACTTCTTCAAGATGCTATTTTGTGGAGAAACGGCGCCATGTCAACAATCTTCATGTTGGGTTTCCCACAATACTTCAGAAATCTAAAGTTGGTAATACTGGAAGAGAGACCACACTGGCCGCACACATGAAATACTATTGGGCAGAATCACTTAAGGTATAGGCAAGATCCGTGACCTTAAACTGTTCTTGACATTTGTGCATTGTCCATCTGAGATGTCAGCTACATGTAACTGTAAGGTGCTGTGTTTGCAGAGCTGGAAGGACAACACTGGCACAACTGGCCAAAAGTATCTGGCATGGCGTAACCACTGCAGATTCTGGCCAGATATCTTTAACGTGGTACATGGCCCATGGGTCACGCAGTGGTTCGGAGCTGAATTGACAATACTGGCATGTTGGTCGCGTTTTCTTGGTACGGCAGAATCCCTGCCAGTTCGGAGCCTACAATTTGTCTTCATGTTGGTTCACTGTCCAAATGCGATATCTGGTGATATTACGGTGCTGTATCGAGAATTCTGAAGTAGAACCACTCTGAAAACACTGTCTTCATGTTGGTTCACTGTCCATATGCGATGCTTGGTGATATTATGGTGCTATATCGAGAATTCTGAAGTAGAACCACTCTGGAAATACTGGGCTATAGGATCTGGCACCGGAACCATCACAGAAGGTACTGGATCATGCTGAGACGTTAACTTTTCCGTGGGCATCCTCAAACCCAGCTCTACATGGGAAATACACTGCTTTCAAATATCTTTGTTCTGAGCGTATTGTAATCTGCTTCTCGATACAATATGCTATGCAGGTCAACCATTAAGATGACATTATCTTTGACATGCCTTGTCCATCTGCGATGTCAAGTGTTTCTTCTTCCTAGATAATACACATTTGTTACAATATTGTCTTGTGTGTGCATTGACCATCTGTTAGTGAGTGAGTTGGCCGCATTTCTGTCATATCACGGTCAGCTTAAAGTGGAAGGAAAACCAGGTCTTTGCAGGTTTGAGGCGTTTATCACTTTGGTGAAACACGGGAACAGAGCTAACAAACCCACAAACATATTCGGAGCGAACTGGGATTCGAACTACAGTACAAGGTCTCTGGCGTGTTCAAGGGAGGCAACACTTTACAGTGAAAAGTCGATGTCCGGTATTTCATATAATAGTTCAGGAGACCAACTTGAGTGGTTTCAACGTTAATGACATCCGCAGGATTACTTTCAATCCAGCGACATCCGAGTCTGAAATCTTTCTTTGTTTAATTAACGTGTTGGACATCCTACCAAGATAGACGTAGTGTCTTAGCACTGACATATGTCAACGTCCTGTTGTCGTATGATATATAATAAATGATGGATTCTTGTGCACGCTTCTCACGGCATAAAGGCTGTTCAGTGACTTGTTTGGTGTTGATATTCCTCATAAATATGTCCTCAGTTCCGTGGAAAAACCGAGCGTCGTGCTGTTTTATTACACCGGGATTCCTGATGCCACGTCACCGGTTTACCATCGAAATTCTTCTATTCTCCAAGAATCACTCCATGTTGCTTGACTGTATACACCAACACTCTATGACAAGGAGAATGTTCACTTTTTACACATTCCGCACTATTTCTGGCGCGGTTCATAAGCGGAACCAACATTGTTGGGACTAAATCCTCTCCTGGCTACTCTTAAATCCTTGAAATCAAGACTCGGTTGAACAGACAGCTCAACACAATACTGACCAACTTTCCTGGTCACAGATGAAGATGCACATGCAGTATGACAATTCAGACGTCCGTTTGCTCCAATACTGATGAACTGGGCACCGTTCTACAAAACGATCTTAGCGCTGGGGTATCGCAAGTCGCTGAGATAGTCGCCATGGCTGTTTGAGACAATACTGACGTACGGCTGTTTGGAGACTGAGACGGTCATCCTCCGATTTCAAAGATAAAATATAATATAAATTCGATTCTGACACATTTTTTGAAACGTACCCGTGGTACAGTAAGACATGTAGATTCAGTTTTGTAAACCATATCAAGGAGTAAAAGAGAACATACGTTGGCATGAGGCTGATGGCCCTTGCTCCAACCAAGCTCAAATGTAGTCAAATATAATGCAGCCACATATTCCCCGATGGTGCAGACTCTTTAGGAACAAAGGTCATACGGGACTTCTATTGGAAGTTCATCTCAGGTCTGAGGCCGTGTCTCAGAAGTGAACACAACTTTGGGTCGGAGGAACGCCTTCAGGACATTCTGTAATTGTCTAAATCAGGTGGCCCATCAACATGTGTTACACAGAACCACGGAATCATGTTATTCACTGGTAGTCCGGCAACAAATCTTCATCACTGATGTCATGAACTGTGTCATTGACTGTGTCTCCATCTTCCTCGTGGACACAGGGACGTGCCTGAATGTTCTCCTGTGTCATTCAGTGAGGATCGAGCTATTACGTATCAGATAGTCCAGCAGCAATAGCACTATTGGCATAGGCTCGCCTTGGAGCCATGGTCCATTGTATCCACGGAAAATCTTGCTACTATAATACTAAACCAGATGATTCAGCAAACATATCTTCCTCACTAACACAGGCACGCTTTGGAACCTTGTTACCTGCTATCCTCGGAATATTGTCATACCAAATACTATGGTCCTGAAAACACATCTTCATCACTGTCACTTGGGTGTATTGGACACCTTGCCCTTGCTTACCAAGGCACCCGATTTCTTAGCAATACGGTCCCCTCCCTTTTATCATTTTAGCCGGCCCCTATTATATCCAATGTGGAGATGAGTCGAGTCAAAGTCAGTATACTTTTTCACCAGTGATACAGAGACTCATTAGAGCCGAGGTCTGTTGAATTCATAGTGAACATCTTGTACCAGCCAGTGTTGTGTCTGCTAAGGTCAAGGCTGTCCAGTCTGACGATGGTCTCCCCTAGGCACTGCTTCTTCTTGTCAAATCCCTTTATCCTCTCCCAGACGTTTACCTGCAACATGGAGGACAAAGTACAGTCTAACACTGCTGTGTACAGCCTTGCATTATGTTGGAAAACAAAGAATGAAATGATGTACATTGACATGTAAACGTATCTTCGTGAACGAATTACTAGACGACGCCGTTGAAGATCTTGGTTTAAGCCTGGTTAGCTCGGTATTAGAGAGGTATGCCATCCTCTTCCATTAATGGAAACAAGACGCGGCTAAGTGGCAGTCGTTAGCAGATTTCATTGACGTTCATAAAATGAAATTTTCTGGATTTGCTGGTGCAAATGTTATGGAGCACTAAGCAAGCACAGTGTCATTTTTCACTGGGAATGGAACATTTTTTAAAGACATAATTCATTTCTTTTCCTCTCAAAAGAGATCCACAACGCATATTTATTTTGGAAACTCCAGTATGTCCAGTGAACGATGTTGCACTGGTAAAAACCTTTACGGCAGAATTTGAAAGTTGACAGCTACCCAGCGTTTGTATTATGAGCATTTCATCCTGAAGGTGAATGTAAAAATACAGGCCACGTGGGCACACGGATTAAAAACGAGATAAGATTTTGGCTTATATTCTACCTACAAAATGTAAGAGAACTGGTTATCTGACCGTAGCTATTGTTGAGGAGTACATTTACAATAACGCGTCGCTAATCTGAATGCACCACATTCATTCGTGACCAACTCGTGTTATTCCGGGACAAGCAGGGGGTTACGGAAAGGGGCGAGTGGTGACGAATGGCATCACCTTATCACAATCAAATTTCACATCATGCATAAACAGCATGTGATGCACGTGCACGCAGTAGGCAAAATGTGTGCACACATTGGGCAACTCAAAATCACTAATGGAATTAAGCTGAACAAAAGCGGAAAAATACCTCCGAGCGGAAAAATGCTTCCGAAAAATGCAGACACATTAGTGAATTGTGGGTACATTGGAGGGAGGGCGGATTATAGAAAAATGCAATTTCTAGACTCTGGGACAATCACCATCAAATTTGAGCAGTTGCAATGAGACTTTGCCGTTTAGATTTCATCCATTGTCGCCTCAAAATCGGCTGTAGTGATCTTAATGCAGACAGATATTATCGACACGTATCGGAAACATCCAGATGTTCATGTGGTCACGATAACGAAGGCGCTGTTCACTACCTTTTCTCATGTCGAAATTATCAAAACTTAAGAACAAATATGTATTTTTATATTCAAGGATACGATATTAAAACAGTATTTTACGGTAATGACTCACTGAGTAATTCAATTAACAGTAAAATCCTAAACTCATTACACAGGTTTATTACTTAAAGCAAGTGCTTCCTGTAATATCACTACAAAATATATAGTTATTAAAAAAATAATGAAACAGTCACATTTCCAATAAATGCTAAAATACGATTGGAGTGGACATCGGAATCGTAACGAATTTGTAGGCCCTAGTTTTCTTTCATATTGCATATTGCGTAGGCCGAAATATATATCACAGTCAGTACACGAGTACTAGTAAATAAATGTTGTATTAAAATAATATTATACATAACTGTGACGTCAATTGGCAAATATCATCGACCAACTCCAGTTTTTAAACCAGCACGAAGCGTAGGCCGAAATGTAGCACTGATCGAGAATTATATCCGGCATTACTTTCGTCGGTACACGTGACTAGCTAAAAGTGTACACATTTATCCAACACCTACCAAACTGACAAATCTCATAAAAAAGCTCTACGTAAAATAAAATTATTCACATTTAATCTGGAGGTGGCAGACAGAGAGGGTATCTGTGTCAGCTTACAGGAAAGGTCATAGGCTAGTCCAAGCCTTGTGACGCAGAACACAGCACATTAAACAGGCCACTTAGTCATCTGTAGATGGTGATCGTGGTTTTGTTGGTAACGATCGGCCTGATTCATGTTACAGTTAATGCCTGTCAGAAGGATGTCTGAATCCATGTAAACAACATTGTGGGCTGTAGGTGGTTTTTAATCCATTTAAAATGGAACGGGTTTGTGTCTTGTTGTCTGTGCGATGTAAACAACATTGTGGGCTGTAGGTGGTTTAACCAGAATCACATGTGTATGTGTCTTGTTGCCTGTACATGTGTTGTTGCCTCTGTATGTTGCCTCTAGATGCCTGTCTTGTTGCCTGTATGTGTCTTGTTGCCTGTATATGTGTCTTGTTGCCTGTATATGTGTCTTGTTGCCTGTACATGTGTCTTGTTGCCTGTACATGTGTCTTGTTGCCTGTACATGTGTCTTGTTGCCTGTACATGTGTCTTGTTGCCTGTACATGTGTCATGTTGCCTGTACATGTGTCTTGTTGTCTGTATATGTGTCTTGTACATGTGTCATGTGTCTTGTTGCCTGTATATGTGTCTTGTTGCCTATACATGTGTCTTGTTGCCTGTGTATGTGTCTTGTTGCCTGCATATGTGTTTGTTGCCTGTACATGTGCCTTGTTGTCTGTGTATGTGACTTTTTGCCTGAACATGTGTCTTGTTGCCTGTGTATGTGTCTTGTTGCCTATACATGTTGCCTATACATGTCTTGTTGCCTGTGTCTTGTGCATGTGTCTTGCTGTGTATGTGTGTCTGTTGCCTGTACATGTGTCTTGTTGCCTGTGTATGTGTCTTGTTGCCTGTGTATGTGTCTTGTTGCCTGTGTATGTCTTGTTCTTTATACATGTCTTGCCCTGTGTGTCTTGTTCTTGTATGTCTTGTTGCCTGTGTATGTGTCTTGTTGCCTGTTCATGTGTCTTGTTGCCTGTATGTGTCTTGTGTATGCCTGTGCATGTGTCTTGTTGCCTGTGCATGTGTCTTGTTGCCTTTACATGTTTTTTGTTTTATATACATGTGTCTTGTTGCCTGTGCATGTGTCTTGTTGCCTGTGCATGTGTCTTGTTAATTCGCTTTGAATGTGTCTAGGTTGCCAATGCACGTGTCTACATACTTATGAGCATTGGTCTAGTGTGTGTTTTAAAAACGTAACTCTAATGGAGCAAGTTTTGAGTGTACGTATACAAGCTTTGTGAATCACTATCAAATAGTGATGCAAGGTGTTTCAACAGATCAACAGTCTGTAAATAGTCTGGACCAGATAATCCAGTGATTGACACCATGAGCATCGATATACACAGCTGGGATACGATGACGTGCATCAACGAAGTCAGGGAGCCTGACCACCCGATACCGTTCGATCTCTTACAACAAGCTTGGTTGCTGAAGGTAGGTTAATGGGTCGCTGGTTAGGTCACGGGTGACGTCGGGTAGTTCCACATCCTTATCACCTACCTTCATGTGTCGCCCGTGCACATTACACGCGGAGTACTTGATCTGCTTCTTGAAGACCAGGTCACCTCCTCCTTTCACAACCTGGGTCTTCTTCTTCTGTATTATCTTCTTCCCTTCCACAAGGTAGGTCTTCACGTAAGTGTCTAGAGGGGAAAAGGGTAATAAGAGCATCTTGCAACGTCTTTGCTTGGTGCACCAACAACGTTTCAGATATACCAGAGACATGTAAATAATCGAGTCTGGACCCGGCAAAGTGGCGGTTGATGTAATGAGCATGTTAATGGTCTGATGACACGCAATCACCCAAACCTGAATTCCTCAGGGGTTCTTGGGGGAACAAGTTGTTAATAATATGACGAGTGAGTGAATGAGTGAGTATGGTTTTACGCCGCTATTAGCAATATTCCAGCAATATCACGGCGGGGGACACTAGAAATGGGCTTCACACATTGCACCCATGTGGGAAATCGAACCCGGGTCTTCAGCATGTCGAGCGGACGCTTTAACCATTAGGCTACCCCACCGCCCCAATAATATAACGACCAAACAGCAGGCCACCATTACACATATCGCCCTGGGTGCCGTTGTACAAAGCGATCTTAGCGCTAAGGTGATCAGAAATCCCATACCATAACAATTCCTTGGGACTGTCGTAGCGCTAAGGTCTTCACGGCATCCAGGTCATAGCATTTATCTTGACCATCCGATCGTTCTATCACTCACGTTTTCAATATCAGGAAATTGCAAAACACGAAAGCGGTTAAAAAAATACATAAGGTGAGGTAAAATTGGATTAAAGTAGCTTTCAATATTGTGTGTGTGCGGCTGTGCGTGCGCGCGTGCGTGTGTGTGTGAAGATGAAGAATATATTAAGGCTTGCTTGGACATCAATGAAGGGGTGAATTTAATGAACCATTTTGCCCCTATTGATTGACAAAAAGGAAATACGTTTTTGCTGTAGTAGAGTGTGACCCTTAGACCCTTAATGCCGAGCGTCAAACAGGGCAACAACAAACTACCATCTTTCAACCTCTTTCGGTCGGACACGGCCGGGGATCTAACCAGTGACCTTCAGTAGAGGATGCACCCAGTCGTAACCACGGAAGTCATTTCAGAAAAGACAGAAAAACACCTACCATCCTCTTCACAGTATTTGTTTTAGACTTAGGACGGGTTTTTTTTGCAGTTAATGACTCATGAAATCTAGTTTCATACGTTTTAACAAGGTAAAGCGTATATCAACAAGCCTTTCACTCAACTTACATCAGGGGGAAGATACCGTTTGTTTCTTTCACGCCAGATGCCAAATGTCGGTCATTATTAAGCGACTATGTCAGATTCGTCTCTAAGATACAGGATTCGCTTGACTTGGGTTGGAATCCGCGATACACGTTGGTTATGACCCTTGGTCTTTTAATTAGCACCATATTCGTTCAATGTGTTTAAGGGGTAATGGGGAAGCCTTGTGGTTAAAGCGTTCGCTCGTCACGACAAAGACCAGGGTTCGATTTCCCACATGGGTAACAATGTGTGAAGCCCATTTCTAGTGTCCCCCGCCGTGATAATGCTGGAATATGGATAACAGCAGCGTAAAACCATACTCATTCAGTGTTCATATAATGTGAACCACTCTAAAGATACAGCTCCAGTGTAAAGATATACTGAAATATGTTTCAAAACGTGTTAACCACACATATATGTTTGATGTTTGTCCACACATACAGAAGGATGGTTGATTTACCAGTTGGAAGGGGAGTTTCTGTCTTTATCAGATTCCGGGCGCTGATGACATTGACTTCGAGCTGACCTTTTGAAACTGCAAAGCCGAGGCCGATATCACCACAGACAAGATTTTCTGAAACAAAAAGCATGAATGTGACTGTTCTATTTTAAAAAAATGGTACACAATAACGATGTGTCGGAAACACACGCGCAAGCACTCACACACACACGTCTCGTGTTATCGCTTTCTCGTCTCGTGATATCGCTTTCTCGCCTCCGAATTTTAAGGCGAGAAAGCGATGGCCCTAATCAGCCACCATACATACAAGCACATACGCACGCATAAGATAGAGTCCAGTTATTCCTTCCTGTGAAAACTCCTTTATCGAAACAAGATCAATGACTACGCTCAGTTTTCATTTTACACGTTGAGCGTCGAAAGATCTTGTGTAGATGAAGGAGTTTTGACAAGAAAGAATAACTGGAATATCATTTTATATAAGTTTTGCTTATACATCTGAAGAAATCACTTGTTTTAATGTATACAAATAAAATACAGACTATCTATCTATCTATCTATCTGTCTGTCTGTCTGTCTGTCTATCTATGCTCCACATGGGTACATTGTGTGAAGCCCATTTCTGGTGTCCCCCCAAGTGATATTGCTGGAATATAGGTAAAAGCGGCGTAAAACGAAGCTCATTCACTCATTCTATCTGTCTATGCCCCTTAATTTTGTCGCAAGTGGTTTCAGACATTAGCTGAGATACCATTGATAAACACGGTTAATGAACACGATGGCGTTTCTAATATCAAATAGCTAAATGTTACCACCGTAGCTGTATTCTTCCAGGCACTGATTATAACGCTCAGATTTCGTCTATCAGATACTGTTCTCATCATTTGGTGCCGTTATAGCTGTATGGTGATTAAAAAGTCAACGTGATAAGGAAATGAGTATTCTACATTGAAGATATAAACATCCTGGGCTGACATATGGCCAAGAACGGGAACGGCGGTGGAACAGCAGTCATGTCGAGCAGTCATTTTGCTTTCTATGGCTCTCAACGTTTCTGAACTGCTTTATCACCGGGTGCTGTTTCACGACAGCCTCTCAGCGGTACGATGTCCTAAGCCACGTCGGAAAGAAGCAAACTCCTAACTTTACACGTCGTCACAAACAACCACGACCTTTTTTCATGGCAGATCTTCATCTTTAATGGTAGATAGGGTCGTAAGTAGTAATATGATGCCAGGAAAGATATACGAGAATCAACTCAATATAGTATAAAATAAAGAATCAAATTGTGTAAATATGAAACACAAGACTCCCATTAAGGCCTGAGGGAAATCAGTATCGGTTTCAGATTCTGTTGGGTTGAAAAGCATATGAACTGATCACTTATAATTTAGTTATATAAAAAGGTGTTCGAGAAGACATTCTGCAAAGAACCTTGACCTGTCTCGAAATGCCTGTAAGTGTCTCGGGTAGCACTAAATGTTGAAATACAGTAGCCTACCGTTAAACCGAACTCAGAGGGACTGCTCAGTTCGTTTTAACCGTAGTTCGTTGTACGCATTTCGACTTAATATTACAGCAAGTGGTCGGGACTAAAAGCGTTCGTTATATCCGTCAGTTCGTTATAACCGTAGCTCGTACGCATTTCGACTTAAGATTACAGCAAGTGGTCGGGACTAAAAGCGTTCGTTATATCCGTCAGGTCGTTATAACCGTTGTTCGTTGTACGCATTTCGACTTAAGATTACAGCAAGTGGTCGGGACTAAAAGCGTTCGTTATATCCGTCAGTTCGTTATAACCGTAGCTCGTACGCATTTCGACTTAAGATTACAGCAAGTGGTCGGGACTAAAAGCGTTCGTTATATCCGTCAGGTCGTTATAACCGTTGTTCGTTGTACGCATTTCGACTTAAGATTACAGCAAGTGGTCGGGACTAAAAGCGTTCGTTATATCCGTCAGTTCGTTATATCTGTCAGGTCGTTATAGACGTTGTTAACTATAATAAGATCCGACAATTGGGCACAATGCACAAAACTGCATGATATTTTTACAACGGTTAAGGGGTCAGTGCGCATTGCAATTGCTTTATCAGCTGCCTATTGAGCATAAAAAAAATCAGATATTCATATTTCCATTGTTAAGATCAGTAGGCGTTGAGAAGCGAATTACGAGCACCGATGTTAAAGAACTTTCATGTATATCGACCTTTTATCCACTTTTATCCATCTTTTAAGAATGCCATCTTACCTTGAGCTATATAACAACTTGGTGTAGTTAAAACACGCTTCGTTTTATATAATAATATAACCCTTTTCATTTTCTGAATCTCAGTGTTTATTTTGTAAACAATACATGTACCTTTGATGACGTTAACATTCGTCATGTGTTTAGTGTTGAAAGAGCATATTATATCACCTGATGCATACAACAATGCCATGAGACGTATATAAAACAACAACAATACCCCCCAAAAAAACAAATAAACACACACACCAAAAATATAACTTAAAAAGATTTTTTTAAATAAAAATAAAAATAATTAAATAAATACAATTATTTTAACAGTTCAGTACTGCACTCTGCAACTCTGCTGCAAGGAGACTCCTTTTCAGAAAGTTACTTTATTCTTACGATCATCGTCAGCGTATGTTACAACATGGGCGTTTGTGTTAAGATGTGTTCATGGACACAATCTTCATTGACTGGGACCTGTCACATGATTAATTACTGGAAGATTATTCCTTGCCGTAAAACACTAATTGGATGGCCAGATGTTTGTCCACATTTTAATAATCAATTGCTTGGATGTCAGTGATGAATTTGAAATACTATACGATATGGATTTTAATTCGCCACGGCGCTGAGTACTGAGTACTGCGTGTTGAGGAGATGGCTGTATCCCGCGGATGTAGTTGATCAAACTTGTCAGGTTATTCGTGCAGGGAGGAAATGGTGACATTTTTGGCCAGATTGATAACGATGATATGTGAGAGACTGACTATTCAACTTTGGAGAACATACTGGGAGGTTTAAATGCACAATGTCACCTATGCTCGACAATACTTTGCCCTATATTATATGTATTGGGGGCCACTCACTTAAGCTTCCTATTGATGCAATAAAATACTTATTACCCCTTACGACTTGCCTGAAATCGATAATTGAAACTTCGAGGCGAACAGCTTCCAAACAGGTAACACGTTGTAGGATATTCGTAAAGAGCGGTCCAAGGGACATAACTCTAAGGGGTTCGTTTAAAATAATGTTCGGTCGGTAGAGGACGTGAGAGTCGATTTAATGCAACGTTGCATTAATTCATTCGAACTGTTTAACTGAATATTATAATCTAATTTATACGTAATGTTGTTTTTTAAAATAAATTATATGGTGGCTCCCTGATTGGCTGATAGTCAGTATTATTGAGAGAAGTGCATTATGTATTTTAGAGAAATGTGGTGTGTCATCGTGCCTTTAAATATATAAATTATGTTCGAGTATGGCAATCGTACAATAGTGAATAAATAGAGATTAATACCCGAGCGTAGATGCCATATTGTATCTATAACACGAGTGACTGAAAAATGATAGGTGAGTGAGGGTCGTTTTACAGGAATTTAAAAACGCCAAGCAACATCACGTCGGGGACGCGGGTTCCCCTGTCTTCTATGTCACCGAAATTCGTTGTGCACAGTTGTCTCCCTTGGACACGCCAGAAACCTATGATCGTGGGATAGAATCCCGGTTAGACATACACAAATAAAATCTACAAAACAACTCTCCAATCAACTGTACATGATATAGCAACGGCACTGCCGATCGATAGCAGGAAAATTGGAATATTGTAACTTACCAGCGGATGGTTTCGGGGGCACCTGACCCGGACCTAGGGACGACGTGATGTCATCCCCCTCTGGAGCTGGTCGATCTGGTGTCAAAGGGAGGTCACTGAAGTGTTATTAAGAGATAAGCATCAGTATTTTCTTCAATGGCTTGTAATTGTTAAATCAGTACTCACCAGAACAATAGGTTTTATTGTAGGCTATAAAATTCTTTAATCTTATCCATTGATAGTGTGGACATTTCATCAAGCACACACTGTATTAAAAATCATTATACATTTTCGTGAACATTTTTATTTCATCGAATATGCATCGATATATTCATAAAGTTTTGTCTGGCCCTGATAGATTAAACGATATCGTGTAAATGTTTTAGTCGACAAAATGTCAAAAATATCTTTGACAGCCTTGAGGCGTATTAGGTTAAATTTAGGTAGCGCGAGTACTTGTATCGTTGAAATATCAAAACAAAGAAAAGCATGAACATGTTTTGTCATTTTTGTCTCTGATACTTTGAACAGGAAGGTAGAACTCACCTCCATTTTTTACAGTTTAATTGAATAACAAAAGTAACAAGAGGCAGAGGTGCTTCTTAAACTTTCATCATTTTCATATTGGAATTTTGGTTCTTTTTTACTCGAGAAACAGAGAAGCCCGAGAATCATTTCTTTGTTTTGTAGCCAAACAAATATTGAAAGTGATTTCTAATACAAGCGAGTGCCGGTAAGTTTGCGCGTCCGGTAAGTCTGCGCAGCTGCAATAGCGTACTTCCGTAGCATCGTCTGCTACCACATTTACGCTTGAAATCGGGACATTTCTCCAGGGGACTGGTTTTTAATCACTAAAGGTAAGTACATAGGCATAACATGTTATTTAATTTTGTTAAAAATAATTATGAACGAGACTGAACGTGCCACTCCCACCCACATCGCTGACAAGTTCATGGTGACCTGTTGAATATTCATGGAAGTACCCGACACCTCCATGGCAAAATGTCGATTGCTCACGGAAGTAAATTCACAGTATCATGTATAAACTTTTGCAGTCAATAAAGTAGGTACTAGCATCGCTGATTCACGTGATCAAGGACAAAAAATGTTAGCTTTTGCCAACGTCCGCCATATTGTCTGTTGCCAACGTCCGCCATATTGTCTGAGCCGGATGTTATGTCGTCAGAACGCCGGTAAGGTCAACTGTATGGCATAATGCAACGTTAGAATCTTGTAGTCGTCAATAAAACTTATTTTTCTAGGTAAATATGATGCATACCAGCATGTTTATTCACGTAAACCACAAACATTAAGAGACGTTAGCTGTCATGTTGCGATCGATGTGGTAAAGTGCGCGGACTTTACCGGACGGCATTGTAGTGACAATCCGGGTTAGAATTGGTCTTCAGGAACCCATGCTTGTCGTCAGAGGCGACTAAGGGGACCGGGTGGTCAGGCTCGCTGACTCGGTTGACACGTGTCATAGCATCCCAGCTGCGTAGGTAGATGGTCATGATGTCAATCACTGGGTTGTCTGGACCAAATTCGATTATTTACAGACCGCCGCAATATAACTGGGCAATTGCTGAGTGCGGCGTTGAACAAAAACAAACATTCAAACAATTCTGAAATTTCAACTACAGTAGTGAAAGAGTGCAAACATAAATATACAAACCTGTACTTTTCACTTATAACTCCATCACCAATTTATAAACTGTTCCCCACACCATAAATCCATTACCAACTTCATACTATTCTCAGAAACTCAGTAAACTAGGTTACGTAGAAATAGTGTTATTTCACATCACCTAAACTGGATGGTAGCCCAAAGTTATATTACACAAGCGAGTCCGGTAAGTTCGCGCGCCCGGTAAGTCTGTGCAGCTGCTATAGCGTACTTCCGTATCGAAGGTAAGCATCGTCGGCTACCACATTTACGCTTGAAATCGGGACATTTCTACAATGGACTCGCTTTTTATCACTAAAGCTAAGTACATAGGCATAACATGTTATTTAAAATTTTAAAAAATAATTATGAACGAGACTTAATTACGATAAACATCAATGTATATACCTGCCACGCCCACCCACATCGCTGACAAGTTCATGGTGACCTGTTGAAAATTCATACAAGTACCCGACACCTCCATGGCAAAATGTCGATTGCTCACGGAAGTAAATTCACAGTATCATGTATAAACTTTTGCAGTCAATAAAGTATGTACTAGCATCGCTGATTCACGTAATTAAGGACAAAAAGTTTTCGCTTTTGCCAACGTTCGCCATATTGTCTGAGCCGGATGTTATGCACATCAGTTGCTGCGCAGAGTTACCGGACAGCAGGCGATGTCGTCAGAACGCCGGTAAGGTCAACTGTATGGCATAATGCAACGTTAGAATCTTGTAGTCGTCAATAAAACTTATATTTCTAGGTAAACATGATGCATACCAGCATGTTTATTCACGTAAACAACAAAAACTAAGAGACGTTAGCTGCCGTGGTGCGATCGATGTGCTTAAGTGCGCGGATTTAGTGGACGGCATTGTATATATACTTCAATGACTAATTTGCCAAACGATATACTGGTAAGATGGGTTACATTAAAAAGTGTAACTTAGGAAGTACTTGAAGCGAATTTAACATGTTATTTTATGATGGGCCGGTGATGAGAAATAGATCCTCAGCATCCTGTTATATTTCCTCCAGACATGATATCTATTTAACAGAGTTTACTACATCTCCACGTCTCTAGCTTACATATAACTCTACTCAAATAACCAGTACACATGATACATCGTACCCACTGAATCTTACATATCACCCTCGGAAACCAAATAATGTAATGTCTTTTCAGAAAAGTGCAATGTAGTTTGAAGTATTTTCTCCAGTTCAAGGAATGAAAAAACCCCTATAACATCGCATGCAACCAGAACATGCAATTCGTGAAGATCCGGGTCAGCATTGATCTTCAGTAACCCATGCTTGTCGTAAGAGGCGACTAACGGGATCGGGTGGTCAGGCTCGCTGACTTGGTTGACACATGTCATAGGTTCCCAATTGCGTAGATCGATGCTGATGCTGTTGATCACTGTATTGTCTGGTTTAGACTCGATTATTTACAGACCGCTGCCATAAAGCTGAAATATTGCTGAGTGCGGCGTAAAACTAAACTCCCTCACTCACAGCGTATTCATTCAAATGTTAATTGACGCTGGACTTTTGTTTTCAGCAGTGGTTTCTTATGGTTATGTTGCCTTGTTTAAATGTGCCTTTTTCCATTCTAAACTGTTCGCGCAATGGTAACTTATTCTAAAGTGAAACTCACTCACTCACTCATAGCATATTCTTTCACTTGTTAATTGTCTTCAGCAGAGGTTATGAAAAAGGTGTTTGTTGCCTTGTTTAAATGTGCCATCTTTTAAATTCTATATTGTACGTGCAATGATATCTTATTCTAATGTGAAATTATTCTAACTGAATGGTAAACTGAACATTTGGGACGGTCCCTTTAGTTTGTGGAACATAACCGGGCTTGTCTGTACTCCGGGTGATCTGTGAAGGAAACGTAGCGTGCAGAGATTGCCAGCGGCATAAGCACCTGATTTGGATGAAGATGCCTTTCTACTACGGGGTCTGTTTGGGCTCGGGTCCCGAGAATCATCCCCGAAACTTCTACTGCGTCCCATCTCCCCGGGGCTTGTATCGTCAGACAGAACTGGAGAGTGAAGCAATAGCTGCTGCTACAGTACACAGTTGGAATAATCACACTCGATCGGGGCCTTGATGTCCACACACACACGGCCCCAACCTAGTATGTGTATCAAGTACACGTACTTTCTAACGTAAAGTTGAAATAGACACAAAACAAACTCGTCACGTTATAAATCAAAATTAATTTAGCTTAATATCAACAATTAATATCAAATACGTCTTATAGTTTTAAGATTCTACTGTTCTTTTCATTTCGATGTAAGGAGAGAATACATCCATATACAACACTTGTTCAGGGCCAGTTGCATTGAGCGATCCGCCCCCACTGTGCGACAACAGATGGCCCAAATAAGCTTAACAATCTGTCACCTTATTACCAGGGATGCCACGAGGTCGATAATGATACTACTGGCTTAGAGCTTGATGATAATGGGTGATATACAATGATTGAGCATGTGCAAGCAACCCTTCACCTCGAGTGCCCGTAGAGTAACAAGACTGAGACCACATCTGTGAAAATACAACCACCGGTCTCAGTGCCGTTCTCGGTGATCCACTGCAACATATCTCTGTTCTATTAAGATAATATAACATGGAGCCATTCGGTATTAAGCATTCTTTCCGGAAGTGACGTCATGATTTCCATCGTCCTGTCTCTGATTTGCGCAGAATTTCTGTCACTTGTAATTGGATTGGACAGGTTTTTTTTAGAGCAGTGTTATTCGAATTTGGCCCAACACAAGGTATGGTAGCGAATTGGTCCAGATTATTATCAAAATAGAGTACAGGATGTGTTAATCCCGACACCAAGAGAAAGTGTATCAAGTTAATGAAGTTCCTTACCCGAGTCCCTCTTCTCTGAGACAGACAGCGAGGAAGACACCTTGGACACAGCACAGGACATCTTCCTTCTGACCTTGCTGGTGAAGCTGTTTCTGTGACCTGGTGAATACAAAATCGTATTGATGCTTGCAGGGCAAGTAGTTTCAGCGCAGTTAGTTTAAAATAAATTACATAAGGGACCGTTAATAATTTATAGCTAGGGTGGGATGGAGGGTGGTTGTGGTGTGTATGTGTGCGTGCGTGTGTGTGTGTGAGTGAGATGATGATTCCAATGGGGAAGGGGGGGGGGGTGTCACCCCGTTTATTTTTGGAAGGTAAAGGGGGCATCAGTTTTGTACACATGTACTAGAGGGGTGTCATTGATTTTGTACACGAATTTGTCACTAACTTTGTGCATAAATTTTAGGCGTGTGGGGGTGGGGGGTTTCATTCAGATTGTACATGCTTCTCCATAAATATCATCATAACTAACCATAAATTATGAACGCTCCCTAAAGTACCCGGTTGTTAGAATTGACTGAAATGAGGATCGGCTGGTCAGTTTCGGTGGCCTTTGTTGATTGTATGGATAATGTTAAATGTCTCATGTCATTTACCATTGGTGTTCATGTTCAGGTATGGAATGTTGTTCCGTGTCATACAGTGAGTGACTTGGGTTTAACACCCCTTTGAACAGTATTCGAAACATGCTCGGATGGAAATCCCGAAATGAAATAGGTTTCAGACATCTACCAATTTGGTGAAGTGAACAAACGTAAGGTGCTGACAAACCTAGAGTAAGTGAGTGAATTCGGTTTTACGCCGCTTTTTGCAATATTCCAGCAATGTCACGGCGGGGACACCAGAAATTGGCTTCACACATTGTGCCCATGTGGGGAATCGAACCCGGGTCTTCGGTGTGACGAGCGAACGCTTTAACCACTAGGCTACCCCACCGCCCCAAACAAACCTAGAAACATATCTGGGCGATTCGAACTCACGATCATATGGCTAGGCATGCACCACTGGGCCAGCCATGCCAATTCCCTATCACAATCAGATGAAAATATAACGGTTTTTATTTTACTACTTCTCATCTGGAAAGTTCAAAGGGATACTAACAATAGTGGTTTGCAACTTTGGTGAACTCCACTGACACGGGCCTTGGGTTGACAGACATTTCATCATTACCAGGTAGGTAGAATATGGGATTCGACCTAACGGTCAGTGGAACGTGCAACCACTCCGTGACACAACACAGAGTGTACACTAGCAACAGACACACGTCCAGCTTTGAATACATCTATTTATCCTGAATCCGGGATAGTATTGGTCTCAAACAACCCATGCTTGGCGTTGATGTCGTAAAATGTCGTCATTGGTGTCACCGTACAAAGAGTGAGTGAATGAGTATGGTTTTACGCCGCTTTTTAGCAATATTCCAGCAATGTCACGGCGGGGACACCAGAAATGGGCTTCACATATTGTACCAATGTGGGGGAATCGAACCCGGGCCTTCGTCGTGACGAGCGGACGCTTTAACCACTAGGATACCCCACCGTACAAAGACGGCATCAGACTTTACTCATCACATCAACCACAGGTTTATTTGAGGCTTTAAACAATATTCACTCGCTCACTATAACAGTACATAAACTGCTAACCCCTGTAACAAAACAATTGAAGTATGACAAATATTACGTATGTTTGGGCTCACTTTGGGAATGATCAGACAATATTACACTTTTTTCTTTTCTAAACGCATTCATGGCGCAAGATACACCTTGAAAGTCGAGCACAAGTACCTGACTGGAAGCTGCTGTCACTCTGGTTTGTTGGCGACCTTGGTGGGCTCAAACACGGACTCTTGCGGTCTGCACCTGTAAGAATGTGTATTGACAGTGAATCGTTTTCTTGTGAAGCTTTGTGTCCCTAATGAATCAGAAAGTAAAACGGTCTTTTCCCATCGTATATGACAATGGCTAGCCTACTCTGTACCTATGTTCATTTTCTGTATTTACTGCGCTAGTTCTTACGACAATAAGTTTGTTTGTTGATTTACGTCATCTTAGCAATTTTCCAGCTATGTGGCGGCGGTCTGTAAATACTCGAGTCTGGACCAGACAATCCAGTGATTGACATCGTGGGCATCGAACCACGCAGTTGGAAACCGATGACATATGCTACGCGTTCGGTTTTAAATCAAATTTAGAGCTATAATAATTTCGGTATATACCTCTGATTTTCCAACACAGTGCGTTTATCTCCTAAGCATCTGTTTTATGAATTTCCTCTGATACTTTGAAAATGATGCAATACTGTTTCTCAAAGAAATGAAAATGATTCACTCACGTCCGGTGAATACTTACTAGGAGAGCGTTTAAAGGGCGACTTTGGACTATGGTGGTCATTAGGGGACACAGGAAGTGACCTGTGGGGAAAATTGGGAGAAGTAGACGGACTGTGCTCATTCGTAGTGTCTGCCGTTGTTAGGATAGTGTCAGGTATCTCTACTGGACGCTTCCGCTCTGGGAGGGGGGAACTGTTCTCATCGTGGTCCTCAAGGTTGTACCACAGAGCATCGTACTCCAGATCAGCATCACTGAGGTCAAGAAGGATCTCTCCAAGGAATATGTCTTCCTTCTCAGCCTGGCTCCACACTGTGATCTCAATAGCCTTCTGCAGCAGCTGAAATGGTATAGGCGGCAGTGAGTGAGTGAGTGAGTGAGTGAGTGAGGAGTGAGTGGGTGGGTGGGTGGGTGGGTGGGTGGATGTGAGTGAGTGAGTGAGTGAGTGAATGCATGAGATTCAATCAGTCAGCAATATCATTTAACAGCTAAAAAACACGTATGAATCAGTCGGAAGTGAGAAAATTTAATTAATATACCGTTATTTTTAGTGCTTTTACAAAAACATGTACATGTCCTTTTTAGAATTATGCTTGTTCTCTTTGGAATCAAAACAAAAACGCTAAGACGTGTGTGGATTCTGTGAAAGCGCAAAATATGAAAACAAACAAAATACAACAACAAAAACAAGACAAAAAAAACACGAGAAAATTCGGTCAGACGCTGCCTACAAAACACCCTTTAGCTTCGGTCAAATCAATATACCGAACCAACGAAGGGATGAAATGACTGGTCAGAGGACGGAGGTTTTCCGGCCTGGTCATGTTACACAAAGTTTATTTTCTACCAAAGACGGAAAAGGAAAACATCAACACTATGAAATGGTGTAAATTTTGCATTAGTGCAAACACGACGAGGAAAAACAGGATATATATCAGCTTAATGGTCTGCCTCTGACCATGTCCATCTGTAATAGGATCACCAAACATGAGTTTCATTGGAATCAGAAACATTAATAATTGTTACAAAATACCTGATCTTCTGAAATGTTGTGGAAGTAGAACGTTTTATTCCACTCCGGATTTCTCGTGTTTTGTTTCACTTCTGTCTCCTTGAATGGCACCACCCTGAAAGTAAACAGATCTACAATGTGCTTCTGTCATTGACAAGAGTCCCGATGTCAACCAGTGCTAAAGTGCTTCACAAACAACCTTGCATTTATGTCTACAGTAATTGACATTTTATAGGCATCCTTGTCAATAACCAAATCACCACTCACCGGTAATGAAGTTTGCTGGATTCAGTACAAAGTTCGATTCCAAAGTACTTGTACTTATTCAGCTGAACAAAAGTTTAATCAAAGCGAATACAGGAAGATTGAATGGACTCATTGAATATGTCTGCAGTGATCAACATTTAAAGGGCATCCTTTGTAAAGAATCAAAGCAGCATTCGGGAGTAAATTATTTGCCGTAATCAACAGACAGTTTTACTACCACAGTAGATAGTGTGCCTGTTCAGCTGAACACAATCTCTAACCAAAGCGAATACACGCAGACTCTGAGATAACATGGGAAACATTATCATAACTATTGTTATGATATTTAAATGATACTTATAGTTGGAGGGACGCTCAGAAGACTTACGGTATTCCCGATGATCCCGGAAAAAAATTAAAGGAAGTTATCGAGCGACACTCACAGGCTGGAGGACCTAAGGAACACCTGACTTTCCCATGTTATAACAGAATTCGCTAACAACACGTGATATCTGTGGAATATTACCAGTGTTCATGTGTAGAAAGAAAATGAGACACAAAAGACACGCATATATACGCTTTGTTTGATGGCTAGACGACTGACTATAGCCTATTAAATATCAAATCGTGACCATATATATATTTTATACATTGGCAGTGAGCTATGAAAAGTCTGCAACTCTACCTTCTCTCGGGAAGCATGTAAACTAGCACCAAAGGGTTCGGCACTCTCTGTTGAGAGCTGTCTGGAAGCGATAATTGCTCAGCTCTTAGTATGGAGATCTCCAGCCGTTCCGTTGAAGGGAGGTAGTTGATGCGGGTAAGGATGCGGCCTGTGATGCGCCGCGTCTCCTTCTTCATCTCAATCTGACACAAAACAAGGTCCGTCACATGCAGTGCAAATGAACAAGTAGTACTTTCAGATTCATTGAGTGTGGTTATACGCCGCTGTTAACAATATTCCACCAATATTCTGGGGGACACCGGAAATGGGCTTCACACACGAGGGGAATCGAACCCGGACCTTTGGCGTGACGAGCGAACGCTTTAACCAATAGGCTACCCCAGTCCTCTCAGAATCTGACTTTAATTATTTTGCGTTAATTGAGGAACACGTAAAGCGAGTGACGCAATAACATACTGGTGTCATTTCTTGTAATAAAATACCTGCACAATAATATACATACTGACTGCTTATTTAACCATGAACACACAAAACACTGTAGACAAGAGTAAGAAATCCGTGTTCAACACGATCAAGAAAGAGGTAGTCAACCTATCAAGAAAGAGTAGTCAATCAATAAAAAAGAGAACTCAACCACACAAGAAACTGTTAGTCAACTAAACACGACACAGTAGCCAACCAAACAAGAAATAATAGTCAATCAATCAAGAAACGGTTGTCAATCAATAAACCAACTGTCAACCAATCAAGGAACAGTTGCCAACCAGTCAAGAAACAACAGTAGTCAACCAAACAGGAAACAACGTAAGTCAACTAATCAAGAAACTGTAGTCAATCAATCAAGAGATATAAGTGAACATATCAGGAAACAACAGTAAATCTATCAAGAAACAGTGGTCAACCAATCAAAAAGTAGTAGTCAATTAATTAAAAAACTGTAGTTAACCAATCAAACAACAGTAGTCAACCATTCAAGAAACTGCGGTCCGTTTGTGAGGAATTTTCGGTATATGGACACATAAACGCTAAAAGTTATTGTTTGATTAGATGATCAAATGTTATGGAATTACTTGCAATTTATTCATAAGGAATTTCAAAATTGTGTGGCTTGTCATGTGGGGACTAAGCAGGCATCAAGAAGCAAGACCTATAACAAAATATAAACGTTGCCTATAACAGAATATACACGTAGACTATAAAAGAATATAAATGTTGATTATAACAAAATATACATGTTGACTATAACAGAATATAAATGCTGACTATAACAGAATATAAATGTTGACTATAACAGAATATAAATGTTGACTATAACAGAATATATACATGTTGTTAAGTCTCATCATAAGAATATCATAAACCATTACAGTTTGAAATAACTTACCGGTGTTTTGGGCAGCATTCTTCGTCTAGGTCGCGAGGGGAGACTATCAGGGGGAAGGGAGGTAACTAGGTTAGAACACATTGCCCAGTCTACAGATTCTGTTTAAAATAAAAAACGACAAAACATTTTCCATAATCATTTGAAATCACTGCAAAAATGCAAATCTGACCATATCACAAGGAAAGGTTTACCAAGCACTTTCAATAACATACGGTGTTCGCTAAAAGATGACCATATCATTTTAATGCTTCCACATTTCCAAATGCCATATATACACAGCATACATATGTCTGAAAGCTTTACTGAGGCTTTGGTTGGTTGGTTCGTTTCTTGTTTAACGCCACACTCACCAATAAGCAATATTCCAGCTATATGGCGGCGGTCTGTAAATAATTGAGTATCGACCATCCAATCCAATAATCAACAGCATTAGCATGAATCTACGCAATTGGGATACGATGTTACGTGTCAACCAAGTCAGCGAGCCTGACCGCCCGGTCCCGTTAATCGCCTCTTACGACAAACATGGGTTGCTGAAGACCAATTCTAACACGGATCTTCACGGGTCCATGAGACTTTGGGGAGTGGTCATGTATTTTAGGGGAGTTGGGGAAGGGATATGGACAAACAAAAGCAAAAGGTGTTTAGGGGAGGGGCGTTGCCAAAATATAGGAAGGGGGCATTCGAGTAGTCTAAGAGTCTATTTCATAACATGCTATTGTAACATTGCAAGATTTTTGAAAACAGAATTTATTGCAAACTTATTAACAATATTGGTCTTAAACGCATAACTTACGGTACATAACCTCAACGAAACGGGACATAAGTACATTTATAAGCACGCACACGCACAAAAACACATATATACATACATGTACCTATATAAGCACACATACATACACAGATACACTCATTCATACACTCACACACACACACATACACACACATACACACACACACACACACACACACACATACATACAAACATACATACATCCATCCATCCATCCATACATACATACATACATACATACATACATACATACATACATACATACATACATACATACATACATACATACATACATACATACATACATACATACTCTACTACTCTACTACAACATGTTTCGCTTTTGGTCATTAAAAGAGACAAAATGGTTTAATAATTCACCCCTTCATTGATGCCCGGGGAAGCCTTCATATATCCTTCATCTTGACATTAACAAAACCTATGCATCGTTGTTAAGTGACCATAACAAACTCACCAATTCTAGTAACCCTCGGGGTTTCGGATTCTTCAGACAACCTGAAAATGCCAAATAATAAGATAAGAAGACTTTCAACAAGCGACGAATTCATCGCCTAGTTCCAGAGTCGATCCTGATAATGACAAACGGCTTCCTCGTACGCTAAGGTTACACCGAGGGAGATGGCTGTAGACCACAGCTTCTCATCACTGTCTTGTAGTCGTCCATTACCGCGCTTGCTACAGGAATCTGCCACTCGTGGGAACAATTACAAACAGACGCGGACTTACTGAGAGAACACCTGTCCAGCTATTTGCTATCTATTCCCGTAATGTACTTGTTGGACAATAACTGAAGGCTGTGAGCAGGACTGATTTGATAGATGGACCGACTTGAAGGCGATGCGGGCGTTAAGAGGGCTCAGCTGGACCTTCCTTGTTGATTGCTAGTGGGTTGGAGGGTCAGGCGCCTCGTGGATTGTGATGTATCCAGCTTCAATGCTTACATACATACACGCACACACGCACGCACGCACGCACACATATATACATACTAATATTTGTATAGCGCCAATATCCAGCTCAGCTGCTCAAAGGCGCTTGTTTTCCCTCGATCATTGGATGTCAATCTCAACGGCACATCGTATTTTCAATCTCAACTCCCTGGGGATCATACAATTGACCTTTTAAACTGAAACTGTCGAATAAACTATAAATTCTAGGGGATTTACCCAATTACCTTTTCAGAATTAAGAACATTATATAAAATAGAATCATATTGAATTTCAACATTCCGATAGCATGGATTGTAGGATAAAGTTAACAAATATTATTCCATGTACTACTATATATTTTCTGACATTCACACAAGGCAGTAGGTACTGAGGTTGAAGACAGGTCGACAACCCGATTGCTTCAATACATTGTAAGGGGGCAGTCGGGTAGCCTAGTGGTTAAGGCGTTCGCTAAAGACCTGGATTCGATTCCCAACAAGGGTACAATGTGTGAAGCCAATTTCTGGTGTCCCACGCCGTGATATTGCTGGAATATTGCTAAAAGCAGCGTAAAACTAAACCCACTCAATACTCAATTGTTTATAATCGCTTACAGCTTAAATACATACGTGGTCTGAAGGTCAGTGATACTAAAACACGGTAAAAGAAGCTACTTGTACTTCCCCTGCCTGATGCTAGGCATTTAGGGAACACAACAGCGGGACATATACGCTAACCTCAGCCCTGTTACCACATTGGGCGAGCACTGTCCGGACTAGTAAATGCGCGCCAACGCACGCATACACGCAGACGCGCGCGCACATTTTGAACCATATCAGTTTAGTGTTGGAGAGCCAGGAGCAATGTTAGTTTTGCAAAGTGATTCCGATTGTCAAAAACATCCTCTTAAAAAAGCGACTATCACAAAAATACACAAGTTTTTCCCACACAAACAATTCAAACTGACATGTAGGAACAGGATAAACGAAAAATAAGACAACCACAAAAAACGGTTCCAGAAATTACGATATTGATTTAAGAAAACAGAGGAAGGTTCAGTTTTCAGTTGCCATATTCTGTCATATAATAATCTGAGACATCAAATATAAGATACAGGACGCAGATGCCAGTGTCAAAATCGATCAACGAAAGTTAACAAAAGAAACACAGGAATTACACAGAAACGACTGTTCAAGTGACTGTTCAATTAGCGTTGTGTCGATTATGGGGTAGTCCAGTGGTTAAAGCGTTCGCTCTTCACGCCGAAGATCCGGGTTCGATTCCCCACATGGGCAAATGTGGGACACCAGAAATGGGCTTCACACATTGTACCCATGTGGGGAATCGAACCCGGGTTTTTGGCGTGAAGAGCGAACGCTTTAACCACTGGACTACCACACCACCCCCTTACAATGGAAACAACTGGAACGGCCGAGATTCACTTGCAAAACATCTTATAAAATAATCAATTCAGGTCTATCTTTTTAACAATATGATCATGAGTATGGTAATTGTTTGGTAAACATTTATGTTCTTTGCTGTTAAAGTAAAAAAATCGATACGGCTTTAAAAATGACTATATTATATTGAAATATTGCACATAGATAGTCGAAACGTACACACTGAGAACTTGGTTGCCCTACATTAACAAGAACTTTTGTGCAAGAAGACTGTCTTGGTGCGATTTCATGATAGACTAGTTTGGTTGTGTTTTTCCATTACTGCATATCGATCACATCGACAAATGCTGCGCAACCCAGACGCATGGCAAGATCTGGATTTAATAAGGGCCCCAAACGGTGGTGCATTTGCACCTTCGGCAGCATGGATGACAAAACAGCAACGTGCGTGACATTCGAGACAACTACGCCTCGGTGTATCATTTTATAATGACAAATTGCCAACCTTTTCTTTATATGCCTATGGATTACTTTGAGTTGGACGACGTTCCCCGATCTGTTGACGATGTCACGTGTTTCTTCAAACGTGACGTTCGTCAGCGAGACACCATTCCACTCGATAATTTGATCACCTGAAAAAAACACGCAATACATATTTTTCACCTAGTATCGACCTTGAGCATGATGATGTAAATGTGATTTTGATATGCCCCATATCCGGTGGAAAATGGAACGTCATGTTTGTTTCACAGACGAGTTCCACATGCGAGTGATATGCTTTAGCACGACGTTCTTCAATATGATACTTTATTGTTAAAATTAACAGACTTATCGTAACATTTTCAGGCAAATGGCCCGCATCTACTGCGCTTACCCCCTTGCAATACAAACCAATAATAGCGATTTGAAACTATGATCGTTTGTTAAACAACTTTTATCCTAAGTTGAATAAAATTCTGAAATTTGAAAGTTCAATTGGCAGAGTAAAATTATGAGGATTCGCAATCTTAATTTCGCTTTAATCGATTTACTTTTTTGTTTAGAGTGAAATTCATCGGTACGTTTTCACTGCAAACAGACTACAGACTGAAGCTTAACCAGCCGAAAGAGCTGAGTGCCACGTGAGGTAGTGGTCTAATACTCAGATCTTCCTTGCACGTGGTAACAGTAATCGTTGCACTGGCAATCTCTTCAGTATTAATTAAAGTATCAATGCCAAGCAAATTAAACAAAACTATGACATTCCTACACCCCTCCCTATATGCCTCCCTCTGGTGATGGCGGAATCGAAGGTCAAGGTCGAAGGCGGCGTCCGGTGACGTAATCCAATGTTTGATGACGTGTCACTAGGCCTATGCCACACTGACCTATGCCTTATTAATAACAACTGCTAACCGTTGTGGTTTGTTTTTAATCAATTGTTTCAACGATATTATCACGCTAATGCTAATTCTGTCAATCTTAACAGAAATATCGGCAACGTATTTCATGGAATTATTGAAGAATGTGTCTGGCAGTTAAGGGCACGCCTCGGAACCACTGAAAATGATCATAACCTGATATATAGCCATTCTCTTACATAATCGGGCCTCGGGGTCGAACCCGAACCTTTAGCGCGAGGAGCGAATACTCTACCCTTAAGGCTACCCCACCGCGCCCTTTCTTACATATGATATTACACAACCTATTGAGGTCGAGCCATCGAATGGATGTTGAAGACAAACTATTATCGTTCCACAGTATTCAAGTTTGTTTCAAGATAAAGACTTCTCGGATTTAATTATCGCGATGAAACTTCATGCAGCAGATTATTTACCGATTCGTATTCGACCTTGCATATCAGCGGGGCCTCCTTTGGTTACCATGACAACGAAGGCTCCCAGGGTTCCATTGTCGCAGTCTTTTCCGCCTACTACACGCATGCCCAGACCGCCAGCTGTAACATAAACATCCTTGTTATGCAGGCTGCAGTTCTAGATTTACAAATATTACTGGTCTTCAAGTAAACGTGTGATTAAAGTAAGGAACAGTATATTGGAGATGGCTGAAAAAATTCATGTGTTGACTGCAATACTGCGTCTTTTTTTCAAAGAGTTAGTGCATGTTTTTGTTTTACGCCGCAGTCAGCATTATTTTAACTTTTTGGGATGACCTGTGTGATATTAAATCTGTGTTTGGGAAACCAGTGGTTTATAATAATTATACTCTCAGTCGGGGTGACATAATAAACAATCATACAGGTAAACATTGCTCAGTACGTGAGTGAGTGAGTGGGTGGGTGGGTGATTGGGTGATTTAGTGAGTGAGTGAGTGAGTGAGCAAGTGAATGAGTGAGTGAGTTAGTTTAACGCCATTTTGAACAGTATTCCAGTGTTTGCTTAATGTGAGAGTAAAGGCTGAAATGATCCAGGCCTCTGATGTTTAACCCTGCGGTGAAATCTACAAGAAGGTTATGGTGCTTGTAAACCTAGAAGACTGGCAAGAATATGGCCCTCGCGAATCTTATATTGGACGAATCTGGGATTTAAACAAACGATCATCGAATTCTGGAACATATACGGGACCTAACTCTATATAGTTTCGTGATTACCATTATGTTACGTCCTACATTTTTTGGGTAACACACCTGATACACAATTTACACTGACAGGAGGTAATTAAAGCTTTAACATAATTTCGATAATGCACTTTTACGATATTTTCAAGATTTGGGTATATGGCTAAAGCGGTCTATATTGTAGCAAATCGTGAAGATCCGGTATTTTATATAGTATTTGTATACAGTGCTTGGTTTCGTCCATTGTCGAATAAAGCAGATGAAATTCCTCTATTACTTCATATCTTTGTCTTCACATATAAACAAACGGAACAAAGCTTAACCTGAGATAACAGTGTGATTAGATAGATAGATGACTTCCATTGTGCCCGACTTCAGTGCCCCCAGCATCAGCTATTGTATTGTATGTACATGGAGGAGCACGCTTTACTGTCTGTGTTAAGGTTGTTGGGTTATTGATATCGCCGAGATGATTAAGCCTTGCTTGTTTCACGATGGAACAAACAGGTGGGATGCGTATATATTTGTGGCTGGCGTTTCCATATTGTTTATGTCTGCATTCCGTGACATACCTCTGTTTGTTCATTACAACTGTGAGTGAGCGGATGTCTTCCGCCGAGGGTGAGGTGAGTGAGTGGACGTGTGAGTGAGTGAGTGTGTGTGAGTGAGTGAGTGGGCATGTGAGTGAGTATTGTTTAGTTAGCAATATTCCATAAATATCACGACGGGGGACACAAGAAACAGGCTTAACACATTGTACCCATAGTAGGAATCTATCCCAGTTCTTTGGCGTGGCGGCGAACGCTTCATCGACTAGGATGCCCTACCGCCCAGGTGAGGTGAGGTGTGGTGGTCGACTGAGTGTGTGAGTTGGGTTTAATGTCATTGTCATTGTTGGGTTTAATGCATTGGTGTAATAATACACCAGTTACACTATGACCTGTCAGCTTTATGTGGGAGGAAAACCCTAAACTTATGCAGATCTCAGGTGTGATGTGATGTGATCCAGCCAGTAGTGAGTGAGTTTAGTTTTACGCCACCCTCAGCAATATTCCATCTATATGGCGGCGGTCTGTAAATAACCGAGTCTGGACCAGACAATCCAGTGATCGGCAACATGAGCATCGATCTGGGCAATTGGGAACCGATGACATGTGTCAACCAAGCCAGCGAGCCTGACCACCCGATCCCGTTAGTCGCCTCTTACGACAAGCATGGGTTACTGAAGGTTCATTCTAACCCGGACCTTCACGGGTCGACCCAGCCAGTAAGGATGAGTAAGCCAGCCAGTGGTTTCTCCAATACAGTTGTTATGAGGAAGTAACACAGATGAGCTCGGCCTAAACCAACCCACCGTTTTGGAATTACTTACTTCTGTGGCTTCGATCACCCTTGTCTCGATGTAGAATCACCTCATGGGGCTTGAGCGTCTTCAGAGTACCTATAGCAACACAGATCAGTGTTGGGAATTGGTTGAAATCTCACAATTGATGATTGCTTCATTACCAACGAACAACCATCGAAAAAAATTGGTTAGCGTCATTTTTCAGATTTTCCTATCCAGGTTGTTATTGCAGATATGTATAACATGATGCAACTTGCTACTTTATAAGTGATGACTAATATATCATGAACATAAACTTCCTGGAGTCTTCAAGAAATATTCAGTCATGGCTTTTCAGTTAGGGAAGTGAGTTTTCTATGAATTAAACACGTTTTCAGGCACTGACAACTTCAACGATATGTTCCATTGTCAAGTATTTCAAAGACTAAAAAAGTAGTTAAAAACTCGTTTATGTTCGATTATGAGAAAATGTGATCGATTGCTTGGTCGTTTGGTCACTGCGACCAATCTTCGATTATTTCAATTAATCGGAACACCACTAACACAGATACGGTGATGATTAGAATATACGTACTTTCATTCATACCTTAAAATGCTTCCCCCACCAATCAACTAATGAAGTTATTACCAGCTGATGTTTTAAAACCAACAAACAACATAAGGAGAAAGACCATGCACAGGAACAAATGAGACGAAAGGCTGAATGTGCAATGAGGCTTTTAAAAATAAACATTTAGATTTGTTAATGATATAACCACGATTATCTATGTACCCATTTTATCATGTTCATGGAAAGACTGAGTACATACAACATATACTAGTATTGTAGTTGTAAATAGACGGAATATCACAGACCAATTATAGGTTAATAAAATAAGAGTTATGACATTAAATATTAAAATATGAATTATTGCAGGAAAACTAACTTTTATGATTATTTACTAACTGACCTGTCCTGTCGGGTGATTTTTATAAACATGTTTATATGTAGTGTTTTGGCAAAACGTACACAATGTTTGTGAGTCAAAATCAGAAAACTTTTCAAAATATACACAAAGAACTTAATTTCAGATGTATTTTTGCAATGATAGCTTTTCAACACGTACATAAAACTTCTTGTGGTGACCACGTGTTTTTCTGACCCGTATGATCCTTTGACTCATAACAAATACAAAATGATTAGAATCCATGTTGATTTTATGACGATAATTGCTCATTTAATAAAAACACACAGTGATTTTCATACAAAACCATGTATGTACAAGTATGGCCCTGGAATGTTTAATGTTGTATTTATTGGTGAATGTGAACATTCAAACGTCATTTTGCGTGTCTTACACGGTTCAAGGTCAATACCGAGTGTAACCTCCACGTGACTGTATGACGACCAACACACTCCTCCTCATACCCCTCCTGATCCTTTGAAGAGCCAGTCTACGCCATTTCTCATGTAAAGTAGCTTCCAATTGGGCCAGGTTCTGTACAGGAGGATCCCTTTGTTGCATACGACGACCAGATATGGTCCAAAGGGTTAAGATTGGGGCTCATTCAATCATGAGATACGTCAGGGGGTGCTTAACTAAGTTCTTTGTGTATATTTACGTTATTAAAAATATATATTCCACAGAAACCCATATGTGTACTTTCTTAAGCAATACAGCTTAACACCCCTTTCACTTACCAAGTCTCCGAACCGTAGCGTCGTCACATGGTTGAATGAGTTCACACTTCTGTAACGTGGCACGCCTGTTCAGGATCTCCGATCTGTTGGGACTGACGAACTTCTCCTTGGCTCCATGGACCGGACTCCGCGATATGGACTCCCTGTTGTTCCTGAAGGGGAGGGGACTGGTTGCACCACCCTGAGTATCTGAATGCTTAGTGTCGGAGAGCACACTGGAAGAACTGCTACAGTACACAGCGTTTTGTCGCTTGATCTTATTAATAAGCGTTGGTGAACAAGCTCCATCCGAAACATTGCTTTCCTTCGTTGCATAAGACACATCACTGGTGGATTCTGTGGAATAATCAATCGCCGTGGCAACTGACTGAGATTTTCCTCGGTCTTTGATGCTGATTCTAGAGGCTCTACGTTTGCGAATGCGTACACTAGGGGCTCTATCACTTCTGTCAGGGTCTGAGTACGCCTCACGGGAGTTTTCATCGTTTTGTTGCGACCCTTCCGATGTCAACATGGCGCAAAGTTCGTCCGATGTTCTGCTGTCTGGCATGTTACGTCTCCGTAACCGACGTAACTGGCGCTTCTGACGTAACATCCGCCTCTCCTGCAACCAATGGTGACCATTCTCGTCTGCTTCATCGTCGTCCTCGTCTTCTCCCGGTCTTATCACGTGAGTTACCGGAAGACTCCTTCTGCGATGTTTCCGGCCGGAAGACTGGACCTGTTCGGCAGGCGTGTCACCGGAGCGGTACAATTCAGGATCTGTCCGGTTTCCGGAGGGAATCTTCTCGCCATCATTGTCATATGCGTCCTTTTGGTCCTGTCCAAAAATAAAATGTTTATCAATCTATCATGAATACTTAGTGTGTTCGGGCGGTGAGGTAGCCTATGTGGGGAATCGAACCCCGGTCTTCGGCGTGACGAGCGAACGCTTTAACCACTAGGCTACTGAACCGCCCTCTATCCGAGGAAGGGGTATGGATATATACAGTGTGTTTCCTATAGACATCAAATTTGATTAACATTCGTTATTTTGTTTCGAGGTACACAGTCTCACTGTGGTCTATTCGTAGTAGTGACATTTTCATTCATCCCTTACGTGCTAAATCAAATGTTACGAATTATTGCAATCTTGGAGGTGTTACGTTTATCACACAGACTGTGTGTCAGCTTCTAGAACGGCACTATTTACTACGTCTAGACTAAATCTGGAAATACGCACTGTGGGGTAGAATTCTTTTCAATGAGGAAGCCCCATGGATTCAAGTGTGGTATACTACTCAACATTCGATTGGGATTCTAAGGTTGTTAGTTGGTTGATATGTTGTTTAACGCCGCACTCAGCAATATTCCAGCCATATGGCGACGGTCTGCATATAATCAATTCTGGACCAGACAATCCAGTGATCATCATAACGAGCATCAATCTACGCAATTGGGATACAATGACATGTGTCAAATAAGACAGCGAGCCTGACCACCCGATCCCGTTAGTCGCCTCTTACGACAAGAATGGGTGACTGAAGACCCATTCTAACCAGGATCTTCACGGGTCGGGATACTAAGGTATTTCTTGCTGTGAAACAACACACCAATTAACTTATTGAATTGTGTATTCGTGACTCATCAACGTGACATAAAGTTACAGATGCTTCGGTTGAATGACAATATCAAATACTAGTCACATTCAGACTCCATCCAGGTACTTATAAAATGTTGAGTATATAAAATCCCTATAAAATGTTGAGTAGTATGTTATAACGCGTCTTATATGCGAGCGGGTTTAGTTGTTGTTTTTGACGGCGTTCTGACAATAATCGTTTCTAGGAAGGACAATCCAGTGATTGACATCATGAGCACGGGTCTACGACCTCGGGATGACATGCAATTGCTAAGAGATCCTGACCACTACATACCGTTAGTCGCCTCTTACGACAAAACTTACATTGGGTTGCTGAATACCAATTTCAAATCTGGAGTAAGTGAGGTGAGTGAGTTTACTTTTATGCCGCTTTTAGCACTATTCCAGCAATATCACGGCGGGAGACACCAGAAATGGGCTTCACACATTGTACCCATGTGGGGAATCGAACCCCTCGGTCTTCTGCGTGACGAGCGAACGCTTTGACCAATAATCTACCCCACCGCCCCCAAATCTAGAGTAAGTGAGGTGAGTAAGTTACTTTCGTTTAAAGCAACTTTTATATTTTTTTTCAATGGTAGCATGTTGTTTTATCTGAGCGAGTTACTTGACGTGGAAATATTTAATTAACTCGTTTTGAAATCTATTTCCTCTGCCTGAGTTACCAGGTCGTAGGCTGAACCTCACAAGAGTCCTTGATGATTTTCAGAGGCGAGAGATCTTCTCATTTATTTGCTCTAAATCAGAAAACTGACCGGCATGACATGTCCTGTACTACATCCAGCTATGGTAACGTAAAAAACTCCTAATATCGTAATAAACATGAATCAGAAGCATGTCAATAAGTCATTTTCGTTATTAATGAAACATCAAATTATGGTCCAACTCTTTGATGCTCAAAATTAACTCCAAATATACACATGGTGTTTAATAATACAACATGGATTTATTGTCGAGTCTGCACGCATATTTCTCTCGCTCAATTTCATCAGGATGCTTGAGTGAAATATGAGACTACATCCAATTCTGGAAGAAATAGAAGGCTATAATTATCACATACGGTAGCGTTCATAAATCATCTGGCAGTTGGTAGTTACAAATTAGCATCCCCAGACGCTGTGGAAAGCCCTAAAATTAACTCTCTAATGTTGATTTTACGCTTCTCGGGCGGGAGTTACAGCCATGACGGTCCGCGCCATGTTAAAGGTAGTTTGTGGGGATCGTGTGTTCAATAGGAGTGGGTATGGTTTTACGCCGCTTATAGCAATATTCCAGCAATATCACGGCGGGGGACACCAGGAATGGACTTCACATATATGAACGGGTGTTCAGCGTGATTCAGGACGATTTAACCACTAAGATACCCCTCCGTCCTTGTCCAATAGGAACATATGGTTTAATAAGTATATTACTCTTTCCGTATTTTTGTATGACGTAGAGGCGAGGGGATGAATTCAGTCACTGTTCACGGTCTCCAAGACAACCAGTATGTGTTCTGTCCCCATAGCTCCAAGCATCAGGCTAGATACAGCACCCAAACACAGTATACATATTCCGAGCTTATCCAGGACGAAAGCCTGGGGCAGTCAAGGTGAACACGTGCCCAACGGGAAGGTGTTTTGGGTTAAAGAACGACGGGTTTAATTCTTCAATATTATCCATTTTGCGACGGACAATTTGCGAGTCAAAACCACCAATACAATTTGACCTCATTGGGTCTGTAATATGTACAGAATTGTCTAATAAGACTGTCGACCAATGGGCATTTATCACCAGCTAAATGGGTCCAGACAAATTACACGCTGTAATAAGCTCAATTGTATCTGACATTCCCGTTCGCACATGCCAGGCGATACAGTGTCAAAATCAGAATCAATCTTCGATTGATAAAGGAATATTTGAGCATTATGTTCTGAAGCTTGGTGAAGTGTCCTTCATTTCCGAAGACGGTGAGGCACGAGTCTACTTGATAACTGATCCATTCGGAATCCAGTAGGACATTAGCTAACAGAGACAGGAATCCATATTGGATCTAATTTCGTGCACGTGACTATCATATGATACACCACAAACTGATGAACTCTTGAAATTGAAACATTTAACAAAAAGGTTAAAGTTAAAAATTCCAGTTATTTCCTCTATTATTGTCTTCAGATCAATGCTTATGTCTATTTCCGCTTAGAACTAGATGTGGAGGGATCTGGCGTTACACGCCTGACAGTGAAATCATGCGATATCACTACGCCCTCGTTGCATGAGGTATTATGGAGGTAGCGGAATATGCCGAGCTGAACTGAATGCCAGCTGATTGTGATTCGTTAAAAATGCGCCAGATACGCTTCCCCATGGTAATACATGTGATTAACGAGAAAAGTGCGCGAAAGTCTAATTGAAAGGCGAGGTTTCGGTTATAGCCTAACTGTTTTTCAGTACCAAGCATTCAAAAACCTACACACATGTTGATGAATTGTATAATCGGTCTCAGAAAGCCTGGCGTGTAGCACTTCGTGAAGACGGGACACAACCGGCCACATATGTCCGCGAGGCATATAGAGTACCAAGTATTCAAACGTTTCGGGAAACAAAGCTGAATTGTGGCAATGACCTCGAAGAATGATTTATATGTAGTGCTAGTACGACCTTGAGTCCATTCTCGAGACACAGTGCCAACGGCAGTGAGTGAGCATTGCCTTTCACTGTAGGAAGCACTATTCAACAATATCATAGAGCGGGTCCTTGATGGACTTCACACATTGCATCGATGTAATGAATCGAATCCGGACCTTCGCCAACAACAACGAACGCTATATCCACCTGACGGCCTCTCTGCTACTGTCGGACAGTAGAACACAGGTTGTGCTTCAGCAGTTGACAGATGCAGTTAACGTGAAAGGTTTGTTTCAATGAAAACTTACATTAACAGTTCGATGAAAACAGTTCGATGGCCTTCCCATTTCCTTCGTTTCCAGACCAAAACAGCAGACAAAGGATATGGCGTTAGAGAACAAAGAGAAAACACATCTGAATCCATCTCCCCTTATATGTGATAAATGGACATTACAAAACGATGACGTAAAATAAACACAACGGCTGCTAACAGTATACTTACGCAGTTATCGGGTTCCATTTCCATGGAAACAGAAGTTTTGAATTTCTCGATCACGTCATCATTTGTTCCTTCCTGAAAGCTTTCCCCGTGGTACCAACTTCCGGTTCGGCAAAGTGCCTCCCTCCTAAGTAAGCACATGTTACAGTGCCATCTTCCTCGATCGTTCTGGAATGTAAGTAGATTAAGCCGCTAATACCACCTCGTACTCTCTCTGTATAATATTCATATAATCTCGTATCTTGTTCTTCATAATGCATTGAACTCATTGCGACAACACATGGACGTTAGTGCCCTTTAGGTAACAAGAACGTGTGCCGACGATTTACTCTTCCGTAACTCAGTTTGGTCAAATGTGGGACACCATGCACTACAATGACTCCCTTGTTTCCAAATCACAAAATATATAATGGTATTGTGGAACGTGTGTCTGCAAATAGAGCAGCCGGGTGTCCAAGTCCCCTCATAACAAAATACGTTCAAGGAAGTATCTTATTGTTACCTTGCCTGGCGCTCGGCAATTAAGGAATGAAACAAGGACTGGTAGATTCGAAGTCAGCATAATACGTGTAACTGTTGTATCCATGCAAAGCTGCATCATGGTGAGTGAGTGAGTGAGTTTGGTTTTACGCCGCTTAGCAATATTCCAGCAATATCACGGCGGAAGACACCAGAAATGAGCTTCACACATTGTGCCCACGCGGGGAAGCGAACCCGGGTCTTCAGCGTGACGAGCGAACGCCTTAACCACTAGGCTGCACCACTGCCCCTGCAGCAGAGCTTTTTAATTGGGTTAGCAAGAGGGGCATAGTCGAATACAAAGACGTCACGGATAACTGAAGTAATCTTCACCGTGACGTTAAGTCACACATCACCTCAACAAAACGTGTGCCCAGCGCATTCCCACAGAAATCTAAGCGGCACAAGTTGTAAAGGAGGTCTTTTGTGGGATAAAGATTTTCCTGTTTGTGGTGTCATGGGGGTAATTATTCATGACATACAACCTTAGTTAGACAAAATAGGCCAAAGTTTATAATGTAAAACCCCTACCCTTTTCCGTTTGGGGTCCCACCTGGGACTGGAGAATGTGCCACACGAGTTGCACACCCGCTTGTGGCAGTCTGTGCACAGACGCCCGATGCCATCAGCAAACTTTGTCTTGTAGCACAGTCGGCATAGACGGAGATCCACGTGCTTGACCGGTCCTTGTGTGCTGGCCTGTCTCTGGACTGTCTTCTCGTACTTCTCGACGTCGATCGAGATTTGCCTTCAGGTTGCAAATGAAGGAAAGGTTTCAAACGGTTTCAACGTGAACATGGACATCTTACCATTTAATCTTCTGATCATACTTTTTAATATTGCAACCTTATGCTTTAATCCTACGTTATAGTATTACGAGCTTACGAATTAATCTTTCGATCCTACTCTTTAATCCTTGGGGAAAGACACTGAACGCACTATAGTGAGGTAAGTTAGTTTGATTTCAGCCATTTGGAACAGTGAAAGAACACGGTTGGTAAAACCCTATGTTCACATAAATAATGCTGACAAGCAAAATTGCAGAATTTGGATTTGACCTAATGACCAGCGGATCCTACCACGTTAAAGGGACACAACTGACCACCACATTGGAGCCACCTAAACCTAATTTTACATGAATATAACGACAGCATTATATGACAGGGATAAAGCCATACCCACGGTTAATAGCTTTCAGAGCTAACATCGAAAGTATTAGTATGACACTATGGCGGCGGGAGCTCTTAAGCACAGACATAAATCCTTGGGTTCTTATAAGCTCCAATACTGGGTTGTCAGCGTCCATATGGAACAGCCATAACTCATTTGGATACACTGGGCTTATTGTGTCACCTACATAACACTGTCGGCAGCAAAGAAAGAGTTCTAAACCATGCATTGATGTCTCTGTACAACCAGTTCGATATGAATATCTTCTAAAGCTGATATAAGACAAAATATTATGGATGTCAACTTCTTCTTTATTCTATACACAGGTTAGACGACGAAGGGCAAGGAAAAGCCCAGAAACGTTGTGTATAGAAAAAAGAGAATACCAACTCCTATATGCTCTCGAGAACATCTTCTAATGCTTAGATAATCTTTGGGGCTTAGGACGAGCAACTCTGCTCTGAATAGTGAGTGAGTTAGGTTTGTTGCCACTTTGAACATTATTCCATGTATATCATGGCTTCATCTCAATGTGGAAGAAAGCCCGAAGGAATAAATATCGGGGCAAACAGAGATTCGAAATCACAGTTTTATGTTTCGGGTGTGTACTTGGCGATGAGACAGCAGTCTTGGTCTGAACAGGATAAACAAACGAGTGCTGTTCCTAAGGAAAGTAAAGTAGCAATCGTAGCTCATTACGAAAATAGCACACGTCTTCCTGAGAACTACAAAGGGATGTCCTGACTTGACAAGTAACACAAACCATTGCATCCATAGTGCTATACTCAGGGAAAAGAAACATCAATCAACTTGATTTCCGCCCAATAAAAGGACAGTGGGGGAGGTTTTGTTGATAAGCGCCTACATACCTGACCCTCACGTGCTCCTGTCGTTCAAACTCTTCTTGCCGTCGGAAAACATCTTTGAGAATGGCAATCTCCTCTGGGCTCAGGCCACTCAAGTCGGGAGAGGGGGACACATGGGTGGTGGTTGCGTGATTACGCGAGATTTGCTGCTTCCCTCTTCCCACCGTGACGTCACACCCTTCAGCACCTGTGAGACGTCAGATATTGTGAGAGACAAAAGAATCACATGGACCGTTTAGAATGTCACAAAAAGTTCCTTTTAAACGATCCTCCGTATGTTATTAGACCTGTGGCTGCATTAGTCATAGACTATTATTAAATAACCGGCCACAGGCAACGGTGAAAAACATTTAACCCATCCAGATTATGAATACACAATGCCATTTAGAAAGTGGTCAAATGTAACATATTTTATATTTGGGATTACACTTTCTCAGTAAAGCACCGATTCTAGTACTTTAGTTGGGTTGAGTCACATCCGGGATTGGTTACCACTATTAATATCTGAAATATCAAAATAACGAATCCGGTTCGGAAGAATATTTCTGTGAACATGTGACGGCAGTGTCCAATCCTAAACGCCGGGGATTCGTGCTTTCTGGGCCAAGCGGGCTACATAATACATATTAGGTAACTAGAAAGTGAGACAACAGTTTCAGCGTCCCAAGTACTTCTTATGACCCCTACGGCAATGAGTGGCTCAGGCGCCTCTATTGTCTGTGCAGGAATTACGGAGGTGAGGTGAGGTGAAATTGGGTTTTACGTCGTGCTTGAGAATATTTCGCTCATATGACGACGTGCATGCGTGTATGTATGTGTATGTGCGGCTGCTTGTACTAGCCCAGACTTAAGCTGGTTTTATAGTGCTAGCCCACTGAGATACCATGCCGCAGTGAAGCATGAATACCCCACTCAGACACATTATACTGACTCCGAGCCGACCAGTCCTTGTTGTACCCATTAATGCCGAGCGCCAGGCAGGGACCAACAAGTACCATATTTTAACGTCTTTTGGTATGACGCGGTCGGGGATCGAACCCGCGACCCGTCGGGCGGACGCTCTAACTACTACACCACGGAGGCGGAGCAGGAATTACGTCCCTTTGGCGCGCCAGTAGCCGATGATCATAGGTTTGCCCCTGTTATGGTTCCAGCTTTCTCAGCACCATGCCTTCACAAAGTGGTAAACGTCTCAGATATGTATTTCCGGCTTTCCTCCCTGATTAAATACACACGGAGTGATATAAACTGGAATACTGCTTAAAGTACCGCTAAACCCAATCCACTCACTCACTCATTGAACCACTGACAGTCCATACAAAGAAATATCGTACACGATGTGTTTTACCTACTTAGAAAGGATATTTGACCCCTTAGATGAACAAACCGCTCATGTCAATGGCTCACGCGCTGACTTACTCAAGTGACCTATAGTAGCCAATATAAACTGACTGACTGAGTTTAATTTTACGCCGCTTTTAGCAATATTCCAGCAATATCACGGCGGGGGACACCAGAAATGGGCTTCACACATTTGCCCATGTGGGGAATCGAACCCGGGTCTTCGGCGTGACGAGCCAACGCTTTAACCATTAGGCTACCCCATCGCCCCAGCCAATATAAAGAGACGAAGCATATTCAGAGTGTTATCTGAGAGATGGAGGGATACGCCTGTACGTGTGTGTGTGTGTGTGCCGTGGAACGGTTTATATGTTTGGTGGGTGAGTTTGGCCAAACGAAATTTTAACAGCATTCCAGTTATTGTAGCTAATGGCAACTGTCAGTTGTAGGAGGCGGTGGGGAAGCCTAGTCACCCAGAAGACACGGATTCGATTCCCAACATGGGCATATTGTGTGAAGCTCATTTCTTGTGTCTACCGTCGTGATATTGAATATTGCTAAAAGCGGCGAAAACCCGATTTGATGCGGATCTCAGACATTTGCCACTTGCACCATAATCAGGGCAAATCGGGATTCGAACCCACGAAAGGGAGCGACTTAGGCGACTGGGCCACTTGTAGCTTCAATTCTGTTTGATGTAATGACGGTTTTAACAACATGTTTTATTGAATAATGAGGCCTACATTGTACATCGTACAGAGTTACTACAGTCAAACATCCGGGGTAGAATAGGTCTTCAGCAACCCATGCTTGCCACAAAAAGCGACTATGCTTGTCGTAAGAGGCGACTAACGGGATCGGGTGGTCAGGCTCTCTGACTTGGTTGACACATGTCATCGGTTCCTAATTACGCAGATCGATGTTCATGCTGTTGATCACTGGATTGTGTGGTCCAGACTCGATTATTTACAGACCGCCGCCATATAGCTGGAATATTGCTGAGTGCGGCGTAAAACTAATTCACTCACTCACCACAGTCAAACCCACAATAGTGATGTCTATAGACAGAATAATCAACTTGATGCACCTCATTTCAGATACACCTTTGTGTCCTTTCTTTAAATTCACATACCTTACACACAACACTGTTTATATCTCTACAGGCAACAGGGGGATATTCGGTTAACGCCAAGATCATTATTGTGTCATTCCGAAATCAGACTCTTCTCATTGTAGCATCATCGAACCGGAAACAGATGACTTTCAGATCGCACAAATTACTTGAGTCATATAAAAGTGAAATCATTCGAGAAGTCCAAATGTCAAACGTTTTCGAAAACGATGAAAAGCTAATCAAAACTCGCCTGGGATGCGTTCATTCAAGCTACGAGAAGATGCTATCTCTCTTGGGTATATGCCACATGTTCCGTGTGTGTGTGGGCGATACGAGTGCTATTGTTGATTAATGAACATTTCCAGACACGATGGCACTCTGGGCGGTGATTAAGAGACGAATAGTTCTTATCATTACCAATAATAGGAACTATACAGAGATGTGTCTGTTTAGTACTGATATGAAAATATGTTTCTGAATCTCCATTAAACAAGAATGTTCGAGCGTTTTAACGCAAATAAACCGCTTCTGTCTGAAACGAATGCCATTTGAAAATACCAGTATGAAATTATATATATAACCCAATATACAGTCTTATCTTTCCTTCATGTAAAATACTTTAATTTCATTGGTCAATGACGCTTTAACAAGTTTCCGTGTCAACCCTTCCAGGAGGGTGACAACTGGAAAACATATTACCCGCTGCCACGGTAACGGTATGACGTCATAATATGACGCGTGCAGAGTTCGAAAACCGTTCGAATAGTTGTTTTTGAGTTCACTATGTAGACATTTATTTCACCGACTTTCACTGCTTTATTTAAACTATTTCATACATTGAATCGTTTGCACACTCAACCCAAACATAATTAACTATTTTTATAGCAGTTTTAAGCTTGTGAGAATATGTTTCACTGATTTTAAAAATCCAGTCGAGAGGCAGACGCCATTTTGTTTACGTGTCAGTCGGTAGCGATCTTCCAAATAAAATCAAATGATATTTTGTATATTTAACATGGCGGTAAGATAAATACGTTGTAAGCTTCTCCCTCGGGTAATACGGTCTGATGTACGCCTCTTTGTAGCAGTGTCACCCGAGACCGTATTACCCTCGAGAGAAGCATACATTAATAATATCATTATCCTAATGTACAGTCATACTGTTACCCAAGTTTACAATCATATCATTACCTCAATATGCGATCATACCACTTCTCTGATATGCGGTCATACCATTACCCAATATGCAGTTATATCATTACCCAAATATGCTGTCAAATCATTACTATGTGTAAAGAGTCAAGTATTCATCTGAAGGAAAAGGCCGTATAGCTAAAATGGATAGAATTATCATGAAACAGCCCTCAAGTTATCTGAAATGAGCGGGCCGCTGCAAATGATAATGGCCCTGGCTAGCTATTCTCGAAACGTTCGTAGCCTTACGAACTTCTTAAGCCCATTCTTAACACACTGACTACGATCAAAGTTACGAACTCTTAGGGCTACGAACGTTTCGAGAATAAGGGACGAGTAGTTACGAATGTTCTGTTGTCAAATGATGTCACAGCATAACGACGTCATAATGTCATAACGTCATAAATCTTGTTCCATGACCTAACAGTGTTGGGTCAACAACCCGTTGCGAGTTGTTTGAAGTAAACTTACAATTAAATTTATGATACTGTTTTGACTTTTTTAACTCCTTCTTCGGGCAGTTAATTGAAGACTTTGGGCTTCTGCAAATTAATGATAATACCCTGATAATAATGCATTGGTGCAAGTCAAACTATGGAACTTCATGGAACATTTTGGTCACATTGTTAAGCCTCATATACCATCCGCTCTGAATTCTCACCATTTTTCTATTATGTTCATAGAATTGAATTATGTCACTTTTCCCCAATTCTGCACATACAGCTGATTTAATATGTTCCAGAAATTCACTCGGAGTTCTTGTATACCATCTATAAATTGTACAAATGAACCAAATTAAAATTGGGTATTTCGTCATGCAGTTGTCAAGTGACGCAAACACACATCTTAATACTTTCATTGACTTATGTATGTCTCTATTTTCATGACGTATTCGACTCTCGGTGCCAAGTATAGCACAGCCTGACTCATTAAATTACTTGAAATAACCTTCCTGACGTTTTTGAAGTACAAGCATGTCGAACACTGGCAATATTAATCTCGGTAATTTCAGAAGATCTGACAAGCAAATGAATGAAATCGGATCGCTTGGTTGTAACCTAATTACTTAAACTCTTAAATCATGTGGTACAGGTATCGTCGGTATATCTATGAGGTGGTTCTACTTTCTTTAAAGAACAGACACATGTTATCCACATATCCAAGTGAGTGAGTGAGTTGAATTTTACGCCGCACTCAGCAATATTCCAGCTATATGGCGGCGGTCTGTAAATAATCGAGTCTGGACCAGACAATGCAGTGATCAACAGCATGAGCATCGAACATATTCAAGAGTTTAGTGTTAGTAGATATGATGTGGTGTAAGATCTTGTACCGAAACCATTGTCAGGAAGTGCCAACGAACATCGAGAAGGGTCACGAACAATGGCATATTCTCTTCCATGTTGGTTCCTTATATTATGTTATGTTGATTACAGTCTCAGATTTTTACGATCAGTTTCCCATAATAAATCTGTATTTTCTGACGTTTTTGAAGCACATTCATGTCTAACACTTGCCATAATATTCTCGGTACTTTC